CACACACACACACACACACACACACACACACACACACACACACACACACACACACACACATTTTTTCCGTTTTCTATGTTCACTTGTCCCTCTGACACCTGTCCCAGCCACCGAGACTTCGATGTGACTCCTTCCACCCACCAACAAGCGACAATATCATGCTGCTGAGCCACGGAGGACAAGATGAAAGGATGGTGCAGCGGCAGCGGCGGCACGCCAAGCCTTGGCTTGGATCGGAATGCAGCTAGCACAGAGGCGGAAGAGCAGTAAGAAAAGCGGAGCGGCGGTTTGAAATGCAGCTCAGACAGGCACCGCGACCTCGATCCACCGGCCAAGGCGGAAGCCACCATGTTGTTCCAGGTCCGGGCACTTGGCGAGAGCAAAGCAGTCATCTTTGGTCCGTCACGAATGCCAAGACATGCACGCTGAACCGTCGGCTTTGATGCCAAGCTTTGCTCCAATACAAAATCGTCAAGATTCATGCGACCATTTCAAATTTCTTTTAAAAGGACGGACTCTAACGCAATTTGGACTTTCAAATCAATCCCGAAAGTTCGAAACAAAGGCTTGGGGCCGTATCAGATCGCGCTGAGAAGCCAAAGGACGTCCACAAGCACGAGCACGAGCACGAGCACGAGCTCCTTCGGTCAAATCTTGGACTCAAGCCACCGAACGGACACGGTCGAGTTGCCTTGCGACCGTAGCAGCATTTCAACCACCGTTGCTGTCCCGAGCCGATGCTGGCACACCAAAGGAAAGCAGTCCAAGCAAGCGAGCTCACGGCCGCTTCTGAGGCTGCCCTATCCCGCCCTCGTGCCTCGGGTAGTGGGGACTACTGGTGACACGGGTGCTATCCGAACACACTTTGTACCGCGGATGAATCGCCCACCATTCCTTGTCCATTGCTGTCTCTCGAACGAGAGAATGTTCCTCCAAGCCAGATGCCAAGGCTTGCCCGACAGCGTTCGCTCTCTGCTCTAGGTGTTGACTTTGATGTTTGGCGATCGTTGACCAGTGTCAGACAGCGACACCTTAGCCACTGCACATGGTCCCCACGTTCATGACCCTTTGCTATGAGCCGTTTACTGTACGCAACGGCCTACCTTCGCTGTCATTCCGGCTTATGAGTAGATGAATTGATCGGGAGGACAATAACAATGGTGGGCGAGCGACATGGATCTCTTCGGTGGGACACGGGACATGCTGCGCCAAGCCCCATCATCCATGTTGAATGCAAAGCATAGAGAAAAGCTTGGCAGCCGTACTCCAAGAGCCCTTGCATCACTTTTGTCTCAATTGTACGTCTTGCCTTATTGTGCCTGATCCACACGGACCCTTTCGATAGTGGACACCTTTGTCCAATCACAGTTTCCCGCCGGTGAGATGCCCGTCAGGGACATCGGAAGGCCCATACGTTGCGTCAAGTACAACCGGAACGATGTGTCGTTATGCTCGTCACGCTTCTTGACATCTAGCGTTCTCTCACGCTGCCTTTTGGCGGTAATAGTGAAGTGCGATGATTACAAGAGGTGGCAATCCACCAACTTGGATGGTATCGAGCTAAGCAGATCTAGCCATACCCTCCCGCGCTGCCTTCCGATCCGCCATATGCACCAGCGTCCTGACTCCGTCCCGCTGCTCGGCAGCAGGACCCTCGCACTCCTACAACCGAGACCTCGCCGGTGTCACCGGCGCAGAGCCATCCGCATACCACATCACGAGCACGCAAACACTATTGTGTGGCCGAGCATCTTGGCATAAGCAGCACGAGACAGGGTCAAGTTGCCTTACACAGGGGCGAAAAAAAGCAGAGCTCTCAAACGGGCGGATCGTCAGTGTATGGGCTCTGCCTTGCAGGAAATTCAACCGAATGCCAAGAAACCGAAATTGAGTGAAGCGAGCCTGCGGTTCAGAGTGTGCCTATCGGAGTTCGCAATGCCACGTTTGCAGCGCGCTCCGGTCGGCGAAACCAGCAAATTGCAAGGTTTTGAGGTTTCTCACTCGCACGAATGGAGATCAGAGATAACAACCCAACACCTCGCCTCCTCATCCTCATCGTGGAATCAGTACCAACCAAGCTGTTTAGCGTCGACTTTGAGGAGCTGCTTTTCCGACATTGTGGTCATCGTCGACTGAGGACATGATAGACTCATACATTCGACCCCTCCAGATCATCCGGCCTCAGATTCCTCTTCTTCTTGCCCTTGTGTCCCTTGGCCGCCGTCCCCGGCCCCCAATTGGGCAAAGGATTGTTCTGATACCTGACCAGCTTCTCACTCGCACCCAACGCCTCCAACACCTCCTTCGACTTTGTATTCTCAAAATCGTACTCTCCCTTCGCTTCCTTCGCGAGCAAAATCCTTGCCGGATCGTTTGGCTTCATGTTCTCCATCTTGACTGGATGCTGCGTCTTGACCCAGTATCTCAAAATGTCGAACACCTGCGAACGACTTGCATCGGTCTTGAGTGAACCTGCTGCGGCGTGCGAGCGGCTGACTTTGTGTCCTGCGGACAGCAGGGCGGAGACCATCTTGTCGAGTGGGGGTGAGACGCAGTGGAACAGACCGGATGCTTTGGGCGGTGTAAAGTAGAAGAGGCTGTCCGGGGAGGAGAGCTCCTGGGCTGCTAGGGAGACCATTCCTCGAATTCGAGGCGTGGTGTGGAACGCCGAAGGATTCGCATCGAGATTGGTAAGAATCGATTGGCAGAAATCCGAGTCGTGAAGTTCGCCCAACCACATGGGGCCGCCGAGATGCATACGGTTGCCGCACTCGTTGCACCGTTCACCTACGGGCGGTCCCTGCGCCGAATTGAAGCGGTAGTTGACGTTGGTCTGGCCATTCTTGCCGGTGTTGGTGGTTTGCGTTGCGCGGCCGAATCGCTGCACGTGGAAGTCCTGGCAGTGCGTGCAGATGTACACGGTGCCGGTTTTGCTCGCGACATTCTTGACCTCGACGGGTCCGGTCCAAACACGTACAAAGGTGCGCAGGTAGAAGTCGATCGAGAGACTCAACATGGGCTGGATGTATCGGCCGTAGCGTGCTGCCGAGGTGGCGATGGTGTGGAGCACAAGGCGGAGTGCTACTTCGTGCGAAAACTCGGCCTTGACAGAAACGCCGCCATATTGGGAGAAGCACTTCTCCGGATAGTTGTGACCTGCTAGGACGGCCAAGTCGGTGCAGGTGACGCAGAGCAGTCCGCCGTCAGCTACGGATTGGACACCGCCGTCAATGAAGGGCGCAGCGGAACCGTATGGGTCTAGGTCGACCACGTCGAAGCGCTTGTTGGGTTCTCTGTGGGTGTACATGAGAGTGATGGCGTCGCCGGCGTTGAGCTTGACCTTGCAGTCGGGATGAATGGCTGCCGATGACGTCTGGGATTGAGTCGAGTCTTTCGCTTTGACAGAAGCGATTGATGCAGTAGCCGTTTCTGCTACTTCTGGTGCGGCTTCTGTGGCCTGTGATTGCTGTACTACTTCTGCCGACTTTGCTGAGGCGTTCGCCCTCGCTTCGTTCTCTCTTTCTGCCAAGGCATCCTCGTCCATTTCCTCATCGCACTCACTCTCCTTCGTTGAGTTATCGGTGGAGCCGGTTTCGTTCGCCTCGGACACGATCCATTCGTCAACCGGACGATCCGGAGGGAAGTTGAGCGCGACGTTTCGCTTCATCATTTCTACCGCCGTCGGAGAAAGATCGTTGGCAAGCACCCACCGCAGCAAAGGGATCTCTTTTGCATATCTAATGCTGCGCAGGCCTGTCGCACTAAGTGCTTCGAGCAATGTGAATTTGTAGTTGCGGTATTCGCTCTCTGGCGAAGCGGTGAGTGTGCTACTGGAAGCTTCCGGCGCTTCGTCTGGGAGCGAATCCTCGGCCACTGAAGAGGTTGAGACGCCATTTCCATTTGCATCGACTCTTGCCCTTTTTGCATCTTGTGATTCCTCCTGAGCCGCAATAGCACCCTCGGTGCTGGTTGATCCGTTGGCAGCCTGAACACCTTTGCGCTTTGCCTTTCCCTTGCTCGAGGACGCAGTCGCGGCTTTGCGTTGAGCGGCTCGCACAAAGCGAGCCTTCTTCTCGGCATCCAGTCTCTCGCTCCAGGTACGGATGGCAAGCGTCGAAAGATCACGATTGAACTCTTGCACAGGGTTGAGGAACGCAGCTTCAGCAGAGGGCATGACGATGGTGGCCGAGTTTTCGCGGAAGGCAGATTCATGGTCGGCGAGAGTGATGCCGGATGCTCGTGCACGCTCTGGTGCGAGCAAGATGGGTGTCGGTGCCATGCTGAACAGCCGTTTCGTCGCGTGTGAGGTAGATGGAGATGCTTTTGTTAGGAGCAAGTTGCTCGTCTTGCCTACAAAGATCGCTCGGGCAGTACGCTCGACCACCATGCACGAATCGTTGAGGTATGTGCGTTCGTTGTGCCTTGAGAAGATTTGTGGGAGATGACTTTCTACCGAGGTTCCCCACAGAACGGTTATGAAGGTCCAGCTTGGCTCTACAACAGTTTTGTTGCTTCTAGCTGTGCAGTGAGTCGTCGTTGGTGAGAAAGTCCGTTCATTAGGTAGGAGCGAGTCCTGGAAGAAAGTGTGAACCCTGACACCAGGGAAAAAAGTTGGAGGAAAAAGTAGATCCGCGAGCCGAACTTTTTGCAACACTCAGCTGCACAATCTGACAAGATCAAAAAAAAAATCATGGAACGGAGGTTCCTTTCACAGAAGACGAATCCGCTTGCTGCTTACGGACCGATGTGCGGCTTGCATATTGATTATCCCTCTGTGACACGCGCGATCCGTTGCTGACGCGATTCGACGATTCTGCAATTCAGGGTTCACGATTTGTTTGACAGGCTCCGATTATTCTTCGTGCAGCCGACGGCCAGAGCCATCCCTTTCAGCCCTTCGTTCGCCATCATCCTCTCTTGCTGGTCGACCACCGTCATCTTTAGAACACCTTACTGCTCGTTGTCGTAACGTCCGCCTTCCGAGATGGCGACGATACCTCTTAAACAGGCTGACGGCCTCAAACCGCTCTCACGCACCACTTCGGCCGCTTCCACCCCGACCAAACGCAGCTCCCGCAAAGTGATCATCATCGGCGCTGGAGCCGGCGGGACCGCGCTCGCCGCTCGACTCGGTCGTCGGGGTTACATCGTCACCGTGCTTGAGAAGAACGATTTCGGAGGAGGCCGATGCTCGCTCCTCCACCACTCTGGACATCGATGGGATCAAGGACCTTCGCTCTACCTCATGCCCGAGATCTTCGAAGCCTGCTTTCGCGATCTCGGCGAAGACATCCGCTCCCACATCCGTCTCCACCAATGCAACCCCGCTTACCGAATTCATTTTGCAGATGGAGAGAAGATGATGCTCTCCTCCAACCTGTCCCAGATGGGAGAGACGTTGAACTTTTTCGAAAAACGCGCTGGGAACAAGGAGGACCCCCTGACGAACTTTTTGTCTTTCCTCAAGGAGGCGGGGGAAAACTACGAGGAGTCGATCAAGCACGTGTTGACAAAAGATTGGAGTGCGTGGTGGGCGTTCTTCCGACCGGAACTGTTTCCGATGCTGTGGAAGACAAAGGGGTTGAGGATCTACTCGACGCTGTACGACAGGACGACAAAGTACTTCAAGTCGAGACACGTGAGGAGAGCACTGACGTTTTCGGCCATGTATATGGGCATGAGTCCGTTCGACGCTCCGGCGACGTACAGCTTGTTGCAGTATGCAGAATATGCGAAGGGGATCTGGTATCCGATCGGTGGATTCTACAAGGTGGTCGAGGCGATGGAGAATGTCGCTAGGGACAAGTTTGGAGTTGAGTTCAGGTACGGAGCGGGGGTGAAGAGGATTGTGGTGGATGAGAGAAAGGGGACCGCCAACGGGGTGGAGTTGGAATCGGGAGAGGTGTTGGAAGCGGATGTGGTGGTCAGTAATGCCGATTTGGTGTGGACGTACAACAACCTGTTGCCGCCATCGTCGTATGCGACAAAGCTCAGGAGCAAGGATCAGACTTGTTCGTCCATTTCATTCTACTGGTCTCTCTCCTCCGTAGTGGAAGAACTAGGTGGACACAACATCTTCCTGGCCGATGCGTACCAAGAATCGTTCGACGAAATCTTCCGCGATGGAGACACACCTTCCGAGCCATCCTTCTACGTCAACGTACCGTCTCGACTCGACCCTACCGCTGCACCACCCGGAAAGGACACCCTCGTCATCCTAGTCCCGTGCGGACCCATCTCGATCCCTGAGAAGCCCTGCGCGGACTCGACCAAAGGCGCCCACACACGCTCGCAGTTCGAAGCCACCGTCGCCCGTGCCCGGTCCCAAGTCATCGCCACCCTATCCAAACGACTCAACCGACCCGATTTCGAATCGCTCATCTCGCACGAAATCGTCAACGACCCTTTCGACTGGCAGGACAAGTTCAACCTCTTCCGTGGATCCATCCTCGGTCTCTCGCACACCATCCCGCAGGTCCTCTGGTTCAGACCGAGCATCCAGCATGCCAAGTACAACAACCTCTTCTTCGTAGGCGCCTCCACCCAGCCAGGAACCGGTGTACCCGTCGTCGTCGCCGGAAGCGGTGTCGTAGCCGAGAGAGTGTCCGCCTTCCTGGAAGGTAGGGAGAAAGGCTGGTTGAGCTGGGAGGCGGTTCGAGGAAGTATCTTCTTGGCTGTGCTGGCACTGCTGGGTGTCATGGTGGCTGGATTTGCAGCTGGATTCATTCTGCTGGGCGTGGTGATCGCTGTCTCGGTGCATTTGTTGGGGATAGCCGATGTGCCAGGCTTGGTCAGGGGCAAGGTCATGCCTGAGTGAATGACTCTCAAGAACGGCAGGCCGGCAGAAGAGGACATTGTCTAACTCCATGTGACAATAGAAATGGATACGAGCGATAAACCACACCGCTTCATCAGAAATGATGACCGCCCGCCTCATGAGTCGGAATTGTGGTCAGTTATGGCACGCTCAAAATGTTGGTCCTCACAATCGTCGTGGTAAGTATCTCGGAGAGATATGATTGCAGATCTCGAAAAAGGAAGCTGTTGAGGAAAAATGGTGAATCCGGACATGCCTTCTAGAGTTCTCGGAATGATAGCGATGAGCACGTATACTGGCGCGACAATTCCTCGCATCAATTCCGTCTCGAGGCGAGGGAGGAGAGCATCCCAAAAGAAAGTGGAAAAATGAAGGTCAAGGTGGAAATGTCACCAAGCAAGGAAGAATTCGAATGCGGCCGGAAAAAGAGTCTGATGGAGGAAGCGATTTTAAGGGTCCGTTATGGTCATGGCATCGTTGCGGAATCTACTGGTTGGATCGATAGGTCGACGAGGGAGGAGGGTCTTTGTGGTTGTGAGCTGGACGACGGCTGGGCCCACCTCTGGAACTGTCGTCTTCGGTCAGATCAGGCTCGGCATTGGCCAGATGCAATCGACGCGGCTGGTCGTCCACTTCCTCGAGCTCATCCTGCGCATCCACATAGGCAGGTGGCGATATGCCACCGACCAAGCCATGCGTCTGACTGACCGGGCTGCCGTGGTTGGAAGAGAGGCGTCGACTTTGCCTGCGAGGCGAAGTTGGTTTGTTGTAACTCTGAGTACGTGAGAAGCCGCCTCCGGAACCAAGGGCAGCAGCAGCAGCTTGGCGTGCTCGAGCGTCGCGCACCTCGGGAGGGTCAAAGTGGCTGTAGTCGGGACCGGGGGAGCGGGTCTGGGCAGGTACGTTGCGTGCAGTAGCAGCCGCAGCGGCAGCGTTGGCAGCATTGGCTTCCGAGGGGGAGACCATGAACTGGGCTTGAGGAGGCGAGTTGGCAAGGTTCTGTCCCACGCCGGCGACCGAATAAGGACCGTGAGTGTCGTGCCAGCCCATCATGGGAAGCGTCCAAGGAGCGGGAGCGGCGCTCTCAGCAGCAGGAGACATGTTGGCAGTATTGTAGCTATCCTGCTGCGAGTGGTAGCCGTATGACTGGTGTCCGTGCGAAGAACGTCGGTTGTTGCCCGGGGAGCTTGCATTGTTGTAGAGGTGACTTGCAGCACCGCCAGCAGCTGCACCAGCTGCGAGGGCGCCTGCACCGTTGCGAGACGGACGTTCCTGCATGTCTGGGTAGCCGTCGGAGGCGTAAGCGTTCGAGTTGTAGCCGTGGTAGCCCTGATAATCGTTGTAGGCGTCTTGACCGACATTGGAGCCAGTGTAGCCATATCTTTCGGGATCGTCGTCGTTGGCAAACTGGGCGGGGAGGGTTGCGTTGCCCTGGTCACGACGATTACGACGGCTGCGAGAACCGGCTGCAGCAGCGCCAGCGGCACCAGCAGCTGCGCCCGCACCAACGCCTGCAGCGCCGGCAGCGTAGGAGGACGAGACATGATCGTTCTGCGGATCAAACGTGGGCCAAGCACCACCGCTATGGCCGAGATCGCCAGCGCTGTTTCGGGAAGGTCGCTCACCAAAGCAGAGGAAGTATGCGTGACCAGTGCGCGACTTTCGCCTGCTGGCCATGCAGCAGAGGGCGATCAAGAGGGCGAGGAGGATGAGGCCGCCGACAACACCGCCAACCACGCCGCCGATGAGGCCAGCATTGGTGCTGGAGCGATTGGCGTTGGCCCTATTTGCTGAGGCAGTGGTGGTGACGACGGGAGTGACGACGACGGTGGTGACGACTTGGGAAGTGCTTGTGCCCGAAACAAGGTTTGAAGTGGTGACGAGCGTGGTCGGGGAAGAGGTGGTGATGACGGTGGAAGAAGAGGAGGACGAGGTGGTGGACGTGATGGTGGGCGTACTCGAGGTCGAGGTGGTGGAAGTGGACGATGAGGTAGAGGTGGAGGTTGGTGTAGAAGCTATTGGATCGGGGAGACGATTTGAGGTGGCTAACAAGGTCAGTACGGAGATTGTGTTGAGACCGAGGGTCGAGGCAGAAGCACAGGCAAGGAGGCAAAGATGGATGTAGGCCATTAGAACTGCCAATCGGCGCTTCAGCGGTTCGAAGAATGCTACTTACATGTAGAGGATGTAGTTCGTCGTGAGGTTGTAGAGGTAGTTCTAGATGACGTGGTTGACGGTGTGGTGGCACTGGTAGCGATGGAATCAGTGTTGCCGGGACCGTCGAACAAGCTGCTTGGAAAGATGTCGAAAGGATCACCGGTTTGTTGTCGCTCCCACAGCGCCGTGGCACGAGGAGCGAGGGTGGGTTGTACAGCCATGTCGACGGCGTTTTTGCACGTGGAGTGGTGGATCAGAACGGGTCGGAAAGATGGGCAGAGGTGCTTGTAGTAGGTGATCGAGGTGTGCAACCGGATGGATGGACAAATGGTGGTGAAAGAGGAGGAGGAGGAGGAGGAGGAGGACAACGTCGACAAAGAACCGAAGCTTCTATCCAGGCACCAATGTGCAAGAACAAAAGGCGGGGGCGAGAGAGAGGGCGCAGAGCTTTCAGAAGAGGTAAGCAGGCTGCGAAATGCTGCTGCTGCAGCCTGGCGTAGTGATCCCAAGGCTTGGCGGCGTGGTTCTGAGGAGGCAAAATATCGACATGCACTTTGCTCCTGCGTCGAACAGTGCGATCTGCGACCGGTAACTGGCTCAGACTGACTTGCTGCCCTGTGCCTGCTTCTTCCTCTTTACTGCAATTGGTAGTCGCAGGGTCTGGCCGCCGATCCCAGCCTTGGGCTGTTTCTGCAAAATTTTAACGTTGCTCTCATGCGGAGAGTGTAGGCAGCAGACCCTGACCCGATACCTTTTTTTGCACGCACGAGCGAGGCGCAAAGGCAGAGCCCGCCTGGATTAGGAGCGAGCTCGCGCAGACCCGCGGCGAACATAAGCGAGCTTCATCGTCATTGTGTGCCCTAGCCGCAGATCGGAGCCACTCTGATTCGCGACAGTGGATCGGGTGTAGACTCGGCAGAGGCACGCTCCTTTCAGCGACTATCTGAGTGACACCGCCTCTTGAGTCTGTTGTGGCATCCCAAACTGTGTTTTGAGACAGTGTCTGCTCTGGCGCTTCCAAAGTCCGATGTCGGCGAATCAGCATCCTATAGCCGTGCAGTCGATCTCCGCCACGGGGACACTTGGCAAGGCGCCGTGTACGGAACAGCGACGAAAGGACCCCAATCCGACGACAGGAAATCCACTTGACCGCCAAGGTCCGTCTCAATACAGTATTCTGTCAGGCCGGAAGGGAGCAGGCAGAAAGCAAGCAAGGTCTCGACGACTTGCAGACATGTGCGCCAGGCACTTTCAGTCATCACAGCGACCCTCGACCCTGCATCTGTTGGCTGTTTTTCTACCCTCAAGGGCGTGCCTGCATCGCGCGCTCGTGGGGTACATTTGTAGTACCATCACTTTGGGTGGATGCGCACAGATTCGTATGCTGGCGTGTTCCATCCTATGGCTGCTCATCATCGTCCAGATCCGCTAGGCCGCCGTGTCGAATGTGTCAGACCAAGGACGCCTCGACTTTGCGACATGGGCAAAGAGAGGTTTGCACCGCCAACGTGATAGCCAAGCTTCTACGGGCTTTCGCTTCCGAGGTGAAGCAGATGCCTCGAAGACTCGCTTGCTGCTGTGTGAAAATTTCACGCTTCAATGTGGCATGACAAAATTTGGACTGGTGCGCGGCGGCGTCGAGCCGAGTGCACTTGGACACTGAGCAGGCTTGCCCCCAGCGTAACTACAATACACACAACACAGAGTCTGGGTTTGAACTTGGCGCTCCGCGATCCCTGCGTGTGTCGACCTTTGTTGGTGTCCCTCAACCAGGCTCGAACGGCACTCGCCAGCTCTCCCCTTCCTTACGGCTGATCCCGACCCGAACCGCATCGTGGCTTTCTCCATCTTGTTGCTCATCCCGTTGAAACTACAAACGGGGCCAGTGGATACTGTGCCACGACCATAGAGCTTCACCGATCACAGCAGCCCAGAATGGCAACACTACAACAGTGCATCAAGCCTGGCATTGAACTACGCTTCAGAACGGAGGATTCAGGGGCTGTACCCACTGGCTTTCGCTCCTTCATTTTGATAATGGCGAGGTGCGCAACAGTTATCAACGAAGCAAGCCTTCCTTACAAAATTGAATTCAAGGTATGCCAAAGATGTGTTTGCTCTGCGTATGTTGAATTCGCAGGCCAAGTTCGAATTTCACAGCAAGAGAATTCGAATTCAGCCAAATCAAGTCGGTGGTGACTCTTTCTTTAACGGCAAAATCTTCGCTTGCTTGGTGATGAAAAAGCCAGCTGCTGTGTGGTTTTTTTTCGACTGCGCTGAGGAGGAAAAAGCTGAAAATGATGCTCAGTCGCGCTCGCTCTGCCCTTCCTAGAACGAAACTCTTGGAGAGAGTGTGTGAGAGAAAGGAGGCGCGAGAGTCCCTCTGCAAATGAGGCTCTCTTGCATCATTTTGGCTGCCTCTCATGGGCTGCAACACGAAATCGAGGCAAAGCTGAGCGAGCGTGGACGAGGGAGCAAGCCAAGCTGACTGATTCTAGTCCCTCTGCCCGGCAGAGTCATTCATCATTCAGGCAGACAGGCCGCTTCCGCAGCAGCCAGCGTGGGCGGGCAAGTGCGTGTTTGAGCTAGTTAGGTTACAGATGATGATGGTGATGATGAACTGGGTGTAGCTCGACTTCGCATCTCAGCTTCTCGTCACCATCCTCCCCTTTTCTTCATCACCCCTTCCTTCTCCTATCTCTTCGCTTGGGTCATCTTCCAGTGGTTGAGTCTCTGTTCTCGTTGGGACGCTCCTCCCTTCTTCAGAGCAGGCTCATCCGCCCTCTTTCGCCCGCACACTCCAAGCCGCAGTCGTTCAGGTCTCGTCACCCTTGAACCTGTGGTATTGCGAAAGCGTAGAGTAGAAGACCAACAGAGACGATCCATCTGGCCTTCGGCCAAAGCTCGGCATTGCTTTGTCGCAACCCAGCGCTTGCGTCGCCGCTCTTGGATCTCGCCCAGTCGACCCGATCGAACAGCTTGGTCGAGCCGTCTCTGCAAGGAAAACGACGACTGGCTCTTTCCACCGAAGCACCTTTGCTTTTGTTGCGACGATCTCGACCTTCCTAACGACCCGCAAAGTCTTGATCCTGCTCTCGACTTTGACGTCTTCGACTGTTTAGCATCCCGCGTTCAGTTCTCTCACTTGTTCAGTCGGGTGTCGCCATCTTCGAGCTTCGCTCCTTCTTGCTCCGCGCTTTGCCGGTCTCGATTTCTCGAACCTTTCGAAGACTCTATGGCTGCTAGTCTCCGTCGTCAGTGATCCTCTTCTGCATCCCCTCGGGCACAGGGACGCCTTAATTGTGCTGCTCTCTCACTCGTCATACCTGCCCTCCCTTCCCATCTTTTCGAATTTTCAATCCGCCGTTCATCTTTTGCGGCCTCTCGCTTTCCGCATCTCGGCACCTGCATCCGTTTGCTCCTAACACTTTAGACGCTCTGCACCAGTCTCCATCTCGCAACTCGATCCCTTCCCGCGTCTTGATCCATCGCAAGCTGCCATCTCGACCAATTCTTTGCCAGTCCGACGCTCGTTGTTTCTCAGCTCGCGCTCGGCCTTGCACCTCAAAAGCGTTCACCTCGGTCTCTCCACCGAAGTGCACGCACTAGCTGCTCCAGTCAGCCATGGCCTTCTATCCCGAGGCGCAGCCCGCCGCGGCTGCCTTTCACCACCCCGATTCGGCCTACGCCATGAATCCCTATGCTCATCACGAGCAGACCCACCTCGCCGCTGCTCCCCCTCCGAACGGTGTGCCTGTCTATCCTTATGTCGATGCTTCGGCGCAGGCTCAGTTGTACCAACGCCCATCGTACGGCGACGTCGCATCTGCTTCTGTCTCCAACGGTGTTGACCACAATGTGTGGCAAGCCCCTCAAGCTCCCCGCCTTACCGCCGCCGCTGCCCGAGCCGGTCGACAACACTCGATGGGCTACGCGCCTGCCGGGTATGGGCAGACGCATCCTTGGTACGCACAGTCTTTGGTTCCCCAGCCCTACCCACAGCCACGCACCCATCAGCAACTCGAGCACCAGCTCTTGGTGCAGCACCATCTTGCCAAGGTCCACGAGCGACAGAACTGTGCGCATGTGTACCAACCTGCGTTCGGTTCGGCCTCGCTCTCTTATCCACAGCAGCAGCATCCTCCCTCCCATCCTCAAAATCATTTTCATCATCACAACAACACCTTCCAACAACAACCTCATGCCTACCAGACCGCATCCTTTGCTGATCACGATACTCGCAGTGACCGATACGCGAGGTATCATGATGGCTGGTCCAGCTCTCACCGTGGCGAGCGTGCTTCGGACGCGCCACAAAATGGTTGGTCAGCCTGGCATCACGCCGCCGCCGCAGCTGCTCACCGTGAACAAATGGTTGCGACCCAGCCAAATGCTTCGCATCGCCATTCTATCGACGCTGCCGCACACAACGCCGCGGCCTGGGCACCCTCTCACAATGTCGCTGCTGCCCAGCAGCACGGTTGGGACCAGTCGACACACTACGCTCAGCATTCGTACGTTGACAACCATCATGCCGACACAGACTATCGCGGCTCGGCTGCTCGCAGAGGCTCGGGCTACGACTATCCCGATCACATGTCTCGCTTTGTCCACCCACACGATCGCTCGCACGAGTACGCGGAGCATCACAGAAGAGATGGGCCGCACAACTACGCACAGGCGCGCCACGGCCAACGGACCGCATGGCAAGAGCGCGCGGACGAGTCTCGCAATCGAACCGAGGCAACTCATTGGCAGACGCAGCCCGAGGCTCGCCACGACTTGCCAGACGAGACCGTCGCCAACGTTGCAGAAGTACACGACTCCATTCCCGCCGAAGAAGCCGCTGAGCAAGCTGCCGCTCCTGCACCCTGCTCTCCTGGCTCGTTGGAGAAGTCGGCGTTGCCCATCGCTGCAATCGGCGCCCAGCTCATCTGGAATGCCTGCGCCGCTCTCTTCGACCCCGAGCTGCTCATCGAAGCTCACGATACCGCCGACGAGGCCATGGAGGAGGATGTCGACGATGCCATGTCACCTACCGCGGCGTCCATGCCCTCATCGTCGTCCACGCCTTCGCTCAACACGCCCGACATCTCGCCCTGGTCCTCGACCGTGCTTGACCGATCCAGCGCCAACTCAGCCTCTTCGAACGAATGGAATGCCTTCCGCTCGCCGTTCGGCCCGGAGCGTCTGCCCCAGCTGCGTCCTCAAGCCCATTCGTTCACTTTTGGCAGCGACCAGTCCTCGACTCATCACGATCTGCACCGCATGGCTGTGGGTGCAGAACGAGCCCGCTCGACGCTGGTCCGAGACGCATCGCCCACCAAACGCTCGCGTCAGGGCTCTGGCTATTCGGAGGTCACCGCGGGACACAGCTCCAGCGCGAGCACAGCGAGCAGCTCCGAGCCAGGCACCCCTGCTTCTCTCGCACATGAAAGCCCGGCCCTCAGCTCCACCGTCTCGGCCAACTCGATCGAGACGACGCGCAGTCCTCTCCGCGCCGGCCTCGGCATGTCGCTCGATGGCTCGCGATCCGAGTCGGCGATCCGTTCGCGACGCAACTCGTCCAAGACCTCGCCTACGCTAGGATCATCCAAATGGTCCGGAAGGATCCGCGACAATGTTCTTGCCGTGCTGCGCCTCGTCTCGCCTGACTGGCGTTGGAGCAACAACGACCATCTCTTCGTCTCGCTGAGCGAGACCCTTCCAACCGCCAGCGCCAAGGCCAGCAACGCTCACTCTCAAGGTCGATCCGGTGGCCGGGACTCTGTGACGAGCATCGTCACTTCGTACGCCAACGAACCCAGCCCTGCTTTCCGCAGGTTTGTGCATCAGGTGCTTGCTCAGACCCTGCTCTCGCCTCCTGCTTTCCTTCTCGGCATCCTCAACGCGCTGAGGTTGCTTGTCATGGCGCAATTGCCCGACGGCTCTATCGATCCTGTCGTGCTCGAATTGTTTGCACAGCCCACCTCTGCTGCGCCGTTCAAGCTGTTTACGCTTGGCATGATGATCGCCAACAAGCATTTGGACGACAACACGTTCCTCAACAAGACGTGGAACGAGGTCACTGGCATCCCGCTCGCCGAGCTCAACCAGACCGAGGCGTGGTTTTTGAAAAAGTGCAACTACGAGGTCAGCGTGCCCGACGAGACGTGGATCGGCTTCCTTAACCGGTTGCAGTCCTGGGAGGAGAAGCGCTCGAGTCGTGGCATGCACCGCGACCAAGATTCGTCGAAGCGCTTGCTCCTCGTTCTCGACGAGGCCTTGAGTCACTTTGACGCCATTCCGGCCTTGCAGTTGGATGGCGGGATCGCCCACGACATGATGCGCACCAAGTCGGCGTCGCCGATGGATATGTGGGCCAGGCCACACCACCATCACGCCGGCTCGCTCGCGCTGGGCGCTGACGTCGACGATGCACAGCTGTGTCACTCGGCTCCTGCTATGGCTACGTTCCCGTCGCACGACTCTACGCACGCCGCACCGCACAGGTCAGGCCACGTTGCGCGCGCCAGTGTGGCGATGGAGAATTCGTCGGCGACTCTGCTGCGTTCGAGCTCCGACTTTGCGTTCAAGGACATCAGCCCGTTGAGCGAGTCTGGCAAGAGTCAGAGCGGGACCATGTCGGGGCCGCTGATGCCGTCGGCGCTGTTGAACGGCTCTCGCTCGCTGTTCCACCACGGCAGCATGTTTGGGCCTCTGGCGACGTCGGGCTGAATGATTTGGTATACATTTGTTTCGTCGTAACGGCTAATGTTTCGCTGCTGTTCTTACCTTGTAGATATGACGACGTTCAGCTGTGCGGTTGGACGTTGTCCAAAAAACCACACACACAGACTTTCACCACTGCCGTGCTTTTTTCTTTTTATCTTTTTTTTCTTGCATTCTTTTGTCGATACTTTTGCTCAACGGTGCGCTGTTCCTGCGGTCGTGGGTTGGTGCAAACAATTTCACTTTTGAAAGCTCTTGCGGCCATTTAAAGCAACGACGTTGGATGAACGTGGTGAGGTGTCAGGTGTCAGACATGCTCGAGTTGGGGAAAAAAAAGTGAGGAGAAGCGGGATATGAATTTCGGGTTTGATAAGAATACAAGAGTGGGGGATTAGTTCTTGTTGGCGTTGACGAGGGAGTCTAGGTTATCGAACATGGTTTTTGTCGAACTGTTCGCAGCAACAGGGGTGTCGGTTTGGTTGGAGGATGCGGAGGTGGGGCGACCGAGACGACGTTGTTTCTGGCTGTCGGATTTGCGTCCCTGATTGAGCGCATTGAGCAGCGTCGATTTCCTCGCTCCCTCACCCGCGCTTCCACCGCCGATGGCTCTTCGAACAGGTCGGTTGGGATCCTGCCTCGTCTGTCCAATGTACTGCGCGCTTCCGACCGGAGCGATCTTGTTGACCGGCTGACCTTGCGAATCCGTCTTTACGAGTTCCAAGTTGGACCTGAGGTAGCCGAGATCGTTTCTGGGTGCAAGCATGTCCTTGTGCATACCGCTGCCGAGGGTCAAGCTGGACGTGCGGTAGGCGTCGACGATGCGGAAGAGGGCGGTGCCCTGTTTGGGCTGCTGACGACTCCAGTCGATCGTGGGTGGGGCTTGGGAACGAAGCGGTGCGTGGAGGTAGGAGACGTGTCCGCCGATGAGCACGGAGCGGCCGTCGGCGATCTTGGCGTACTTGCGGAGATCGCGGTCGGATCGAGAGGATACCTCGTGGACCACGCGGCCGACGACGGGTTCGGCGAGGATGGAGGAGTAGATGGGATCGGGTTGCGAGTACTGCAGTCCGGCGTGAGGGTGGATGGTGTTGGGTTGGGAGAGACCGGGTAGCGCGGTGGATTGCTGACGGGAGGATCGACGGAGCGTCTTGTCTTCGAGCATGCGGAAGGCGTCGCGTGTCGCATCGGCGTCGCGAGACTGCTCGAGCATGTCGATCTCGGCCAGAGACATCTTGTCCAGCTCTGCTTCCGGGTTGATCTCCGGTAGAGGTTCTTTGGTAGCACCCCTTCGCTCCGCGTCCTCCTGCGCACGAACAGCAGCGGCGTACTCTTTCTCCTGTCGTTTGCGAATCAGTCCCAACAGTCGAGACTTTTCCTTATTGCTGAAGAACTTCTTCCACGTTCCTCTCTCGTTCCTGATTTTTTCGACAAACTTCTCAAAGTCTCTGTCGGACAAGGCGTTGTAGTTGGTCATCATCCTAGCCCGTGTGGTGAACTTGTCGGCATCGAATCCGAACGCCCTCGAAGTGGACTGTTCACCCATGAAATCCAACCCCTTGTATGCTGGATCAGCGGCACCCCTAGCCGCGTGATGCTTCATGAGATTTCTCCATCTATTGTTGTACAGCCTAGCCTCTTTCTCCTTGGCATCTTCACGGGCTTCCTCTTCGGGGGTCAGTTCGATAGGCCCTGGAATGTCGGATGGGAAGTATCTCTCGGTGGATTTGAGGAAACTGGTCGCAGGTCGTGGGCCGTACGCTCCAGGATCGGTGTATGTGTGACCACCGGATTCGGGTCTAGCAACATGAAGCTTGGTATCGGCTTCGGCCCAACGTTTTACAAAGAGGGTCTCCTTTTCGCGTTCCTTCCAGGTGGTCTGGCCTTCGGCTGTGTCGACGTTGGAGACTTCGACGTAGCGAAGGGCGCCGGGGTGAGCGGCGGAGCCGGAGGACGAGCCGAAGATGGAGGCGGAGGAGGAGGGGAGTGGACGTTTGAGGCCCCATTCACCGCGGGCGGAGTAGGCGGGAGGTGCTGTGTAGACCTGTGGGATGGCAGGGTCGAAGCTGGAGATGCGAGCTTGACGGAGCAGCTTCGAGAACTGGGTGGGCGCCGTGGCGGCGGTGTTGGCTGCCATGGCTGCGTGGTCCGTTTGGAAGGTGGTGAATAGGTGACGGCGATGGAGGTGGTGATCGTTGTCGAAAGTGCATGTGGAAAGTGCATCTTCTTCTTTTTGCTTTTCTTCTCAGCTCAGCTCAGAGCGGTCTTGGCTCGTTCTCGATTTTCTTTGCGCTTCACGTGAGATGTGCACATCGTCCATTATTTTCGTGCGATAAGAATTTTGCATTTGTTCGCGTTCCAAAGTCACTTAACGCGAAAGCCTCATCTTGACTTGCACCTTTCCTCCCTCTGTCGATCACCTCTGTCGGCCCTCAACATACCCTTTCTACCATTCAGACCATGTCGAGCATCACCCTCCAAACATACGCTTCTCGAGCGGCGAAGCAGCCCAACCCGGCCGCCAAAGCTCTGCTGGAATGCATCGAGCGCAAACAGACCAACCTGTGCGTCTCCGTCGACGTGACGAACAAGCAGGACTTGCTCGACGTCTGCGATGCCGTCGGACCCAACGTTTGCCTCGTCAAGACTCACATTGATATCGTCGAGGATTTCGATATGGATCTGGTGCACCAATTGACAAAGCTCAGCGAAAAGCATGATTTCTTGATCTTCGAAGACCGAAAGTTTGCAGACATTGGTAAGTGCCCTTCTCGCACACACGAGATCTCTAGAAACAAGAGCTGTCAACTGACCAGATACTTTTTCGTGGCTTGATGTAATGTAGGCAATACTGCAAGCCTCCAATATTCGGCGGGAGTACACAAAATCGCCTCGTGGTCACACATTACCAACGCACACCTCGTTCCCGGCCCCAGCGTCATCTCCGGACTCGCCAAAGTGGGACAGCCGCTCGGTCGCGGTCTCCTACTGCTAGCAGAGATGAGCTCAGCAGGTGCACTCACAAAGGGATCCTACACGCAGGCCTGCGTCGACGAGGCAAAGAGGGACACCAGCGGTTTCGTGTGCGGCTTCATCGCCATGTCTCGTGTAGACGAGAAAGAAGGGCCCAACACCGAACGCGATCTGCTCATCCTGACGCCCGGCGTTGGGTTGGATGTCAAGGGTGATTCTTTGGGTCAGCAGTACAGGACGCCCGACCAGGTGATCAGGGAGAGCGGTTGCGACGTCATCATTGTCGGAAGGGGCATTTATGGCAGTCTGATGACCGAGGAGGGTAAGAAGGACAAGAAGGCGGCGTTCGACAAGGTGAGGGAGCAGGGAGAGAGGTACAAAAAGGCTGGGTGGGAGGCTTACTTGAAGCGTATCGGTCAGCTTTGAGAGTGTAGATGGTGAAGCGCAATGGGAAATTTCGTCTAGCAGAGCCGGTATCAACTGTGGATTTCGTGCTCGGTGTGCAGGTTGCAGCTGTGTGATTCTGATGAGCAGTGCAGACGGCAGAGCAGTGTTGATGTAGCTGAAGACTAACGGTGCAGGACGATGAGACGTGAGCTTCGGTTGAGCCGGCGGCGAGCATTGCCAAAAGAGAAAGAAGGCTCTCTTTGCTTTTGATTGCCGTGCGCTGCGTGGCTTGAACTGGATTTTTTTGAGCCGGCTTGAAGGCCGAACATCGTGCACGTCGAGTGTGTTGAACCCTGTCCAAGAAGAATTCTCGGGTCGCCGTGTGGCGAATCACGTTCCACTCAATCTAAGCCTCCCCGCACCACTCCTCTCGCTCTTGTCATCATCGAAGACACTTTCCTCGACCTTCTCTAATCCACATTCCCCAACTGCATTGCGACCGATCATTCTTTCATTTCGATCACGCCCAGCTTTGCGCGCCGTCACAGCCGCTATCGCCATGGCAGCCAGCAACGCTTCCGTGGTGAGATCTTCTTCTCGACGAAAGCTGTTTGCTCCCACACCCGTCGCGAGCTTGACTAGCGACGCTACGATGGCTGCCACCACCCCCGCAAATGGCAACGGCGCCAATGCAGCGTTTGACGGCGATGCAGCATTAGCAGCTGCCATGTCGGCAACGGAAGCACGTCGGTCCTACTCTCTTCGTCGTCGTACGCCCTCTGCTTCCACTTCCACGGCAAACACACCTGCTCGCAATGCAACGCAGAAACGCACCATCAAGACATCGACGAAAAGATCGAGGGCAGCATCGCCATCGACCGCTTCCGAGCAGAGCGACTCTGCTGCCGGATCAGACTTTTCCGCTGACGAAGCCTCTGCATCGTCCGACCACGACAGCGATGTGTTCTCCGCCGAATCGACCAACGCACGTCGTTCCTCTTCCAAGACCAAGGCGGTCCAGTCACCCCGCAGAGCTGCATCTACCTCCAAGGCTTCCTCCTCGACGCCCAAACGATCCAAACCCAGCACTTCCTCCCCCAAAAAACCTCCTCCTTCACCGTTCGACGTCTCCCCACGCAAACCCACCAAAAAACCATGGAAAGTCAACCTCGAACCACACGAAGCCCACCCCGCCCCTCCCCACTGGGAAACCGTATACACCCTCCTCTCCCACCAACGCACCAAGATCGTCGCACCCGTCGACACCATGGGCTGCGAGGAGAACGGTCGTGCTGATCGACGTGCCGATTCCCAGCGCGCACTATCCACTCCGGAGACTCCGGAGGAAGAAGCGAAGCGCGAACGTCTCGCTACGCTCGTCTCCCTCATGCTGTCCTCTCAGACCAAAGATCCCGTCACAGCGGAAGCCGTGTACAACCTGCAACGAACCTTGCCTAATGGGTTGTGTCTGCAGTCTCTGCTGGAGGCGGATGATGAGATGATCTCGCAGTGTATCGCTAAGGTCGGGTTTTGGAGACGCAAAACGGGGTATCTCAAGAGTGCAGCCCAGATCCTAGCATCCGACTTCGATGGTGACGTACCCAAGACGGTGGACGAGTTGATCAGCTTACCTGGAGTAGGTCCGAAGATGGCATTCCTCGCACTCAGCAGCATGGGCATTCAGATCGGCATCGGTGTAGACACCCACGTCCATCGTCTCACCAATCGTCTCGGTTGGCACTCTACCAAAACCCCAGAAGAAACCAGGCTTAATCTTCAATCTTGGCTACCGGAAGAGCTGCACGGGAAGATCAACAGGCTACTCGTTGGGTTCGGTCAGGTGATCTGCGTTCCGGTAGGACCAAGATGCGATCTATGCGATGTGGGTAAGGCTGGATTGTGTCCGAGTAAGAGGAAAGTGGATGTCAAGAGCGTGGAGAAGAGGGTCAAAGTTGAAATGTTGGATAGCGACGATGACGCGGGCATGGTGGTGCAGGACAATTGGGTAAAGGTGAAGAGGGAGCAGGCGAGCGTGAAGGTTGAGCTAGAGGTGGACGGACCAGATGGCACGGGGAGGATGGAAGTCGGGGATCTATTGGAGACGCAAAAGGAGGAGGATGGAAAAGATGGGGTGGTATTGAGGGTCAAACAGGAAGAGGATCCCGATGCTGCGCTGGTAGAAAAGGCTCTCGAGTGGTAGCCCGAAACAGTCCCTGTCATTGATTCTTTTCCACATTCTCGATGCACATTCGTCGTCAAACATCTCTCTCCTCCGTGTGTCTACATCTCCCATTCGTGCCTAAATCCAGTCAAGTCAACACCGGTGAGCATCGACCACCACCCCCGCAGCCACCGTCTCGCCATTCATCCGCATCAACACCCTCGCCATCTCCTTGTTCGTCCTCGCATCCTCCAACGGAATTCCGCTGCTCTGCCCCGCCTGACCGCCCGCCTTGACTGTCACCCTCACCATCGCCGTGCATCCCTTCGTCAACACCCTCGGTTTGGCCTTCGCCACGCTGCCCGTCGTCTTATCCAGAATCGATACGAGCTCCGTCAACGTGGCGGCGATGTTGGCGCTGTGGTGGAAGAGTTCGACGCTGGTTCCTGCGACGAGCGGATAGGTGGGCTCGAAGACGAGGATCTGCGCGAGGAAAGAGTCGCACAGCGCGATAGGTGACGAGGGGGAACAGAGGACCGCTCCGACCGAAATTTGGATCTGATCGATACCGCTCAGGTAGACCGTGGCGTTGGCACCTGCCACCGCCCAGGGTACGGATTCGGTGTCCACCTCGATGGCTCGTACGATGCCCGATTCGTCACCGGGCACCGGCCGAACACGATCACCAATCTGTACGATGCCCGACACCACCCGGCCCGAAATAGCTACGCCCGACGCGATCGCCGTTTGCCCCTTGAATACGTTGGTCACCGGCAACCGCAGCGGCGCATCCAGCTGTCGTGCCGGTGGCTCGAGCGCGTCCAGAACCTCCACCAGCGTCGGTCCGCTGTACCACGCCGAAAGCGCACCACCTTCTTCCCTGACCGCCAGGTTCTCACCGACGGACCCGCCGCACGGCACAAACTTGAGCTTGGCCGCGTCGAACCCGCACGAAGTCAGGAACGGCTTCACTTTTCCCACGATCTCGTCGTACCTGTCCTGACTGTACGCCACAGCGTCGAGTTTGTTGACGACCACCACGAGCTGCTGGACGCCTAGACTGCGCACCAGCAAAGCGTGCTCTCGCGTCTGCCCGTTCGGACCGAACCCAGCTTCGAAGGCGCCTTGGATCGAGTCGACCACCAGCAGCGCCGAGTCGGCCTGTGCGGCACCCGAGATCATGTTGGGGATGAAGTCGCGGTGTCCCGGCGCATCCAGCAACGTAAAGGTGCGATGCTGCGTGGAGAAGTGATCCTGTGCAATGTCGATGGTGACACCACGTTCTCGCTCCTCTTCGGAAGAGTCGAGCGCCCAGGCGTATGCAAAGCTGCCTTTGCCGATCTTCTGCGACGCCCGCTCGTTGCTCGAGTATTCGCGTTGCGATAGCGAACCTAGCTCCAACAGCATTCGTCCCATCAATGTTGACTTGCCAGCATCGACGTGTCCTACAACGACCAAGCTCAACTCGGCCTTACCCTCCCTTTCGCGCTTGCGGTACTCCTCGATGATGCGTTCGTGAGCAATGCCCATGGGTGTGGAGACGGCGCTGGGCGCGGCCGAGCCAGCAGAGGAGGCAGCTTTGCTGCTCGAGCCACCGTGAATTTCGAGCGCTTCGATCTCGTTGCGAAGCTGGCTCACCGTTGTGCCACCTTGCTTTCCACCGGCTGCTTTGGCAGCTTGTCCGACTGCTGCTTTGCGGTGCAGCGGCGTCGAGGTGCCGGACGTCGGAGCCGATGCATTTGCTGCTGCTGCCGCCTTCTTTGCGGCTGTGAGGATGGCAAAACGACATCGCAGAGGATTCAAGGGTGAAGAGAGTCAGTACCCCGGATCATCGTTGAGCTTCAGCGCGGCCCTCGGACTACCTTGCACCGAGCCTCGTGCCCTCTCGCGCTTGTATGACAACATCGTCGGGGCTCGGACCAGCAAATGCCTTCTTGACCGTCTCCATCTCGGCTCCGGATCCTTCATCCGAGCCTTGAACGTAGAGTGCGAATGGAGACCCACCGGGCACCCGTCTCAAAAGCGACAGTGGAGCAACAAGCTGGTCGGTAGAAACCTTGGACGATCCAGCTACTGCGCTAATCGACGCCAGTCCAGTTGTTGAGACCAGAGCTTCTTCCGGAACGGGCTGTTGGCTGGGAAACAGGGACGAAATAGGCAGATCGGAGCCGAAACAGGTCTGCGGACGGGAACGAGCTTCTTCTTCTGCCGCCTGCGTGGCTGCTGCTTCTTTGGCTTCCGGTGTTGCGGCTTGACGCTGTTGCTTGTTGGCAAGCATGCGCTGCTGAAGCTTGGATAGAGGCTTTCCTGGCGCTTCCGACGCAGCAGCCGACGAGCTGCTGGGCTCCGTTGCTGGAGTTGCGGCAGGCTTTAGGCCAGTCGCACCAGCTGCGTTCCGCGCAGCAGCCAATGCAGCGAGTTTGCTTGTGCGACCGCTCGAAGCCGCAGATGCAGAGCCAGCAGCGGAGGCAGGATTCCCGGAGTGGCTAGCAGGAGATGATGTGGGCGTAGGCGCTGGCGATGCGGGCCGCGGTCGATCTGCAGCACTGAGAGGGACGTTGTCTGCTGGCCGCTTTGCGCTCGATCGAGCAGCCAAAGCCGAAAGCTTCGAAACGGGCTTTGTAGATGCCACGGGGACGGACGAGGACGACGCTGATCCTGCTTGGGAATCTCGGACAAAGTCGGGAGCCATCGCTGCAAGGTTCCGCTTCGCCAGACCGGCGCGACCGCCCGTAGACAGTCCGCGAAGGCCTTGAGCTTTGCCTCGAGGCATTCCTCTGCCAGCTCGGATCTCGGCACGACGATCTCGCTGTAGAGAAAGTTGTTTGAACGCCTCTATTGTCGGTCCATCGTCTTCGGATTTCAGACCACCGCTTCCTGTGACGGTGTAGTCAAGACAGTCGATGCGTTGATTCAGATTGCTGCTCGCTAGACGGACACCCTACTCGCGCAGCTCTGGTCCTCTGCCCGACCCAGCCCCGTCCCGCCCCTCGCAGCATCTGCGATCATCATGTCACCTGCTAAATGGATTCGAGCAATTCATGGAAGGTGGAAAAGGGCCGCGCTGAGCCAGGCTGGTAGAGGGAAAAGACTCACCTTGTTTCTGTCTGTCCTTTTCTGCTTTTGCTTCTCGTCTGCTCTTCTCCTCTACGAGCTGTGTGATCGCCGAGTCGACGTCAAAGTAGGCGTCCCAGAGAATATCCTTGATTTCGCGCTCGGTGAATCCGTTGGAGCTGATGGGACCGATGACGTCGAGAGTCTGAGCGTACGCCTCGGTCATGGCCTCGTGGTCTTCTTGGGACAGGTTGTCGTAGGGGTCTTCATCGTAGTAGTCGTCTTCTGCGAGCTCCTCATCAAGGTCCAAATTGCGAACCGCGCGATGTCGTGACATGTTGAACGAGCGCTTCTGTGTTTGTGGCAAGAGCCTGAGATGGTGAGGAAGAGATGGGGGACGAAGGCGAGTCCAGAAGCTTTGGCAATGCTGCCGTGTGACGTCTCGAGTGACTTTATGTGGGAAATCACGCTTTTTCGATTGGCTCGTTCGCCCCTCCACTTTTTCAGCTTGATTTACGCTTAGATTCTCTTCTAAAGTTGATGTGGTCTAACAAGTAGAAACTCGGCAACCGCTCCTTCTTACATCTCATAAGTAACCTCCCGAATCAGCATCACACTGACTTGACACTCGCGGCAGTGATTCGATCGATTCGGTCTCCTTTATCTGAAGACGAGGTCCATTGCAAATTCTACAGCTGTCACTTTGGATCCGGTAAGAACGTTTGCAAGACAGCTGCCTCTTTCTCTTCCTGTTCTGCCAGGTCCTCTCTCGGTGGCTTTGCGTCACGGAACTGCTTTGCCGTGTCCTGTCTCCTCTTGATGGCCTTGGTGATCAGCTTGGATACTTTCGACACTTGGTTGCCCTTCTGCTTTGCCGAATACTGGTGTTCGGATACGATGGATCGCAGCACGGTGGAAGTGAGCGAATCTTTCGCCTTCATGGCTTCTTTGATCCCGGACTTGACTTTGGCCAGCAAGAGTGCTTCCGGATCCTCAGCGTTGCTTGGTGATGCCTCGCTTGACGAGAATCTGCACCATGTCGGCTGAGCGGCTGCGTTAAGAGGAAAGAGATGCGGTGGTGATTAGACGACTGGCTCATCATTGATCACGGGAGACAGACTTACCCGGTGTGCTGTTGGCTCGCAGACTCGTCGCCTCTAGCGATCTCGGCAGCTGCATTCGTAGTGCCTGGTTGTTGCGGAGCGCTTGTCGCAGCAGCATCTTGATCGTACAGTCGCTATTCGAGGGTCGGTTGATGGTTCCGTAGCAAGATTGGTGCACAGGTTTCGGCGAGACAAGCTTTCTTCTTCCACTCCACTCCGCAATTTGCCGAGCTTTTCTCGGTCAATGACTTTTTTTTTGGCTGACTTTCTACCTCTTATTTTTCACAATCGTTTGTTGTCAGCTTTGTGTGTTTTCAAAAGGCTTCTTCTCCATCGTCTTCTACTTTGGCCGATGCAGACTCAATCACGAGCGACTCAATTCACTGTGCACCCCAAACATCAGACAAAAGAAACTTGAAGGCAACGGGGTATGTAGGGTTGAATGTCTATGCAGGTGATCGAGCGTCAAGTGTCTATTCACTTGGAAGAGAAGAACCAGCTGGATCGTGCCTTGGGCGAGTTGTCGCCTAGCGCCGAACCAACACCACCGGCGCCACCACCAAACACTGCCTGTCTCGCCGCAACAGAGCCGGGCTGGGGTCCTGCCGTCGGTCCACCGCCGCGCAGAGGCTTGGCGATGCGGCCGAATCCGCCCAAGGGGCCGGGAGCAGCATTCCCTGCAGCAGGCCCGCGCATCTGGTTGGCGTGATGCAGACGCTCCTTGACCGCCTGCAGCTGCTCCTCGAACTTGCGGTTCTGCAGCATGAGCTTCTCTTGACTGTCCATCAGGTGCTGCTCCAGTGCCTGGATGCGTTCGTTCCTCGCCAGCAGCTTCCTCTCGGCGATCGAGACCTCCTTCTTGAGGCTGCTGTTTTGCTCCACGAGCTGCTTCTGCACGTTGGTCAGCTGCTCCAAGTTGCGTTCCAGGAACGCCATCTTCTTCTGCTGTGCCTTCGAGTTGCTGTTGCGCACCACGTTGTTGTACTGTTCGCGCGACTCGTCGAGCGAGATCTCGAGCTCCACCACCTTTTCGCAACGGTTTTGAAGGTCGCGCATCAACGACTTCTTCATCGTATCGAACTCTGAAAGCTGCGCCGCCATGGTCTTGCGTACACGCTCCAGCTCTCGCGCCGACTCGGCCAGGTTGCGTCCACCTTCGACTCCGGCAGTGGTGACCGCGAATGCGCGCTTGATCTCCTCGTTGGTGCTCTTGAGATTCTCATTGTTTGATGTGAGCACCGCAAGCTCCTTGGCTTTGAACTCAATCTGGCGCTTGAGATCGGTGATCTCGCTCGCCTGAGCTTCTCGCTTGGATGCGTACTGCGATTCGAGCTTGTTTTTGAGATCCTCCATGGTGACGTCGACGTTGACGTGGTTGGCCTCCTCGGCCTTGATCGATTTGTCGAGCAGCTCCTCGTACTCGGCTTCGAGCGTAGCGAAGCGGGTTTCGAGCTCCTGACGTCGCTGGTGAAGCAGCTCGTTCTCCTCGTGCGCCTGACGCACACGCTCGCCCTGCTCTCGTAGCAAACTCTGGGATTCGAGCAGCTGCTCGCGCAACGTCGAAAGGTCGTCGGCGGAAAGCGCACCAGAACCAGCACCGCTGGCAGTCTCGAGCTTGCTCAGCGTCTCGCGGATCTGTTCCTCTTTCTCGGATACGATGCCCTGGTTGAAATCAGCCATCATCTGAGCCATGCGCTCGGCTTTCTTGCGCTCCTTGCCCTCTTGCGACGGGTCCTTGACCGTCTTGGCCGTGTCGGCGAGCGACTTGCGCAGCTCTTCGAGCTCTGCCGACAGATCCTTGTTCTGCTCTTTGAGGATGTCGAGTGTGATGGTGGCGTCCTTGTGCTCGTAGGTGACACGCTCGAGCTGAAGCTTGATCTCGTTGATCTCGGAAGTCATGCTCTTGTTGTCCTTGGAGAGCGTAGCCTCTTGCTCACGGTAGAAGGTGAGCTCCTGGGTCGCCTCGCGCAACGCACTCTCCGCCGACTTGAGCGCCACCTCCTTCTCGGCAATCTGGTCGCTGAGCTCGTTTTCTCTGCGCAGAAACTCGTCGCGCTCGTCCTTGTCGATGGAGACGGCGGATGGTGTCTCGGGACGGGAGGCAAGTTCTCGAAGGTTCTCGACAGCTGGTGTAAGCGGACGCGACTGACTCGGTGTCGCGGCCAACGACGGCGCAGCAGCGACGGGCGCACCTTGACCGACGACGACCTTGGTGGCGTCGGCCCATTCGGATTCGGGCACCTTGCCACCTGAGCGCCATGTCTTGAGCTCGGCCTCGAGGTTGGCGATGTACTGCTGGTACCTCTCGTTGTCGGCCTTGGCCTTCTTGAGCAGCGCCTTGAGCTCGGCTGGAGAGAGCTCTGCGTTGACGCGTGCCTTGTTCTTGATGCTCTTGGCTCTTACACCGAAGCGCAATGTGGAGAGCGTCTCGTCGGCGTTGTAGACGCATGGCGAGGCGTTGACGATGAGCGTCGTGCGCGAGTTACCTCCGAGCGATTCTTGCAGGATACGGGTAAGCTTGGAATCACGATACGGAATGTGGGACGACTTGCCGTCCGTAAGTGCGTTGATGACCATACCAAGCGCCGACAAACTCTTGTTGATCTTTTTCGCTTCTTCGAGCGTCTGCCCACTGGCGCCCGTCTTTCCCACCTTTTCGGAACCGGCCAAATCAACGAGGTAGAGGTTTCCGGTCTTGGCACTGCCAGTCTCGGTGTTGCGCTGCTGGATGGTGATGAGGAAGATCGAGTGCGATCGCGAAGATTCGGCGTTCATGTTGGTCGAAGAGACGGCACGGGCCAGACCACCTTGACGCATGATCTCGTAGACGTCGGCCTGACCACCGACGTAGAAGTCAGAGAGACCCTTGACGTAGACGCCCTTGCTCTTTTCCTCGTGCACCTGAAGATTGTCATTCTGAGGGGCGAGCAGATCGCGGATTCTCTCCATGTAGATCTCCATGTAGGATACCTTTACGAGGTATTCAAGATGTGGTGGACTCGCCATGATGTTTTCGAAGATCTGTTCAGTGATACGAGGAATGATACCTTTGAGATTCTCGTTGTCGATGTCGGAGCCCATCATGGTGAAGGTTTTACCGGAACCGGTCTGACCGTAGGCGAAGATGGTGCCATTATAGCCGTTGAGAACGTCCTCGACGGTCTCTTTGAGGCCGAACTCGAAGACGTCTCGCTGCTTGGTGTTCATAGGAAAAACCTTGTCGAAGACGAAACCACCTGCTTCGGGGCCCGAGGTGGAGACGCCCTTTGTCATCTTGACGAGCGAGCCATCGTCGCTAAAGTCGACTACAATGTCGCTGCCCTCGCGCTGCTCGATGGAGTTGGGAGGGCGAAAACGACAGACGACCTTGATGTTGTTCGACATGACTGCGCTAGCTACTGCGTGCAAAGGGTAGCGGCTTGGTTGAAGGGAAGGCGCGGTGCGGATCGATAGATCGATGGGTGTTCCGCGCCCAGCGTTGCCATACGATAGAACTTCGAGCCAGAAGGAGCCAAGCGATTACACTGCAAAGACCGGGTCGACGGAGCCTTTGCAACTAGCGTGCTGTCGTGAGAAGGAGCACGACCGTGTGTCGAGATGGAGCGGATGATGGTGATGAGGTGCAAAGTGCTACGCAAAGGCGAGGAGTCAGCGAGTACAAAAAATACAGAGCTTGCTTTTCAGTGAGTGAGTGTGCATGTGTGTTGCTCTCGAGCGTGTGTGTGTGTTGGTCTGGCCTGGCTTGGCTGGCTGTTTAGCTGAGTGGCTGGCTGGCTAGCTGGCTGAGTGCGCGCGTCCCGCTCTAAACGGTGTTGCCTTCCGCAAACCGCCATTTGAGCTGCATCAGGGTCAAGGCAAAAAGACGCAAAGTCTGCGCGCTCCGTGCGTCGCCCTGTGCTTCGATTCGCGATATGGAGTTTTGATCCAATCACAATCACAATGTGAGACCGATGCTGATGGACATGCGCAAGGAATTCCAGCCCGACTGGCTAAGTTGGTGTCGCGTCAAGTGAAAGTGTTGGTCTTCGGAGCAGCGGCTGTCATACGCTGTTCGCCGTTCTTCCTCCACAAAAAGTACACCTGGCTAAGTAGAAGCGGCTGCTGCGGAGGGCATACACATGCCAGTCAGCCATTCCACGATCGTCTCCCATCGCATTGACACTTCAAACTTCGTCCAACAGCATCTAGCGCACCGCGACTACCCCGAGACATTCTAGTTGAACACGCTCAGAGGGCCAATTCTTCTGTACTCACAGACCAACTGTCTTCTTTCCGACGCCTACACCGATCCTGAAAAGCATGTCCGCATCAAAGTCCGAGTCCACCGACAGAACTTCCCCGCAAGCAAGCCATAACTCATCCTCGTCGAGCAAATCATCGTCGGAGGCTGGCCCGTCGCGTTTGACGCCGCCCTCCGATCGTATGGACGACGATATGGGTGCCGATGCTTCTGCTGCGCCCATGGTTGCATTTTCGATCAAGTATCAGCGCACGTTCCTCTCGGCAAGGCTCGCAGAAGACGAGACGGTGGCGGATCTCAAAGCCATCCTCTTTTCCATGACAGATGTGCCTCCAGAAAGTCAGAAGCTGCTTGGGATGGTCAAGGGCAAACAGCCAAGCGATGAGACGCATCTCGGCACCATTCCGTACGCCCCTGCTGCACTGCGATCTCGTCCTGCTGCCACAAAAGCTGAAAACATCACGACGGATACCGCTGCTGATGCCGACAAGGCGTGCAAGATCACCGTGCAGTTCACGCTGCTCGGCACACCAGAGGCGAGCCGCTTCAAGGATCAGATCATCCACAATGTGTCGGCCACCGACCAAGATGCGGTGCAGGACCTCGACTACGTGGACCTCACCAAGAAAGAAGAGACCAAGGTCAAGCCGCACGACGATCCAAAGAATCTCGCCAAGCTCGAAAAGACGATCCAACGCTTCTCTGATTTTCCCATCATCAATCCGCCACGCCCAGGTAAAAAGCTTCTTGTGCTCGACCTTGACTACTGTATCGCCGACACCAAACGGCTGCTGGATCCCAACTCGCCCGCTTCGTTGGCTGCTCGGCCAGGGCTGCACGAGATGCTGAAAGCCGTATACCCTTACTACGATATTTGCGTCTGGTCCCAGACCTCTTGGCGATGGCTCGAGATCAAACTCGTCGAGCTCAACATGCTGGGCAACACTGACTACAACATTTCGTTCGTGATCGACCGCACGCCCATGTTCAAGATCCACTCTGCGGTGGGCACCCACGAGGTCAAGGCGCTCGAGTTCATCTGGCGAAGGTGGCCCGAAGTGTACGGCCGCCACAATACGATCCACATTGACGACCTCAGCCGCAATTTCGCCATGAATCCTCGCAACGGCCTCAAGATCAAGGCTTACAAAGACTCACCCAACTTTGACACCGAGTTTGTGGCGCTTCGCAGATATCTGTTGCAGCTTGCACACCCGAGCGTCACCGACTTTACAAAGTATGAACATATGCGCAGTGCTTGGAAGCATTTTCAGGGCCCTGAAGTGTAAAGGATACAGCGCCTGTCGCGGCTACAGACAAGCATGGGCCTTGGCGTTGGTGCCGCCAGGTGGCCCCCACATCATAACCAGACAGACTCGATCTCGCATATCAATCCATCCCACTTTTCACGTTTCCTTCTACTGTACAGTACCCGAGCGTAAGTACATACTGAACCTTGCAGAGGACGCGTCGGATTCCCGGCCGTCGCATCGAGCTCATTTGAGATTCGCGGGAAGCTCGAAGTCGATCACGTCGGCGAACCGTGCCGACTGGATGGGTTCATGTGGCGCTAAAGGCGGTGTGTGGGCGAGAACGAGGTGATGAAAAGATCCCAGTCAAAGGAGATGCGGCAACGCCGACAATCTGCTCGGTCAACTCGGTTGCACACTCTGACTCATTCATGGTGACCGTCGTGTATCGATGGGAGGGTGTGAGAGCGAAGCAGGAAGAGGCCATGCAGAGGCGTGGGACGGGGGCTCGTGAGCGTGGATCGGTATTTTACCGAATAAGTAACAAGCTGTCTGGCAAGCAGCGCATCTTTGAAAGCGCAGAAACAAGCTTTAAAAGCGTGGCTTCCGCGTGTGGTCTTGGCTTCGGATCTTCCGAAAGCTTGCGTTCAGGCCATCACATCTCCGAAAGACGAGTTGTCGTGCTTTGCTTTACACTGCTCCTCCCTCACCCACACTTGCTATTCCGGTGCATCGTCTTTGCCTTCTCTTCCAAGACTCGTCTGCTATATAGAGACGCAGCGATTCCCATCTCGACCAGTCTGTCTCGCACTTAATCAACCACCACCACCGCCCCCGCCCGAGCTCTGCAAATGAGCAGCCACAGCAACATGCACACGCTCGACATCCACTCCGCAACCTCGGAAGAGATTCTTTCCCTTGACAACATCCGCTCGGTGCTCATCCGACTCGAAGAGACCATCTGCTTCCAGCTCATCGAACGAGCGCAGTTCGCCCGCAATGCCAGATGCTACCTTCCCGACGGGTTCCCACAGCTCAAGGAGCGCGAGGGCTGGAACAGCTCGTGGCTAGCGTGGTTCTTGAAGGAGACGGAAAGCACGCATGCCAAAGTGAGGAGGTTCGAGGCGCCGGACGAGTACCCTTTCACAGACCCGAAATTGCTTCCCAAGCCGATTCTGGAACCGGTCGAGTACCCGGAGTTGCTCTGGAAGCATGAAGTCAACGTAAACGACCAGATCCTCAAGTTTTACGTAGAGTCGATCGTTCCGGATATCACTAAGACTCTGGGAGAGGTGAGTGGTTGTCGCAAGCTTTGCAAGACTCCTGTCAGTAGATCAAATGACTGATTGATTGTCGTTGATGCTTTTTTGGAAAAACAAACACAGAACGCCGACGATGGACACTACGGATCCTCCGCTATCCGAGACATCGAAGTGCTATCAGCTCTGAGTCGAAGGATCCACTTCGGTAAGCATCCTCCGTCACACCGACGGACCTGCGATGTCACCCCCACAACTTTACTGATTCTCACCCTCTCCACCCACACCTCCTCATAACGACAGGAATGTTCGTCTCGGAATCCAAGTTCCGCACCGAACCAGCGGCATTCATCCCTCACATCCTCAACCCGAACCGCGAAGCCCTCGCTGCGCTCATCACCAAGCCGGCGGTCGAAGCGGCTCTGCTCGTACGGCTGGCCGAAAAGGCCAAAGTGTACGGTCAGGACATGGATCGAGCGGGTGCGAATGCCGAGGAGAGGGAGAAGGCGAGGAAGATCGAGGTGGACACGGTGGTGAGCATCTACAAGACGTTTGTGATTCCGCTGACGAAGGAGGTCGAGGTAGATTACCTGTTGACGAGGTTGCAGGGTGTGGAGGAGGAGAAGGTGAAGGAGATGGTGAGGAGTAATAAGTTTGTAAGTTAGATGGGGGAGGGGGAAGAGGATGTTGCGATATGGTGAAGTTGAGATCATGATGAGAACGAGACTTGGTTATGCCACTGTGTGAAAGCGAGCGCAGGGCTCAGGACTCTCAATGGCATCAGACACCACAACCCCACATTCCCTTTACTCTGCGCTCTGACCCAGCACCAAACCAGCCCACACAGTCCATCCCACCACACGACTCGACAAAACTAAACAACATATCAAAAGCTCATCCTATATACACGATCCCCACTCCTCCTTTAGTGCTTAGGCGGTGGATAACCATAGCCCTGCTGTTGAGGAGGACCGTAACCGTACTGCTGGGGTTGACCCTGATGACCGCCGAAACCGCCGCCTGCTACCTGCGGTTGGAAGCCACCGTCTTGAGCGGCTTGCCACTGGCAGATGTTGCAGAAGTAGATGTGTTTGCTGCCCAGCGGGATGAGGGGGATCCAGCAGAGTTCGAACCATCGTTTGGATTTCGCCTGGACGACTTGGGCGTTTTGGCATCGTGGACAGACGCGTGCGGATCCATCGCCTTCCTGTTTGATCTTGGTCGGGCAGCCGAAGATGACTGGGATGAAGAAGCAGAAGTCCTGTGCGCGTTTTGAGTACGACGGGGAAGGGGAGATGAGGGAAGGGGCATGGTTAGCGAGGTTGAAGATGTGATGGATGGGGAAAGGCTGAGGATGCTTACCATCTTGGATAGAGGTTTTCGAGATTAGCTTGTGCGAGACTCGCTGGTTGGATGGGTTCGTTCGGATTCGAAGCTTGAGGCTTGATTGCGACTTGATTGACGTTGAGTGGAGGTTCGTGTGCGAGCAATCAATTACTTTTGATTGTCGTTCGTGGAGTAGAAAGAAAGAGGACGGTGATGGTTGTCGGATACGAACGGTATCAATGCTCACATGTCCAATCCGAGCCCTTTGTCGACCACAGGCACCGCCAAACCTCCACACGGCGAAAGGACGACCCTGCATCGTACTTCAATGCTCTCAACACAAGCAACCATCGGCTCCTCGTCCGCACACGCACACACAACCTGCGTTCTGATTCGTATCATCGTGTCTCGGCAGCCGCCGTCAATTCCCATTCCACTTGATTCCCATCGTGCTTCTCCGTCGGCGATTGAAGCATGAGTTCTGGAAGCGGCTGACACTCAAGGCTTTTTTGTGGGTGTATGGGAAAAATTGAAGATGTCGTGCGTCACCCGCACCAAAAAATCCAATACAGACCTCTTTCATACGCTGCACTTTTTCTTATTTAGTCGCACAAATTTGTAATGACGATTTCAAATTGACGTCAGGATACATTTCCAAAAGCTTCCCGAAGAGTAGCCTTGCGTCAAGCCGACTTGCCGGAACCTTTCCGCCGATCTTGCAGGATCTAACGAGGCTTTGTACGCGCGTGCTGCCATCATCTGAGGATACAAGGACATGCGAGATTCTGGACGAACGAGCTATGAGAAGGTCCAAGAGCTTTCTGTGGAAGTCGCCAAGAAGGCGCGGCAGAAGGAAGAAGCGAAGAAGACACAGCCACGCAAAGCTCGTCCCTATCCAAGCTTTTTCGCCAAGACCTTGCCTGAACCTAACGCGCGCCATTCCTCCCCCTTCACAGCGTCTGTCAACATACTATTGCAACTCGCGGGTGAAGCGTGAGCATAGCGTTCACACAGACGTTTCCGCTCGACACACACATCCGTACCGAATGCATACCTTTGGTAGCAATACAAATACAATTCACAACATCCAATTTGACAAAGCAAGCTACGGCCCCGACTACCTCTTACCACCACTCGTTCCAGAACCCGTTCTATGCGATGAAGACCGTACGAAGATCGACGATAGCGCTGCAGGCGAAGCACGTGCCAGGTGAGGATCTTTGATCGGTGGTCTAGAGACGCTACTGCTGCTGCTGGAACTCTTTTGCTGTCGTACCGGCGATGGTCTGGTTGGCGCAACGGTGTGGCTTGCAGAGGAACGAGCGTGTGTTGGTGATGCGTCTAGCGCTGACGGCGATGCGACAGGTGGAGTGCTTCGTGGTGAAGCAGCGGCGTCTATTGACGGCTCGCTCGCACGCGCACGTTTGGCTTGGACCACCCTCACGCCGCTACCACCCGCGTTTCCAGCTCTTGTCGAGAAGAACGTGCCACCGTTAGAGGAGCTCGCCGGAGGAGAAGTGACAGACATCCTGGTATCGTGTTTCAGGCTGTTGCTGTGTGCGCGTTTGACTCCCCTAACCTCCACGCCGGTAGCGTTGCTCGAGGATGCACGCGGACTGCTGCTGCTGCTTGTGCCGGTAGGGGATGGTTTTGTGTTTGTGCCGAAAAAGTCGATCTTGCGTCGTTCAGTGCGAGCGATGTCGGGTGGTGGTACAGATGGCGGTGGTTTGCGGTTGGAGGTTTCTGCCGTAGTCGATCGATCGCTAACGTGTGTTGAGGCAGAGGGAAGGGTCGGAGTGAGCGGTGGCGCTGCTGCCACTTCGTGCGGCCTCATCCGTGGTATCGCATGCTCCGGCGTCACGTCTGCGTGCTGCCTTGCGCTTGTCGAGCCATCAACGCTAGGTCTCTGCTGCGCTGATCTGCCCCTCATCGTCGATGTCTCCCGTTCGTCAGACTCCTCGCTACCAGCTGCTAACCGGGAAAATTCCCTCATCTTGGTCAACCCTTCGCTTGCACCACCCAATACCTTCCTAGGTGCCACCATCGGCCTCACCAACTGCCTCACCTCCACCCCTGCCGCCTCCGGTGCAATCTCCGCCCCCACAGCCTTGCTCCTCCCCTGCGCCCTAAACGGCGACCTCGCGCTCCTCGTCGCAGTCAGCTTCGCCTGCGCAGCACTTCCCGATCTAGCCTTATTCAGCAGACTCTGACCCTTGCTCACCCCTCCTCCCGCTACCGTCATCCCAAACTTCCTACCCCCCGACCTCGCCGTTTTAGCCATCATCGGTCTATCCCTGACGACCAGCTTTTTGGCCTCCTTTTCGGCACGATGCTGTTCGTACTTGTCCTTGATGCGTTTCGCCGCGTCGGTTTTGGCCTGTTCGATCTCACCCTTTGTGCGGAAGTAGAGTCTACGCCAGGATTTCGGTTCCTTGACGTTGTCGAGGCTAAAAGAGGCGTATTTCTTGCGAAGGTCGATAAAGTCCCGTAGACAGTTCCGTTTCCAGATCTCTTCCGAGTGCTTGAGTAGGTGCGGCGAATTTTCTTCGAGGAGGATGAGTTGATCGATCCGGCATTCTTCGAGGATGGGTTTGGCGTGGTGGTAGGGGAGGACACCGAGATCCTGCACGGAGGAGATGTTGCGCAGGATGACGCGCAGACACATGGAGTAGAGCGAGTTGACTCCCGTGTTGCGGTGTGCGGATGGATGGGGTTGACGAGTGGATGGGACGGAGAGGAAGACGTTTGGAGTGGTGTGGGGTAGAGGTGAGGCTGGGTCGAAGTCGGTCGAATGTAGCTCTTCCGGCTGCCCCCAGTTGCCGATCACGGGGTAGGAGGCGTCTTTGAGACCCATCATGCCGGCCGGCTCGGGTGAACGTCTCCAGTCCTTCATCGTGCTATGCTTGGCTCTTTTGCCGCTTCCAAATGTTGAGTATAGTGGATCGGTGTTTGATGATCAGGTCTGAAGGCCACCTGTGAACTTTCAAGTAGAGCAAGCATGGTACGGTGGAGTAGGGTGCTGCATCGTGACCCGTGAAGACATCGGTCTAGTATGTAATGCGGAAGCCGGATGCTGTTCAGAAACCAAACAAATTCCGCGCGCGGAATCCTGATGAAGTCGGGATTCGATTCGGATGTCGTCAAAAGGTCTTGCTGCGACGACCTTGGCTTGATGTCGAGAAGCTCGGTGTTATTGATGGCGTTAACGGAAGGCTCGAGCATGCGCAAAATTGTCTGTGCCACCCCGAAATGAGACTTTTCCGGAGACAAAAGTCACCGCAGCAGAGCGCGTCTCTATTCTGCCGGTGACGGATGGTCCTCCACACCGACACAAAGGCTGTCAAAGCATCCAGCTCAATCGGCCCGCAAAATGCTGCTTGTTGCCATACAGGCCTAGGTCGTACCACACAGCACCGTCTGGAACACATACTGATACGATAACAAGCTTCTGTTTGTGATTGATTAAAATGATAGTATGCAAAGAGAGTGTGGTGTCATGCACGATCTTCTCGACTTGGACAGACACCGCCAGTGCCGCTACAACATCAAAGCAGCTGCTTCACCATTCTCCACCTTCCGCCTATACTCGTTCCGAGCCTTCGTCAAGCTACCCTGTACATCCTTCCTCGACAAAGCATCCTTGACCCACAACATCAACGCATCGTCGTCTTCCGGCACAAAGAAGCTGCTCAACGCGCTAAGGATCGTCTCGAAATCGGCGCTCGGGTCCAAGATCACGCTCCGGTGAGCCCAAATGATGCCAAGGGCAACCATGCTGATGACGTCCTGACCATCGAGGAGCCATGCGTCCCATACGCGCAGCTGCGTTTCGAAGGGGATTGAATTCGAAAACAGGGTGATGTACCATTTGGTCGCATACGAACTGGCGACGATCATCTGATCACCAAACACCGTCGCCAACTCGGGCATGTACTTGCGAAGCAGCTGATCCTGGACGAAAAGATTCTCGACGAGTCCTGGGAACCCTGGTGCGAATGTCGAGTGTAGGTCGAGGTGGTTGTGCATCGTGACCATCGCAGCGTATGCTCGCTCGGGGCTGAAGTAGCAGAGCAGCGTAGCAGCGATAGGACCCATGCCTTGACAGTACCCGCACTGGTCGCACAGCATCGACATGGCGTGCAGTACATGAAACAAAGCTCGCTGACCTTGACCGTAGCGCGTGTGGAATTGGATGTGACCCGAGATGGTGCGTGGGACGTCGAGGTCGATCTGTACATCATGCGTGCTGGGCACGGCGGTGAGGCGCTCGAATTGGAAGGCGTCGGACCCGTCCAGCGCGACCGCTTCCAATGCATCAGCATCCTTTCGCAGATGCGGTTTGGCAAGCGAATACGAGTGTCGGCCTGCTGCAGTCTGTTGACTATGTCGCAGCAACGCAGACCAGGCTGCTGAGCGCCATCGATCCGGAATACCCTTGTAGACTCTACGTCGCAATTTGCGGTCGATGCCGTCGTTGAAATCGAATTGGACGGCATTGTGACCCTGATCGCGACTTTTGACGGTCAACATGCGTGCCCATTTCGCGGTGCGCTCCTGCTCTCGCTGACGGTGTACAGCGTCAGCTGCCGCCCGAGCCCGTTGAATGACAGCAGATGTCTTTGCCTTTTCGTCGCCATGCGCATGCGGAGGTGTGCAGGCTCCGGACAGACTCGCTGGGGCCCGTCCGCTCTGGGTGGCGACGCCTCTTGAGCCCTTCCTTGGGAAGGGTGCATCGAACAAGTTCGAGGGCAGCAGAGTAGTCTTGTGCTGAACACTGCTAGGGCTATCCGAGAAGAATCCGTAACGATCGATATTAGCGATCAGCTCCTGTCGCTTCTTTTCTGCAAGTTCTTGACGGCGTCTTCGTTCGTTGGTAGAGAGGAACGTGCTGGTAGAAAGGGCGGTCTCCGTGCTGGTGGATGGAGGCAGGCTTGGTCTTGAAACGTCTCCATTGATCTCTTGATGGATGGGTCGCAAGGACGTCAACGACATGACGCTTCTGGTACTTTCGCTGGTGCTGAGTGGTGGTGGTGGTGGTGGTGGTGCGTGACCACCCGTGCCGTTGATGGCAGCGATGCGGGGCGAGTCGGATAGCTGAGCTGCTGGCCGAGATGCGCTTCGAGCAGCGATGCTGCTGCCCGGACGGGAGAGTGCCGCCTCTTCCCATGCTGACAGGCCATTCTTCTCCCTGGTGTACTCCTTCCCATCTGAGAACCCGTCGTCTGGTACACCTGCTATTGCGAAGTGAGCATACGTCCTGCGAACAAACTCGGCGTCCGATTCGGCGGGCGTGCTGAACTGATTGGCGAGCCATTCCGGCGTCTGAGAACCCTCTTCGGGGGCTGATGATCTGCGTACTCTGGGTGAAGCGGGAAGTGGGGGTGCAAGAGTTGCGCCAGGTGGATCCTCCCCTGGATCTGGTGATGTGGGAGCAGTTTTCGGACGCAACTTCGACGGCAGGGCTCGCAGCGAAGCGGACCTTGAAGGGGACTTGCTATGCTTTTTGCTGGGTCCAGCTTGAGCTGCCATCGAGCCATGGTCTGCAGGGATTGTCATGACGAGAGGCTCGTGCTGCTACTGGGTATGCAGCGGGAAGTTGTCAGCCTGCGCATAAGCGATGGAAACTGTCGACGCAACGGCTCACCGCCGTGTCATTGTCATCACTGAATTGACGCAATATGCTGGAAGGAAGCGTAGATGTGAATGCCCGTCCTGGAGGGCTGTGCTTCGTCTTGTATGCTTGTCCGAGGTCGGTGTTCCAGATTTGGCTCCATGCGTGACTGGGACTAAACCAGGATGCGTGCGACAGGAGGTGAGGCGGGATGGTGCGGCGTCCCTCGATTACCGGTATGAGCAGGGCACAGCGTCGTTCGGGAAGTAGGTGTGCACAATAGGAAAGGTGGTGCCTGCATCAGTAGGCTCAGCAAGGGAGGCAAGAGTAGCTTCCGGATCCCGGTTGGCAATGCAAGACCAACACAGGTGCACAAACCCCGCATCGCAGTTGCCTCTCGCATTCCTTCCGCGGCGTCTCTGATTTAAGAAATCGGCATCGATCTGAAATTTAAGCGACCCGATCCTCTGAGAAACGGATTTAGTGGGCCGAGCCGAAATACGCCATTCATTTTGCCGATTGGCTGCTGAGATCTCTCGAATCTGCTCCTCGGAATTTATCAGATTTTCTGGACATTCAAAAGCAAAGAGGAACCAAAAGCTCAGGCCAGAGCGCAGTTGACTCAAAGTGGCACAGTCCTTGCTCTTTAGAAACCTCTCGACTAAGTCATCAGCGCGTTGTTCGAATCTTGCTTCTCCCCATCCATCGTCACCACACACTAGCTCGCCACCACCAATCGCTGCTGATTCTCCAGCGCATCCGTAGACGGCTTTTACTTGATTGCAGTCCTCGCCGTTCGTTCTCTTCGCTACTCACATCCATTCAATCAGCATTTCATCCTCATCAGCATGTCCGCCGAAGCAGGACCCAGCAACCTGGTCGAGGTCACCTCGCCAGAGCACTTTACCGAGATCATGCAGACCGACTTGACGCGTGTCTCGCTGCTCAACTTCCACGCTCCCTGGGCTGAGCCATGTAAGCAGATGAACGAAGTGGTCCGCGAGATCGCTGTCAAGTACCCGCAAGTGCTCTGTCTCGAGATCGAGGCCGAATCGCTTCCCGACGTGTCCGAGTCATTTGACATTGAGGCGGTACCCTCGTTCGTCCTGCTTCGTGGACACACTCTTCTCTCACGAATCAGTGGCGCCAACGCATCTGCCCTCTCGGCAGCTGTTGCAACACACGCCGCACCGGCTCGATCCAATGGCACCGGCAGCGTTGCCAAGACCTCGGCTGCTCCGCGTGCGGCTTCAGACGTTTACGATGCTTCTAGCGCCACACGCAACGGTACTGCCGCCTACGAAGACGACGAGGATGAGGAGGATGTGGTGCCAGAGACGGAAGAAGAGATCTTTGCACGATGCAAAAAGCTCATGGAGCAGAGCAAGGTCATGCTCTTCATGAAGGGCGACCCGGAAACGCCTCGCTGCGGATTCAGCCAAAAGACGGTCAACCTTCTGCGACAGGAAAAGGTTGAATATGGTCACTACGACATTCTCAAGGACGAAAATGTTCGACAGGGTCTCAAGAAGCTCAACGAGTGGCCCACTTTCCCGCAGATCATTGTGAATGGCGAGCTCATCGGCGGTCTCGACATTCTCAAGGAGAGCATCGAGAGCGGAGAATTCCAGGAGATGCTAGAGGGTTGAAACAGCAATGTTTGAAGTCGCTGTTGATCCCGAGCCGTGTGTATACTAGTTGATTGCTTGAAAAATGGTTCATTGTCATGTCTACAGTGTTGCGCTGCGAGGATGGGGATGCTAGAGCTTCCAGATCTCGACGCCGTCCCAATCGTCTCGAGACCACGTGGCTCCATCGCCGAGCGAGTCAAAGATCTTGCGGATGCGTTTGGAAGGGATCTGCTTGAACGGGAGTGAGTACTGCTCATGTGCTGTGCGCAGAGCTTCGGTGATGTGAGACGGATCTCTACGTTCCAGTGCGAGTAACACTGTTGGGCGGGGCTGGCCTTGACGCTGGTAGAGGTGAGCGATGGTTAACAGCAGCGGGTGTACGAGCGATGGCTCGTAGATGGTGTCTGCTGTTACGATCAGGTCGAAGCTCTGTGGACGAGGAATTGCAGCGGCTGGCAGGGAAGCGGGCAGTTGGGCTGTGGTTGGATAGCCGAGGTGTGGGTGCCAGCGCCAGTTTTGGGGTGGGATAGTCCAGTCGAGTTCGTTGACATGCGCTTGGTCTGCTTTTGCCGCGCCTATGTTGATGGGCTGGTAGAGACCAGCGTCGATGTTGGGTTTGAGCACTGTGTCGAGCACGGGAGGAATGTCGGTTGCAACCACCTCCCATCCAAGTCTAGCCATGAGAAGAGACAGTAAGCCGGTCCCTGAGCCCAACTCCAGCATCCACTTTCTCGACGCGTCTGGTGGCCCCTTCCGTGACGTCTTTGCGTACGTATGGATAAGATAGGACGATAGCACTTGTGACGATAGCCACAGCGAAGAGCCCGTGCTGTTGGTGTCGTTGCGCTGCACGAGGCGAAAGGAGGTGTCTATCGACGGAAAGCGATACATCAGCTCAGCAAGATGCTTTGTCTGGTGAGCGGGAAGATTGACCGCATCGTTATAGAGCGAAGTCATGCTCGGTTCAGCTTGGTTGTCCGTTTCGCTGTCTGAATTCTGGTCATCGTCTCTTGTTGCATTCCCGGGGTCATCGTTGAAGCTCGATGATCCTCGCACAGGCTGCTTTCGGGGCATTCCTGCAACGCTCTTAGTTCTAGGATCAGGCGGTGGCTAGACCGCAGACTCCCGCCTCGTATAGGCGCATATCTGATTCGCCTGTCCGTACGATACAAGATGGCGGATAGCTGGACAGCAAGAGGCTTGAGGGATCGTCTGAAGAGGAAGAATGGATCCAGAGAGTACTTTATGCATTTTAAAGCAAAATGTGGAGTGGGCAAGTCACGTGCATGATGCGTGTTGGGTCTGAATTTCGCAGGTAAACTCCCGCAAGCCTCTCCTTTGCTCTCAGAGTTCAACACCTGTCAGCAGCTAAAATCAAATTTCCACGGCGCGAAACGCGTCGTTTGGTCGAGGGAGAGCAACACTCGAAAATGCACGGCAGCAGCAGCAGCAGCAGCCACCCATCCGAAAGCTGAGCAGCTACGCCAAAGTGCGAGCGAAAGAGAAGGCGAGAGAGAGAACAACACTGAGATACGGGTGCACAGCAAATCCGCCATCAGCTTCAACGTCGACCACCACCCTTTCGATATCGCAGATCACACATATCGATATCCGTATTATCGTCTTTCCTTTACACAACGATCCTCTTCAACAACTAATACACACAACCTACTACGCAGCATCAATTACGACACTTCGATACAGCACCTGCAGCTGAAATCTCCACCATGGCATCGACCGCCAATCCAGCATTTCCGATGTCGTCGGCGCGCGTCCCGCCCGACGCGGTCAAAGGGAACCGTGACGGCAACTATTCCTCTTTCCCTGTCGTCAAGATCGACGAGCTTCTTGGTGTCCTTTCCGAGATGGGCTTGTCCATCTCTCCTGAAGACCTGCAAAAGCCGCAAGGTCACGTCGCGCACCGAGTCTTTGTCGCCTTTTTGGAGTGTCTCTCGGGTACCACGACAGAGATGATGGATGGGAGGCGCCACGAGGCGCTAGCATCAGCCGAGTACAGGGAGCTCTACGAAGACGGTTTGCAGATGCTCATGTTCTTCCGCGAAGTAAAGGACATGATGAACGCAGCGACGTTGTACGATTTCACGCTGCAGGATCTCACGCGGCCAAACCCCAAACGTTTCCGTCGTCAAATGTCGGCGCTGGTCAATTTCTACCGTTTCCGATCCGATCGAATCGTCGAATTCGAAGAGCTCGTCACCGGCGCCGAGGATCTTGAGAACAAGCGCAACGAGATCGAGGACGACATCGACCGTCAACGCAGCGAGCTGGCTCGATTCAAAGCTGAACGCGAGCTCGATGAGCCTAAGGTCAAGGAGCTGCAGCGCATCAATGCCGAGATCACTGACGATCTCTTGGCAGCCAGGAACCAGCAGAAGGAGACCATGGAGGAGCTCGATGAGCTCAAGAAGCGCAAAGATACGCTCGCTGTCAAGCACGCCGAGCTAGCACAGGAAAAGTTCCAGATCTACGAGAAGATCACCTACCTCGAAGCGCGCGTCGTCTCCAGTCCCAGCAAGATGAAGAACAGCGTACGCGAACTCGGCGAGCAACTCGACAAGGACACCGTCTCGCTGCAAGAGACCCTCAAAAAGGTGGAAGAGTTCAAGCGTAACCTCGAGACCCTAGAGACTCTCAGCAACGATCTCGAAAGCTGCATGAACGCGATGCACGAGGTCAACCTCGAAATCGTCAAGGGCAAGGAAGAGGTTCAAAATCAAGCCGACCTCCAAGCACTCTCGCAGGGTATCAACAACCAGCTCGCATCGCTCAAGCACTCGCTCGAGATGACACAGTACGAAATGAAGAGGTTGGAGGACAAGCAGAACCGCAACCGCAAGACGCTCATGGACATCACCGAGAAGCACACCAAGAAGATGGAGAACCTGCAGACCGAGTTCGAACAAGCCAAGCAGGAGAGGAACAGGAAGAACCACTCGGCAGAGGTCAAGAATGCAGAGTCGGAAAAGATCGAGGCCAAGATGGCAGAGCTGGAGGAGGCGTACGAGGGCTATCAGAAGAAGATGATCAGGCAGAAGGATGCGATCGAGACGGCGGTGAGACTATACATCAGCACGCTGACCAACTCGTTGCAGCTCGAACGTTTCCAGGCGTGAACAGTCTCATTTCGCCCTTTCTCGACTCTCTACTGCAGACTGGCACCATATACGTCTTTTGTCGCTTTCCTCGTTTGGCTTCTCGTGCTGCATTCGCTGCGAGTATGGCTTTGTATTACTTCTCTCTGTCTCTTGTCATGTAATTGTACCTCGGAATGCCGAATCTCGTTCAAGGTTTGATTCGCTGCCTAACCTCGTCGGATGTGCCCATTGGTCTTGCCTCCCCGCCCATGGGCATTCAATGCCGATTCCTCCTGGAACGCATTTCTGCCCATCATATCCTCAATCCTCTAACACTCCTCACCTCGGCCATACTCAACCGCCACGAAATGCCCGACGTAACAGCATTCTGATACAGATCCCCTTCATCATCATCGCCATCCAAATTCAACACATAAGAGACCTGTTGCAATCGACTGAACCTATCCCTCACCGGCAGCGTTGTCTGCGAATCCAAAAACGTCATGATCGCCCTCAAGTCCTTGTCAAACTTGAGCGCGCCCAGCTCGGTAAACCGCATGCCCATGACCAACGATTCCCACGGCTTCAACAGTGCATCCAGCGTCATGCCGATGTAGGTGTTGAAGTTGCTGTCGGTAAAGGTGCCTCTGAAGTGGTGGAAGAGGAGGTCCCAGGATCTGACGAAACGTCTTCGTACCAGATCGCGCGATTCGGCGAGGCTGTAGGATTCGTCGTCGAGAACGTACGAAACGTCCCGGTAGGTTTCGAGCAGCAACCCACGGAGACGAGGCGCGGTGAGTTGAGTGAACAGGTGTTCGAGCTCGGTTCGCAGCGACGATCGCATTCGATTGACTAGCTGGGACAAGCTCGAGACTGCCGCTAGAGCTTGGTCCATTTCGGTCGCTTCGAAGAGACGTGCGAGCGACGGCTCGTGTCCCACTTCGGCAAGCACCCGTGTCATGTACGTACAGCTGACATCGAGGACGTTGAGATACGTGATGAACACCGTGCGCATCTCTCGACTTGCCGCATCCTTCCTCGGCCCATCCACCGTCATCGATCCAGAGATACTCCGCCACAACGTCTCCATCTTGCGCACGATCACTTCGATATAGTCCTGCTCGATGGTCGTCTTTACCGCCCGCGTCATCTCGTCGAGAGTGGGAAGAGAAGATGTCGAGAGGATACGCGCGAGGACGGTGCGGATGACATAGAAGGCATCGTCGAGGATGGACGAGGTGTAGGGGCGTGATGTCGTGTCGGGTTGATCGATGCGGAAGGCTTTTTCGAGGCTGTTGCGAAGATACCAGGTTTCCATGGGTGTGTAGATGGTGTTCATCGATTCCAGGACTTCTTGGCCCAGCTTGGATGTTGCCGCATGGTCGATGGTTGACGACGCCGTGTCGACATGTGGGTCTGCATCGTCGTGTGGCGCATTGACGCTGGAAGCGATGGAGCTGCGTCGGTCGACGGAGGTGCGACGGAAATCCTTGAGCGGCTCATCCGCCTGTGCTGCACGTTCGTCCTCCAGCGTCTTTTGTCGGCCGCTCCGTCCGCCCTCCGCTGCGTCTTGCTCAGGCGCCAGTCTGCCCTGTAGGAAACGCCGATAAAGCCCCCATCTCGAACACATTGCAGCTAGCTCGGTCAGGATGCGATCGACTTCCCGACCGTCCGGACCTGCAGGCTCGTCAAACGAACTGTTGGCTGTGGAATCTGCTGCCGGGCTCGCCGTTCGCCCTGGCACACCGAACGAAGCCTTGAAGGTCGACTGCTGCGTCCTGCTCGCCACCACCGCTGCCGTGAATCGATAAGCTTGCACTTCGTCGAGCCTCCTTCGCACATTCCGATCTTCGCGCCATGAGTCCATGATCCTGTGCCCCAAGCGATCGCACTCCTCCTGCAATCCTGGCATGACACCTTGTCCGAAGTTCCCCGCGCCGTAATGTCTGTCTACTACAGGCTGGTGCATGTCGATCAGCGAAGCCAGGTGCTCAAAGAGCGAGGTGAGTAGTAGCGCGAAATGCGTCGGATGCTGTGCTTTACCCGATCCGAGCGAGTCCGTGATGCCGCGACCCTTTTCGCGCACCATGGAACGAGCGAAGCTGCTGTACACTTCCAGTCCTTCCTTCTTCCAGCCTACTTGAGGGAAGAGCTTGAAGAAGCGCGATGCTTCCTTCTCGTCCTTGTTCTGCGTAGATCGGATAAAGGCGTCGGTGAAGGCGGTGAGCATGGTCTTGCGAAGTTCCAGCAGAGTCGTCTCGGGTGGCTCAGGCAGGTTGGTCGAGGGTACGGCTGCTGCTGCAAATTGAGAGGCGCGGACAACCGGGTCGATGGCCAGCGCTCTACGACAGTGCATGGTTGCCATGTCCCAGTCGCGATGCTCGACGGCCGAGGCGAGCAGCGAAAGGGAGGATTTGAGTTCGGCGACGCGAACAGCCCATTCTGTGGCGAGCGCGATGCGCTTGCGTTCTTCGTCCAGCAGCCGGACCCGCTCCGAGATTCGTTTGGCGACAGATGCTGAACTCTGGAGGCGCTTGTCGAGGACGTCGGCTTCTTCCTGGATCAGCTGAACTTGAGGTGCAAGACCGGATATGGATCGTCTTGCGTCGGCTACGACCGGCTCGGATTCTTCGAAGAGCGAAACAAGCTCATCGTCGAGGGTTGCAGAATATTGTGAGAGCTCTGAAAGTGCTTGAACAACGGAAGAACGGCTGGTGAGCTTGGAGATGTTGGCAAGCTGTGGTGGTGGTGGTGGTTTCGCTGAGCTGGCAGGTTCGCTGGCAGGCCCGGGCGGCGAAGCCGATAGGATCTCATTGTTGACTGCCTTGGAGGAGCCTGCTATCGTCATTGTGTAAGTGTCACCATCTGACCATGCCGCTGTCGGGAGAGTCGAAGTGGTTGTCAGGATTGTAGGCCTTGACTTAGGGTGTTGCCGGTGTTGGTTGGTCCGAGCTTTTTCTTCGCGCTTGTTCCGGACACGGTTATTTGGAGCCTGCTGTCTCTTGTGCCAGTCTGCTGCCGCATGAAATTCCGACGAGAAGGAGTGAATTTGGACAAACAATTTGAATTCTTCTCGTCGCTCAATCGCTTCATCACTTCCACCACCACTACGAGCCACAGGTCCCATCCATCCACCAGCGTCATTCAGCAGCATCAGCAAAGATGGCGCAGATCTCCACCACATCAGAGCACACCATCCAGACGCTGGAGCGCATCGGTGCGCATTCGCACGTCAAGGGTCTTGGTCTCGATGACCAACTCGAACCTCGCCCCTCTTCGCAGGGCATGGTAGGTCAGCGTGCCGCCCGAAAAGCAGCTGGTCTCATCGTCAAGATGGTTCAGGACGCTCGTATCGCTGGCCGGGCTATCCTCATGGCCGGCCCTCCCAGCACAGGCAAAACCGCAATCGCGATGGGCATGGCGCAGACCCTCGGCTCCGATGTTCCCTTTACCATGCTTTCGGCCTCCGAAGTTTTTTCGCTCGAAATGAGCAAGACTGAAGCACTCATGCAGGCATTCCGCCGATCGATCGGCGTACGCATCCGCGAGGAGGCAGAGGTTGTTGAAGGTGAAGTCGTCGAGATCCAGATCGACCGATCCTTGACCGGTGCAACAAAGACGGGCAAGCTCACTATCAAGACCACCGACATGGAGACCATTTACGAGCTTGGAAACAAGATGATCGACTCGTTGCAAAAGGAGAAGATCACCGCAGGCGACGTGATTGCTATCGACAAGGCGAGTGGCCGCATCACCAAGCTCGGCCGCAGTTTCACTCGTGCCCGGGACTACGATGCCATGGGCAGCGATACAAAGTTCGTTCAGTGCCCCGAGGGAGAGCTGCAGCGAAGGAAGGATGTGGTTCATACCGTTTCGTTGCACGAGATCGATGTCATCAACTCGCGCACACAAGGATTCTTGGCGCTGTTCTCGGGCGACACGGGAGAGATCAAGCCAGAGCTGCGCGACCAGATCAACACTAAGGTGGGCGAGTGGAGGGAAGAGGGCAAAGCCGAGATCGTGCCCGGTGTACTCTTCATCGACGAGGTGCACATGCTCGACATCGAGTGCTTCTCGTTCCTCAACCGTGCGCTCGAATCCGAGTTGGCACCGCTCGTCATCATGGCATCCAACCGTGGCATCTGCCGCATCCGTGGCACACGCTTCCGCTCACCGCACGGCATCCCCATCGACCTCCTCGACCGCGTGCTCATCATCAGCACCAAGCCGTACGAGCTCTCCGATCTCAAGCAGATCCTCACCATTCGTGCTGCAGAGGAGGAGGTGTCGCTCCAACCCGAGGCGCTCGAAGTGCTCACCCGCATGGCATCGGAAACGTCGCTACGATACGCCATCAACCTCATCACCACCGCAAATCTAGCAGCCAAGCGTAGAAAGGCAGATGCGGTCGAGGTGGCCGACGTGCGCAGGGTGTACAACTTGTTCGTCGACGAGAAGCGCAGTGTGCAGTACCTCAAGGAGCACGCCGAGCAATTCATGAACGAGTCGGATGAGTACGGTGACGTTGATGGGTTGGCATCAGGAGCGCCGATCATTGGCCGTCAGGCTGCGGTTGGTGCTGTTCAGGCCTAAGAAGTGTCGGGCCAAGCCGGTTCAGTGAATTGTCAAAAGTCGACCCTGTTAGCGTACAGGGGGATTCACGCTGTGTATTTTTACTCTTTCTCTTTTCCTCATCATCAGCTTGTCAATCTGCTCCGTCTGAACTGAACTGCGTGGTCGCTCTCAAAGGGGCGAGGCGACCACCTCAGGTTGTGAGCTCGACGCAGACCGACTCGAGAGGGGATGCTGCGAAATTGAGCTCGAGGGTGATCGAAGAGCATTTCGTCGAAACAGCGCCACCCACTTCTGCCGGCTTAACACCCTTGCGATGACGCAAAAAAATTAGACTGTGAGCTTATCGCTGCGGCCAAAAGCTGAGCCGCGATTTTCACCTGCACCCTTCGCTGCTCGGCATCGTCACTGAGATTCATTCCGTGTTTTTCTTTCGCCGTCAACCATCACCACCACCATCACCATCAACGAACGCACACATACAGCGAAAGGTCGACTGCTTCATCAGTACCTCTTCAGCGCCCCGGCAATCTGATCAACAGCTCTGCAGTACAGGCACCAAGGGATCTGTTGGTGCACATCCAGGCAGACGTAGCTCAAGATGCGCGGTCGCTCCGTCCACGCTCGGGCTCTGCTCAGGCAGGCGAGCTCGCACAAGAACGCCGTCGCGGCGATAGCCAGCCCCTCAGCTGTGCCGATATCCGCGTCAGCTAGAGGCTTCATTTCGAGCTGCGGACCACGTTCGACTCGATCAGCATCTCGTCGTGTCTCTTCGTCGGTGCTTTCTTCCTCGTCGTCCAAATCCTCTGGTAACTCGTCTGCTTCGAACAGCGGCAACTCGGCATCATCTGGAAGCAGCAACTCGGCCGCATCCTCCTCTTCATCTTCGTCCAATGCTGCTTCTGCAGAGAAGCGCTTGGACTCGGCGTCTCCATCTCCTCTCGTCAAGGCCAGGGTCAGCGCTTCCCGTCTCGCTGAAGCCGGAACAGCACCCGCCAATCCGCCACCCTCATCGATCGCCAATGTCGCATGGGAGAGCTTCTTCTCGAACGAGCGTCCATTGCTGCAGCACGAGATGCTGCCACCACGACCCAAACGTGCCGGCGGCTTTGGTTCATCGACTTTGCCCTCGGGCGGCTCTTTGACCGCCATCTTCACTTCTGATGGATCTCTGGCCACCTTCGGCAATTTTGCAGCGGAGTCGCAGCAGCAGTGGCGGCGCAGGATGCGCACGATTGCGCCTGAGCGCTTCAACGAGCTCGTCGACGGTCTTGCTGGGATCGAAGCCGAAAAGCAAGTAGCTTCAAACGACGACGCAGCGACACGCTGGCTCGTCTCGAGCTTCCACCCTGAATCGGATCGCGTCGCTGTCGAATCCGCCAAGCTGGAAGAAGAAGATCGCATCAGGGAAGAGGAGGAGGAAGCCGTGCAGAACGCCATGGATCGTGGCGAGGATCCCGAGACGGCACGCAAGCTCGGCGCTGAAGCCGACCTGATCATCCTTGGCGAGCCGCACGGTCCGTCTGCCAACTGGTCGCGTGGTGTAGCCACCTACCTCGCCGAGAAGGGCCGTGCTTACGAAGCGCCTCCTGCGCCCTCTGCCGAAGGAGCCATCGAAGCCGCTGAGCAGTTGGAGGCACCTCACGTCGCCAACAGCGTCTTTTTCACGGACGACGACCCGAACCTGATGCTCTCGCATGCTCTGGTGCAGTCGACGCTGCCTCTTGCGCTCAAGTGGGACAAGCTGGTCGCCCAGATGGATGCCGTCGCGCTCGACGACCCGGCACGGGCCGACGCGGTGGTCGACACCACGAAGCTCGACGCCGAGCTGGATACGGTGCGCGGCAAGAGGGTCAAGGTAAGCCCGCTGCTCGAGGCACACAACATCCTGATGGACAGTGTGAGGAGGAAGAGGAGAAAGAAGATCAGAAAGCACAAGTACAAGAAGTTGCGCAAGACGCAGCGTGCTGAGCGACAGAGGATGAAGAAGTAGTGACGATGTGCGCTGGTGGTAGCTCTTTCAGTAGCATGTAGTACAATCTGTAACTTTCCAACACATGACGTCGTGGTATAGAAGTCAGTATCCTCTCCCCGCTTGTTCAGGGTTTGTGAAGGTCGGCTGAGATGGCAGGGGCTAATCGCCGGATGTACGATGTGCAGTGCAGTGTACGGTATTCATGTGGGCTGCGCGAGGACGATTGATGCAGCGTCGATCCGTGTAAGAAGAGAGCTCAAACACGCGATCTGTTTGCGTCTAGGAAGAAGAGAGGGCAGCAGTTCCGGAGATGAAGATCCGACCTGCTAAAAATACTTTTGCTCTGCACTCTGCTCTGACGAAAAATGGAGGCAAGCAGCGTAAGGCTAAATGATCGGCCTCGGGATGCAGGGGACGCGGTTGACTGCAGCCAGGAAACGAAGGGAAAATCCGTGGCTGTAGCACGCACACACTGGCTCTCTCTGTCGAGCATTTTGAAATTCTGAAGCAAAACCTGGCTGGTGTTCGCGTCGGGCTGTGCGTTGGAGTTGCATCTCCTCGATTTTGGCTGCGTGTGTGCGTGCGTGCAGCATTCCAGAGAGGCTCGCATCCCGCGACTCTGCTGGGTGTGGCAGCTCAGCCTCGGTCTCAGCGAGCCAACCGAACGTGGTTGGCAGCCAGCCAACTCAACAGAGACAAGCAGCCACAACCGTCAACTTGTCTCGGCTCCATCTTGGCCGCCCTGTCTTCCATTCCGTTTCGGACATCACTGTCATCGCTGCTTTGCCTCCATCCTTTTCCTCCTCCACACCCAATCCTCCTAGACCCATCCGCTTCTCCCCAGGTCGACCACGCCAACTCCATCCCTCGTCTCGGCTTGTCGATCTTGCCAGGCTTCGTCTGCAGTCGCACCATCGACTGCATCCTCGTCGGTCCGATCCAGGTCAGCAAGAGCAACCTGTTCCTTCCATCACAACAACACCGCCCTACCGACCGTGCTAGACCACAGCACGAACACAAGCAAGGATGGCTCGTGATCGTCTTGCGGCCATGAGGGTAAGTTTCTTGCCAGCGAATACTGCGGATGGCAAAGGCTAGCCATTTTCCGCGCATAATTGCATGCATAGTCATTGATCAACTGACTCTTATTTTGCTTCTCAATATCTGCTCACATCCTCGACCTGTACATAGGCCCAGCAAGCTGGTGGATACGGAGGTTATGGCGGAGGCAACAACGGCTACGGTGACCACTCGTATCCGACACAGCAGCAGGGTGCCGCGCAAGGTGGCTACGCTCAGCCACAGCAGGGATACGCCGCACCTCAGCAGCAGAGTGGTTACGCTTACAACCAGGGATCGTACGACTCTCAGCCTCAGGCGGGGTATGGCGCTCAACCCCAGGCCGGTTACGCTGCCCAACCTCAGGCAGGCTATGCTGCACCTCAACCCACCGGATACGGGCAGATGCCCCAAGCTCAGCCCGCTGGTTACGCCGCCGCTGGAGGCGCTGCTCCCAACTCTTATGAGATGCAAAGCGTGGCTACCGAGAAGCCTGTCGGCGACATGAACTCCTTCTTCTCTGACATCTCCGAGATTCAGGACACCATCCGCCTCATTGACGAGAATGTCAACAAGATTTCCGATCTGCACTCTCGATCGCTCAACAACATGGACGAGGCTTCCGCCCAGTACGCCGAGCAGCAGCTCGCCAGCATCCAGCAGGAGACGTCGTCATTGACCAACGGCGTCAAGAACCGCATCAAGCTGCTCGAGTCGCAGAACAAGCGTGTTCCTGCCGGTGGTGACAAGAACGTGCGCAATACCCAGATCGGCGCCGTCAAAAATCGCTTCAAAGAGACCATCCAGCGATACCAGCAAGTCGAGCAGAGCTACCGTCAAAAGTACCGTGCTCGTGCCGAGCGTCAGTTCCGCATCGTCAAGCCCGATGCCACCCAGCAGGAAATCAAGGCGGCACTCGACGACGACCAGAATGGCCAGATCTTCTCTCAGGCTCTGCTCAATTCCAATCGACACGGCGAGGCCAAGGGCGCGCTCAGGGAGGTGCAGGAGCGACACGAAGACATCAAACGGATCGAGCGAACCATCACCGAGTTGGCACAGCTCTTCAACGAGATGTCGATTCTCGTCGACGAGCAGGATGACGCCCTCAACGTGATCCAGGAACAGGGCCAACAGGTCGAGACCGACATGAACCAAGGTCTGCAGCACACCAACAAGGCGGTCGACTCGGCGAGAAAGGCTCGCAAGAAGCGTTGGATCTGCTTCTGGATCATCATCATCCTCATCATCGTCATCGCTGCTGTTGTCGCCGCCGTCATCTGTACGCAAGGGACCAACTGCGGTCGGGGCGGCAACGGAAATAACAGGAGGAGCCTGATCACCAGAGCCGTCCACTACGGACACGGTTTGGTGATTGAGAAGAAGGATGCGCGGGCGTACTTGTTGCCCGACATAGGCATGTGATTTGCAGTTGGTACGAATTTATGGTCCGCCTCACTCAAAAGGATATAGCCCATAGCGCAGCTTTTTGCGCTTGATACACACTCATTTTTTTGGTTTCTGCCTTTTCCACTTGTCTGGTGGTGTTGCTCCGCCCACTTGACAATCTGTGTTTCTGTTCGTTGTCAATACTATTATGTGCTTGATCGTCAAAGCGATGCTGTGTGGGTTCTTGTGTGGGAACAAGACGAAGTGTGGGAACCATGAGAGAGCTGGTAGGCAAGCTTCGCGTGTTGCTTTGGCGTGTTGGTGTGGAGAAGGAGAAATGAGAGCGCGTGCACGGACGCAGCTTCCTCCTCTACTTCCTCATGCCCTCACACGGCATCCTTCTCTGGACCCCCTCTCCAGCTGCCTCTTGTGCTACGCATCATGCATCACATGTTCATCGACATTAAACGTATGGGTGCTAAGGCGCCCAAGCTTCTCAGCGACCTCTACCCGGACGAAATCGACATGTACCACGGTCTGTACCACCCGTATCTCTACATGAAATCCGATTCCCGTCCTTCCTCGTCTCAACAAAGTTTGACTACTCTGGACAACTGGTACCAAGGTCTTGACGAGCTTCAACGATCCTCCGATGTCAAAAAAGGCATCCACGACAAACCCACGCTCATCCGGCTCGTTCGATGGAAACTTGCACGCGAGAAGTTTCGACCAACACTTCTCTCCCTCGTCTCGTCCAACTCTGTCGAGCAATGTTCAGATGTGCTCAAAAGAGCTGCTTCCTCGCTCTTCCCACGTGGCTCCTTAGCTCGGCTCGAGGAAGAAGCAGCCTGGAACACTGTCAAGCGAGCCATGGACATCCTAGTCGAACTCAAAGGTGTAGGTCCAGCAACTGCAAGCGCTATCGTCGCAACCTGGATTCCAGAAGGAATGTTCCAGAGCGACGAACTAGCAATGGCACTGATGGGCGACAAGGTGAAGATAAGCTACACCATGGGCTTTTATAAGAAGTTTTACATGAAGGCAATCAAATTTTTGGCAAGGTTGGAGGGGACAAGGATATGGGATGGACGCGGGTTGGAGAGGGTCGCTTGGGCGATGTATAATGACCCGGAGAAGAAGGGAGCGGGTGTTGGGAAAGAGGCGGAGGAGGCAGCGGATGGGAGTGCTAGCGCCGAGGTTGCAGATGCGGCTGCAGAAGGCAAGGACCAGGGTGAAAGCAGTGAGAAGGGCAAACGGAAGGGAAAAGCAAAGACAAGTGCCAAGGATGGATCTCAAGGAAAGGCTCAGAAGGCCAACGACAAGACAGCCGGCACAGCAGGCAAAGGCAAAGGAAAGCGTACGGCTGCAGAACCGAGCACAGCGTCAGACGCGAACGTCGAGACCGGTTTGCAGAGGAGAACGTCGAAGCGCCTGCGCTCGAACAAGTGACGCTGTGCCTGTGCTGCCTACCGTTTCAATGCATGTACCCTGTGTCGCAACAATGCGCATGACCGTGCGGGCTGCCTTCCAGCGTTGAGCATCGCAGTGGGTCTTGGACCAGAGTGCAGCGAGCTCGCTCTCTGCTGCGCAGACAAAAGACGGCAGAAGGATGCTGAGCAACAGAGCCGGAAAGCTCATTGACCGACACACAAGCACGACAGACAGGTCGACATGGTTCGCGCGTTTTGCATGTTGCATTCCTGCGCCAGTTGGCAGCGTACATCTGCTGATGTCGACGGGCATACTGACCCTCACTGGTCAGGCCTCCAACCGCTCATCTCGCTATACTCGGTCTCCTCGTTCTCCGGTCCACGATGAGCCCCCTCGAGAATCTGTTTCTGGGTCAACTTGCCGAAACCCTTCTTCTTCCCCGCCTCCGCATCTACACCGTTCGTCCCCTGTCCCGCTCCCCCTTGCGCGTTGAACAGATCCAAAATCTGCTCCGTCTCCATACTATCCATCCCCGCATTCTGCTGGTTGACCACGCTATTCGCAATGTTCAACTTGAACCTCTGCAACCCCATGATCTTGGCCTCGAGGGTGTTGCGCGTGATCAAGCGATAGACGTTGACGACCTTCTTCTGACCCAGTCGATGCGCACGGTCCATGGCTTGGAGGTCCTTCATGGGGTTCCAGTCGTGTTCGACAAAGATGACCGTGTCGGCGCCGGTGAGCGTCAGGCCGAGACCGCCGACTTGGGTGGTGAGGAGGAGCACGTCGATCGAGGGATCGGCGTTGAAGGTCTGGACGATCGAGTGGCGTTTTTCGGCGCTGACGGATCCGTCGAGACGCATGTACGACACCGAGGGCATGAGGGCGGCGAAGAGGTCGCGTTGGATGATGTCGATCATCTGTTTCAGTTGACAGAAGATCAGGACGCGGTGTTGAGAGACAGCACTTTCGCCTCCGCCAACATCGCTGCTTAAATCGGATCCGCCACCACCTCCCGAAGCAGCTCCACCTCCGATGCCACAGTCCAACAGCAGCTGTCGCAGCGCTTGCAACTTGGGCGAGTGCGAAATATCGTTCAACGATCCTCCACCCTTGACAAGCTTCTGCTTGATCGCCACGTGCTTCGGATTCTCGTCCGTCAAAACCAGCGAAGGGTGGTTTACCAGCTTGCGCATGTACTGCAACGCCTTGAACACGTGCTGCTTCTCCGCGTTGGGTTCCTTGCCTCCCGAGCTCGCCGCCGAGCCTGCAAACGCCTCGGCCTCGTCCTCGTTCTGCTCCTTGCTGAAGTCGTCGTAGAGCTGCTTCTGGATCTCGCCCAAATCGCACTCGATATCCTGGATGATCTTCGGCGGCAGATCGTCCAGCACGTCCTCCTTCAACCTTCTCAGCAAAAAGGGGAGCACCTGCTTGTGCAGCGCTTCCAACGCCAACGCTGCTGCCTCTTGCTCCTTTGCGCTGAGCTTGCCGTCGCGCGAAGCGATGATGGGTTTGCCGAATCGCTCGTGGAAGCTGCGCTCCGTTCCGAGGAACCCAGGCATCAGGAAATCGAAAAGCGACCATAGCTCCAAAACGTTGTTCTGGATCGGCGTTCCGGACAACAACAATCGGTGGTTGGCTCGGATCAGCTTGACAGCCTTCGTCGTCTTCGTCTTGGCCGAGCGGATGATGTGACCCTCGTCAAGGATGCAGTAGTTCCACGAAATCTGCGAAAGTGCAGCAATGTCGTTGCGCACCACGTCGTACGACATGACCACGGCATCGTAGCGATGGATCTCGCCTTGGAGACGCGCACGTTCGGCGGGCAGTCCCGAGTAGAGCAGGGGTCGCAGATTGTTGGCGTACTGCTTGATCTCGTGGCACCAGTGTCCAGTCAACGTCGGAGGGCAAATGATCAAACTCGGCAGAGGCTTTGCATCGGCGGCCTGCGTCAGCCTGTATCGTTCCGCCCTTTCGAAGTGCTTGGACGAAAGGATGCAGATCGACTGGAGCGTCTTGCCGAGACCCATGTCGTCGCAGAGGATGCCGTGAAGCTGGTACTTGGCGAGGAACGCCATCCAGTTGACACCGTCTTGCTGGTACTTTCGCAGCTTAGCGTTGATCTTGACCGGAATCTGATAAGGCTCCACTTTAGACCCGTCGAGCAGCTGCATGAGGAATTTGCGTTCCGTTTCGCGGCGCTGCAACAGATCAGATGAAAATCCGGGCGGGTCCGGAAGTCCTGCTTCGAGCGGCACCATCTTGACGAGCGACGCAAATGTGTTTGTCGCCACCAAGCGCACTTTCTCATCGTTGTCGCTCATACGACCCAGCACGGGCACGATGAGGAAGATGACGTAGGGTAGAATCTTGAGGTCGAGCAGCTGCACCGTGTGGTAGATGAGCTCGACGGCGCCCTGACGGTTCGTGATGGAGGCAGCATCGCCGACGAGGGGTACCACCTGCTCGACGACGTGCTTGAGCGCCACTTCGGTGAGACAGCTGGCAACGACAGCGAAGCACTTTGCTGCTGCTGAACGAATTACTGCGAACTCGCTCTGAATGGCGAGCGTCAATGATGGAAGCAATTCGACCACCTTGTCGCATAGGGTCCCTTTCAGATTGGGCAGGTTGACATCAAGCACCGCACAAGCATCCAGAATGCCCTGGCCCAGATCGTCTTGCTTGGCAATGAGAGCATCTGCCTCTGCAGCCGTCGAGCCAAACGTGCCTAGCAACGAGCTGCTCATGCACTGCCACAGCATTGGCACGACAACGAAGAGCCTCTCGCCGAACAAATCTGCGAGCTGAGCAAGTGCGGCAGCGGCACCGCGACGGATCAGTTTGCCTTGGAGAACTTCCTCGGACTCAACGGGTTCGTCCTTGGTGCTGGTCCTGCCTGGCCCCCTTGGAACGACGGCGGGCTCGTTCATGCTGAGGATGCCTTCGCGGACGCTCTTACTGGCAGTAAAGATGGCCACGCGCGTCGTATCTTGGCAAACAAAGGCGCACAGGTTCTTGACGATCTTGTCGCTTGGGTTCGACTTGGCGGCAGGCGAGACGCAGTACTCGACCAGCTTGGCCACCGACCGCGCCGAGCGGGTCTGGAGGTCGATGTTTTCTTCGAACTTGACGCTGTTCATGATGCTGCGAATCACAGGGTTGAGCTTTGCTGGCAGCACCTTCAACGAGATCACGGCGCCTGCGATGGATGCAAACACTTGCGTGTCTTGCTTCTCTTTGTTCGCCTGGTAGAAGCCAATGGCGGCGATCAGCTTGCGACGTCGGTCCTCCAGCAGCGGCAGAGCTGCCTTTTTGGCTTTGGATCCCGCCTGCGCGAGCAGCGACTCGAATCCCTTCGAGGCGACGCCCTTGGCAGTGTCAACGGTGAACGCATCGACCATCATGCCCAGAGGATCGACCGTCGTGGCGAGTGCTGGAATCTTTGCCTTTGGCACCTTGGCGTCGCGTTGGAACGAGTTGTAGAGTCCCTGGCACTCGACTTGAATGCGCTGCAGCATCACCGTCATCTCGGCATAGGTCGGCGGGGCGGGCGTCTCGAGAATGTTGATGAGGCGACTGGCAATGTCACCGACGATGGCGCTCGAATCTTTGAGATCGACGCCGAGATCGGCACAAGCCTGAGCCCACTCTTGAATGATGGCTGCCGCCAGACACTTTTGCAACGCCGACGTGGATTCGAGATACTCGCGAAGAACGCCACCGAAGGCAAGTTCGTCGTCGGTACGAGGGAAGCGCGCAAGTGCACCACCCAAAGCCTCGGCGGCGCTGAGACGACCGCGAATGACAGCATCCACGCCGATCAGCGACAGATCTTGAGTCAAGATGCCCTTGTCGACGTTGTGACGATTGGCGTCGGCGTGGCTAGTGCTGCCGAACGACGCACTGTAGAAGAGTGCAAAGTCGATGGGCGAGCCGAGCGGCGTCATGACGATGCGGAAGAAGTTGACGATGTAAGGTCCAAGGAGCGTTTGCACAGTGACAGCGTCGCCGGCGACATGCGCGAGGGCGTGGCCCCAGGCGTCAGCGCTAGCGCGGCGGATAGGCAGCTTCTCCTCCACAACTAGATTCTGGAAGAGGAGGCGCAAAACGCGCTCGTCAATCCAGTCCTTTGGTAGTGAGGGAACCGTCAGAAAGACGCGCAACGCATTGAGCACGGAGAGACGCACGCTTGTGATGGTGTGACGGAAGAAGGGGAAGAGGCGCGGAATGAGGAGAGACAGTGCACGCTGCTCCTCAGCTTCGGCTTTGAGGTGGATCACGATCCCCGGATGCTCGACCAGTTTGGCAAGGAGGTCCATCACACCGCCAATGCTGCTGGCAAGATCATCTTTGAGATCCCCGAGGCAGTCCCACAGCTGATCGAGAAGCCTGCCAACCTCGCTGGGAAGCTTTTCGAGAATGACGTCGACGATGGGCACCAAAGCAGAGGCAGCCACAGCACGCACATCATCGTCGTCGTCTTTGAGACCAAGGATGGCCACCTCGACCACGTCCCGCAGCATCTTTGCAGTATCAATGACTGCCGATTCCTCCGAAAGCGGCTCTTGATCCACCTCTTCCTTCTTCACCACGGCAGCTTCGCTCTTGACGGTGGTTGAGGACATGAGCAGATCCTTTTTGACAACGACCTCGTACTTGAGACCGAGAAGGCCGGCATGGCGCACTTCCCAGACGTACCCTTTCTTGCCGCGCTTGGCAGCGAAGCCAGCGGCAAAGTCGGTGCTAGCACCTTCAGCGGCGTGGTCTTGGCGAATCATCTGCAAAAGGACGTTATGCACCGACAGGATCGAGGATTCCGGCATGTGAGGCAGGAGACACGCAAGCGTCTGACTCGCAGTCTCGCGGACCGGTGCAACCACTTGGTCAAAGACGAAGTCGCCGAGGCGGTCAAGCGCGAATACGCAGAGCAATTTGATCGACATGTCGTCGCACCACGCCTTGTGCATCTTGACATTGTCTTGTTGCAAAGCAAGCTGGACCTTGCCGCCGCCGGAGCCCTGTGTCTTGAGAAGCTCTCTGAGACCCAGGGCGGCACCGTGACGCGTTTCCCAAGTGGGACTGAAGAGATCGACGCTGAGAGTGTCGACAACGAGGCGGAAAGGCCACTCGCCGGGTCGGACCTGGAACGGGTTGGCAGAAGAGGCGTATGCGGGTGCACCAGCAACTCCTGCCGCAGGAGACGGCGCGGCAGCCGGTGAACCAGGCACCTCGGGAATGGGCGTAGGGGTGGACGCGCTGCCGGTGACAGCGGGCATCGACCCTGGACCGCCTGCTGGATGTTTTGGTGCGGGCGGCGGAACAGCAGTGAGATAGTCTCCCGCCGTCTCTGCATTGGAAGGGGTGATAGGCGTCTGTGAAAGGCCGCCAGAGGGTGTCTTGACGCGCAGACCGGCCGCAGCGTTTGGCGATGCCATTTCGGTGCTATCGATGACCCTCGTTTTGGCATCCGCCGGACCGCTCTTGCCTTCCAGTTTGCGCTTCCTCTTGAGAGCGTTGCGCTCTCTTGCGCTGAGCTTGCTCATGTCGATCTCGTCCGCAGGAGGCTCGGAGGCAGAGGCAGCGGATGCTGGAGATGGTGATGGTGCAGACGCTGCAGATGGGATGGCGGTCGATATCGGAGACGGAGAAGATGGCGCTCCATTGTTGGTGAATCGTGGTGCTGGCAACGAAGAACCTACGGGCGGGCCGGCGGCGGCGAAGCGAGGCGGCGGCAACTGAGATTGGGCAGCGCCTCCAGCAGCTGTCCTCCAATCCACATTCCCCTGAGACGACCGCGGAATCGAAGAGGTGGACGTCGACTCTCCCGTCTTTAGTTCGGCTTCGACGTCCATGCCAATGTCCATCTCGTCCAGACCGAAGCCGAGTCCGAGTTTGCCGACGACATCCTTTTTTGCCTGCGCCAACCGATCGGCACCGGCAGCCAGCGAGGCTTGTTCGAATTCTTTGCCCGCGGACGAAAGAAGCTTGGTACCAGTGGCCAGAACCGTTGGTAGCGAGAAGGCATCGAAGGTGAGGAGGGACTCGGTAGCAAGAAGCTCTGATACATCTGGCTTCTGGTCCTTCGTATCTTCGTCGTCATCTGTGAGGACCGACTTGGAGCTCTCGCCCGGCTTTGACGGCTCGATATCGGGATCCCAGATGCCAGCGGCGTGGCAGATACTCTCGATGGCAAGCGCGGCAGCAACACGCGTATCCCAGCTTTTGGAGCGCAGGAAAGGAACAACTCTGGCGAGATAGGATGTGATCTCGTCCCAGTCACCATCGGTGCCTCGGTAGACGCCAACTTGATCGTCGACGGAAGGGCCGGTGAAATTGTGCTGCTTGTTGATCTGTTCGGAAGTGCCGAACTTAGCGCTCTGTTTCTTGGATGCAGCAGATGACGGATCTTCCGACTTGATCAGTCCGTCTGCTTCAGGATCGAGCGCGGGTGTGGAAGTACCTGAGCCGACATCGTGGGATTGCTTCAAGTTCTCGGTCTTGTGCGGCCTCGCGTGGGCTGCCGCTTGCTGTGCTGTGCTCTGGCCTCGAATCCGCACGGCTGCAATCTGACCGAGCTGTTTTGCAGCTGTAGCGCGGATCGCCGGGGTTGAGCCCGTATCGAGGAGCGATACCAAGCGGTCTAGCCTTGTTGCCGCCATCGTGCTTTATTTCGCTGCCCGGATGCGTGCTAGTATTCGAAGCTGGAACGCGTTGCCAGACGAGACGCCCAGGCCCACGCGTCAAGCCCACGCTACTAGCGAGCTGCTCGGAAACCGATCGAAGACAGCTTGGCTAGAAAAGCTCGGGTGCTAAGTCGGTTGGCCGTTGAAGTATACGGCCACGAGATCGGTGGTCGGAATGGCGCCGCTCGTCCGGATCCCAACGTCAAGCCGACGGTGTGGAGAGAGCGGGAAATTTTCGAGGTGGATGGAGCGGCGGTGCGTTGCAGTTGTGTTTTTTGGAAGGACCGGGAATATTGGCGGTGGAGCTGCAGGTTTCGCCAAGAGGTCCGGCAAATATATACGACACGAGATCTGCGGGTTTCTTCTAGATCGCTCGTCACGGCGCGTTGACTGAGCCAGCGCTGCACGAGGCAGGAAGCCACTGAGAAGATTTGCAAGAAGAAAAAAAGTCGGAAAGGTAAGAAACAAGCAAGCTGCATGAACTCCAATTTGGGCGAGGCACACGAGGTGGAGGAAAGAAGGCTTTGTGGCTCAGCCACAGTCGAGCCAACCTGCGGGATATGAAGCCGCGTGCAGAGCCAATCAGCAGATTCATTTCCTTGTCCGCGTGTTGCCTCGAAAGAGCAAACATGGAAAGATCTTCTGCAGCTGAACGAGCGTACCCTGAATCGGACTCTGGGGCTGGACTCTCCCCGATCCGATTGACCTTGTTCGCTCGGTGAAAAAGTTGGAAGAACTTGACAGACTCTGCCACTGCGGCTTTTCTCACTTCACCGTCTTCATCGTCGTCGCCGTCGCCCTTCTCCTCTACACCTGGGCTCCTTCATAGTCCGAGCTCTCCATAGCTGCACAATCGACATGTCGGCAGCGTCTCTCACTCGCTCTCTCGCGAGACTCAGCCTGGCCTCTGGTTCGCAGGCCGCTCGGATCCCCGTCCGACAGCCCGCCAGATTCGTCGCTCCCGTTGCTCATTCATCGCTCCGCATCCTAGCACGCACATATGCTACGCCTGCTTCTTCCGCGACTATCCGTCTTGGCAATCTCCAGCCTGGTCAGCCCACCAAGAACCGCAAGAGACTTGGTCGTGGTCCATCCTCGGGACGAGGTGGAACGAGTACACGAGGTCACAAAGGTCAAAAGGCACGAGCGGGTAACGGCAAGCCAGTTCCCGGCTTCGAAGGTGGTCAGACACCGCTCACTCGACGATACCCAAAGCGAGGATTCAACAACGTCCACGGTCAAACCTTTGTCCCTGTCAACTTGGACAAGATCCAACACTGGATCGACCGAGGCTTGCTCGACCCTTCCCGCCCCATCACAGCCAAGGAGCTGTATGAGACGAGATGCATTCACTCGCTCAAGGATGGCGTCAAGATCCTCGGTGAAGGCGCCAACTTCCTCGATTCGTCCGTCAACCTCATCGTTTCAAGGGCGAGTCAATCGGCCATCGACGCAATCGAGAAGGCGGGAGGAAGCGTAGAGTGCAGATACTACACTCCGCTCAGCTTGAGAGCGCTCGTCAAACCGCACAAGTTCGCAGGCAAGATCTTGCCAAGAGCGGCTGATCCCATCAACAAGAAGGATCTGGTCTGGTATTCGTCGCCCAGGAACAGGGGTTACTTGGCAAAGAGGGCTGCCTTGACAAGGGCTCTCAATGCTGAGGAAACAGCGGCCAAGGAGGAGAGCGTGTCAGAGGCGACTGCCTGAAAGCGTACCAATCGCACTCATTCGATTTCAGCGATTGCTCATCTTGTAATTTTACTTTTTCCAAATCATATCCTTCAGCGATGGTCGATGACTTACATCATGTGGCATGTGTGAACGAAGCATGTGCATTTGATCGAATGGACTTAGAGCATGGATTACATGAGGATGCACAGACTCAGGTCATGGGCAGACCTCGCAAGAAGGCCAGTGTTCCGAGGCAGTGATCCAGCAAGCCGTTCAGACGATTGCTCTCCGCTACTTGGGCGCGAATCAACTTTCGGATGACGCCCTTCAACTTCCTGGTCTCTTCCGCATCACCCTGTCCGATTTCGCTGCCGTCCTCCATGTCTTCATCGTCGTTGTCCCCATCATCCTCAGCGCCCTCCTCCGTCTCGGGACTGAATGTCTCGAGAATCAGATCCGTGTGCACCTTCAACAGGGTGGCGAGCAACGCCTGCACAGCTTCAAAGTCACGATGCTGCTTGAGACGCTTCAAGAGCATTGTCAAGAACGCGACCAGATCGTCGGTGGCTGTGAGTGATCGGATCTCGATGTCCAGCTGCGGAGTCGACAAGGTTTCCAGGTAGATGAAGAAGCCAGGGACATCGTCTCTCTCCGCAGCTGCTTCGAGTCGCTCTTGGAACTCGGTCTTGAAGCTGATGCCACCGGAGGAGAAGATGTTGGATTTCTCGCCTTTGTCTGCTGCTTCCCCGTCGGCTGAAGGAGTTGGTGCTGTGGGATCGAACTTGAAGTCGACTCCAGAGACAGTTTGAGGCAAAAAGAAGGGCGCTCGCTTCGCCTCTGGTTTCTGTGGCGCAGCTTTGGGCTTGTTGCGCTGCTTGATGGTGTCGAGGTTGATCAACGTCATCCAGCGAGCTCGCGGCATGGTGGAAAGCGTTACCAGACCACCTTCTTCGCGCGAGGTGTCGACCAGCTGCGGCGGCGACGTGTAGATACGCTGCAGCTCGGGCTCGCCTACTTGCAGCAACGCGTCTGAAAATTCGGCCAGAGCCGCGTCTTCGACATCGCCTTGGACTGTGGGCAACGACACAGTGATAATTTCATCCTCGTTGTCCACCACCTCGGCCAGCTCGTCCAGACCCTGCATGGCAACGGGAGAGAATTGCGCCTTGTTTGCCCACAAATAGATTCCGACGCTGTCAACGTGAGCCGTGGCCATGAAATCACCGGTGGGTGAAAACGTGACCGAAGTGGCGATGCTGTCCACCTTGAAGGCGTCGATGAGACGGGACGAAGGAATGTCAAACGTGCGAATGACGGCGTCCATCGAAGTTGCGACGATCCATCGTGCGTCGTTGCTGAAGCAAGCATCGAGGATGCGTCCGCGGAAACCGACAAACTCTCGCACAACGCGGTGCGTCTCGATATCCACGAGTCTGAGCACAAGGTCGTCCGAAACGATCAGGAGCAGGTTCGATTCTCGATGGAGTTGGATCGACGAGATACCAGAGGTGGAGATGGTCGTTCGATGCAACAAGTCAGTCGAGGTGAAGTCATACCACGACAACTTGCCGTCCATGGTGCTGATGATAACGAAGCGGTTGAGCGCGTCAGTAGCAATGCCGGTTACAGCTGAGCCCTTGATGCGGGCGTTGAGCGCCGCTTGCGCCTTTCTCGAGCCTGCTGGGAACTCTTTGGCCTTAGCCGGACCCATCGGGTCAATGGGTCGAGTGTCGAAAGTCCTTCTGTGGGCGTACGACTGCATGTTGTACACCTCTACGAGACCCTCCGAATTGCCAATGAGGCCAAAATTGCCGCAAGCGCTGACGCAGGCCGTTCTGGCTTCTGCAATGATTTTGCGATCCGCCGATGCGGACAGCGGCTTCTTGCCCATCCTCTTGTCTCTCACCGTCCAGGTGTTGGCGAATTGTCGACCTTGATGTGTTGTGAGCACGTCGTCCCAGTCACGGCTGCGAGTCAAACTGAAAGACAGCGAACTGGCGACGGGAAGCTTAAGCGAAGACACGGAAACAGAGAACTGATTGCTCTTTTTCTGAAGCTCACCCTGGCTGAGCTCGTGCGAGCGCGAGTCTCGAACCACGGAGATGCTTCGTATCGACCGATCACGTCCGGCCGAGAGAATCTCCTTGCCGTCTTCGCCATAGTATCGAATGAGGTGAGGAGGTTGATGATGACCTGAGCGGCCTTTGAGCAGACGCGGGGGCATGGAGGCAGACTCGAAGAACCACTGCTTACAGCTGTTGTCGCCGGCAGACGAGACGAGCAAAGGTTGGCCCGGCACAAACTCGATGCTCCCTACAGCTCCGTCGTGCGCATCCTGGATAGAATAGGTCAATCTTGGACCGTTGTTGGCTGAGCTTGGTCCGGAGCCAGCAGCCGGCTCGAGATCAAAGATACTAATGTTGCCCGAGTTGGTGGCAATGGCGACCGAGTGTTGCTTGCCATCGGAGCGAAAGGAGATGGAGCCAGAAGAGAGGCCACCAGATGCATGAACGGCGAAGAGGCTTTCGTCGAGGCGAATGTCGTGCAAAAGGACGTGACCGTCGGCAAACCCGACCGCAACGACATCGACGGCGGGTGACTGGGTCAGATTGACGATAGCGGCGGTGGTGGATGCTGAATTTGGACCCGCTGCAGACGTGCGAAGACGTTCGGCGTCGTAAGCGTGAACGAGCGATCCCGTTCGAATGTTCCAGAGCGCAAGCTGGCCATCGGTTGATCCGATCAAGATCTTGTTTAGATAGGTGGCTGGGTGAATGAGGGAGCTCGCCACGAAGTCGGCTGGCAAATCGATACGGCGAATCAACTCTGTACTGGCAACAGACCAGATAAAGACGCTACGTCCTTCAGAGGACAGCGCTACGATGGTATCACCAAAGACGATCAAGGAGGAAAGGTTTGTTCCTTGTCCGTCCTGTACCTCAGCATCGGTCGCTGACGATCCGGAGCTGGAATCCGAATCCAAGTCGGAAGAGTCGTCGGCTTGGTCGTCATGTTGATGACCGTTGGGCTTGTCAAATCTTGCCATCAGATGATCGACGGTGTCGTATACGGCGTCCACCTTTCCACGCTTGAAACGATACACCTTTGTTCCGGCGGCGGCGAGCACAGCATCCGGAGTGAGTGAGATCACGAGTGAGGAGATAGGTGCCGGCAACGATGTCGATACGAAGAGCAGAGTCATCTTTTCTGCGTCCCACATCGCCCAACTGTCGCCCAGGCAGGTGATGACGTTGACGTCGGGTGTAGTAGCATCCTTGCCACCAAATCGGGTCTGAAGGGCGAACGGGACATCGTTGCTGATCAGGCCGAGGGCACGGAAGGGTGCGAACAGACGATTCCGCGAGACGATCTTGCGAGAAGCAGGTGTGACCGAGGACGAAGGTCGTGCTGCCTCGGCATTGCTAGCGGAACGCTGTCGTCTTCTCTTCGAGATTGGCTCGATCCCGGTTACTGCTGCCGACGTCGTTGCCGCCTTGCCGTTCATAGGCGTGACATTCGCCTTGGTCACTTTGGACGGCATGTTGCGCGACCGGACCTCGTCTCCAAATTTGGTCCGATGAAGGATCTGAAGTCGATGCGAACCAAGCCAAGTGGTGTAATGATAGTGGCAGAGAGTACAGAAGGCAGGTGTTTGATTTGAGAAAGAGGACCCGCCAGCTTTTCAGAAGAAAAGGTGGTTCAGGAAAATTTCTCCACAGCGAGGCCTGTCTCTGCAAAAGTCGAGCAAAAAAAGCAATTCGCGGCACTTTCGCTTCGGGACTCGGGGAGTTGTTGCAAAGAGCAAAACACTGCTCAGGTGCCTCGGGCGGTTTTCTTCGTACGATGGAATTGCATTTTTTTGGTTTTCCCTTAGAGCTGAGCCTGCAAAATTTGGCAAATTTTGAGAGGGTCGAGCCGGCCTAAATTTGTTCCTCGATGCTTCTTCTCCACCCTCTTCTACTTCAACCTTTCGCCCTCGTCACAATCCTCACATCTCTGTCGTACTTCCCCCTAGCACTACCTGACGTATTTGGTCAGATATCACGAATTGAGCTTCAGCTCCGCTTGAACGGCCACTCGACTACGCCGCACAGTGGACAGCCATGGCGCCGCACAAGAACGACGAGGCGGATGCCGAGGCAGAGCTCGCCTCGCAGCTCGCCGCCGATATCGCCGCTGCAGAGTCTTCCGCCGCCGCAAAGTCCAAGGCATCTTCGTCTTCGTCGTCTAGCACACCAGCTGCCGAAAGACAGCCCTTCTCGTCGCTCGACCTCTCGGAACCAACACGCAAAGCCATCGACGCGATGGGTTTCAAGACCATGACCGAGGTTCAGGCACGTTGCATTCCCCCTCTCATGGCCGGCAAAGATGTCCTCGGTGCTGCGCAGACCGGCTCAGGAAAGACCTTGTCCTTCCTCATCCCGGCCATCGAGATGCTTCACAGACTCAAATTCAAGCCGAGAAACGGAACAGGGGCCATCATCATCTCTCCCACACGTGAGCTCGCTCTTCAGATCTTTGGCGTAGCAAAGGAGCTCATGGCGCATCACCACCAGACATTCGGCATCATTATGGGCGGTGCCAATCGACGAGCAGAGGCCGACAAGCTGCAGAAGGGTGTCAATCTCATCGTCGCCACCCCAGGTCGTTTGCTCGATCACTTGCAAAACACCAAGGGCTTCGTCTTTTCCAACATCAAAGCGCTCTGCATCGACGAAGCCGACCGTATCCTCGAAGTTGGTTTCGAGGACGAGATGCGACAGATCATCAAGATCTTGCCCAACGATAATCGACAGAGCATGCTCTTCTCGGCAACCCAGACCACCAAAGTGCAGGATCTGGCACGCATCTCTCTTCGTCCGGGACCTCTTTACATCAACGTACACGCGGATCTCGCAGCCAGCACAGTCTCGCGTCTCGAGCAAGGCTACGTCGTGTGCGAATCCGATCGACGTTTCCTCCTGCTCTTCACATTCCTCAAGAAGAACGCCGGCAAAAAGATTATCGTCTTCATGAGCTCTTGCAACTCGGTCAAGTACCACTCGGATCTGCTCAACTTCATCGACGTTCCCGTGCTCGACCTGCACGGTAAGCAGAAGCAACAGAAACGCACCAACACCTTCTTCGAATACTGCAACGCGCCCTCCGGCACTTTGCTCTGCACAGACGTCGCTGCACGTGGTCTCGACATCCCCAGCGTAGACTGGATCATTCAGTTCGACCCACCTGATGACCCTCGTGACTACATTCACCGTGTCGGTCGTACCGCTCGTGCGGGCAACAGCGGCAAGTCGCTGCTATTCCTCCTGCCTACAGAGCTCGGCTTCCTGCGCTTCCTCAAGGTCGCAAAGGTGCCTCTGAACGAGTACACCTTCCCATCCGACAAGGTGGCTAACGTTCAAGGTCAATTGGAGAAGCTCATCAGCAAGAACTACTATCTCCACCAGTCGGCCCGCGATGGATACCGATCCTATTTGCAGGCGTACGGCTCATACTCGCTCAAGCGCATCTTTGATATTCACAAGCTCGACCTTGCCAAAGTAGCTAAAGCGTACGGATTTTCAGTACCACCTAAAGTCAACATCACCATCGGCACCGGGCTCAAAGGCTCAGCGTCCAGCAGCAGTGGCGGCAAGCGCAAAGAGGTGGACGCGGACGGCGAGGGTGATGGTGGAGACGACGAGACCAACCCCAAGAGGCAGCAAAGCGATAGGAGAGCGTACTACCGAAGGAACCACCAGAACGGTGGAAGCAAGGATCACTTCCGAAAATCAGGTGCAAATGCGACGGGGAACAAGGGAGGCAAGCAATGGTCGAGATGACGAATCCACTTCGACAAACCTCCCTCTCCGAACCTGTCACCACGGTATTGCCGCTTGCATGTACTCTAGTTTTCTCTTTTCTGATTTGAATGTTGCATCTGTCACAAACTACAAGATCGCTGCGAGAACGACGTACATTGTTGTGCGAGAGTCACTGGGTGGGTGTTGCCGTCTTGATGTGCTCTGTGAACGTCTTGGAGATGGCCTCGAAGTGAGCTTCGTCGTTCTGATCGATCATTTCGCCAGCTGGAACGTCGAGTGTGTATGTTGGGTCGTAGTTGGGCCAAAACTTGTGGTCGGGTATCGGCGTCTTGTAGGATATTTGGTCCAGTGATGTCGATGCAACCTCCTCCTTGTTGACCTCTGACGTGCCGTCCGCTTCAGACTGCTTCTGCTCCGTCAACGGCAGTGGTTCATCCAGCGAGGACGAAACATGTTTTCGCAGTCGTTTGTTGTGACTTGCCTCTTCGAACCTTCCCAGACATACCGCGGTCAAGAGGCTCCAGCACCTTGCTGCATTTTCGCTGTTGTAGCCGCCTCCGCCCAGAAGAAGCGTTGGCTTGTTCCAGCTCAGCACTCTCTGAACTGCCTCGACGTACGCAGCAGCTGACAAGTTCCACATTGCCATCGGATCGCCCGCCAGTCCGTCTACTCCACACTGCACCACGATCATTTCGGGATCCCAAGCATCCACCAAGGGCTGAACTGTGCCGCTCATGATTCTCTCTAGACTAGCGTCGGAAGCGCCGATACCAAGTGGAATGTTGAGCGTCTTGCTTCCGGCTCCCGTGTCGCTCTTGAGCGATCCGGGTGGAGTGAACCGGTTCGGATCGGAGGAGGCTGCATAGCAAGGAAAGAATCCAGGTGCATAGTGATGGATGCTGAGGGTGAGAACATTTGGACTGGAGTGGAATGCTTCTTCGACTCCATCGCCCCAGTGCAGATCGAGGTCAAGGTAGAGGACTCGGTCGACGCGTTTGATGATCGTCTTGCGGATCGTTTCTCCCTCGGCCTTTTTCTGATCGTCGCCAATTGAGTTGTCGCGAGGGACGGTGGCGGTGACTGTCACTTTGCGAGGCTTCCGCAACGACAATATGGCAAGCACGACATCGTTGACGTAGCAGAACCCGGATGCCGAATTCTTCTTGGCGTGATGCCTACCTCCATCCCACGCTATCGCGATATCGGCTTGACCTTTGGCCAAAAGCTCGGCGGCTGTAATGGCTGCACCGGCAACCAGCGATACGTGCTGCTGCAGACCTTCGAATGCTGGACAGTCGTCTTGAAGTCCGAACTGATTCTTCTCCGGGCGAGGTCGCTTATAGCCACGCTTCCGGCGGGTTCCCGAGACAGAAGAGGAGGGTCGAAGGTGCAATTCTTCCGAGCTGTCGGAGGCGTGGGAAGATGTATCGGATACTTCCGGTTCGGATGATGTTCTGTTGTCCGGATGATCCTCTGCGTCCAACTTACGTCGCTTCGGATGCGAATGCTCGAGATCGCCAGCATCGGCTCCCTTGCTAAGCTGCTTGACGAAAGAATCTTCGTGGTAGCTCGTGAGCTGCTGATGCGTAGCAGCGTGAGGCAGGTAGACTGTTGCGCGTCTTCTGCGCGTGTCTACGGAGGCCTCGACGGACCCGTCAGCTGCAACAGCACGAAGTAGATGATTCCTCTCAGACGACGTTCCGATACCTCGATCGTCCTTCTCCAGCCCGCCGAGGTCAAGGAGATCAAGGTGATACGCTAGCGAATGGACGAGAGACGACCGACCCTGGTTGGAAGGTAACAGGTCCGCATACTCGATCAGCTCGCCTGAGGCGACGTACGCCACCCGCGGCGGATCGAACGGAATCGACATGTCGCTGCGATAAGCCTCAGAAGCAGCACACGACAAAGTCAGCTGGATGGAGAAGATGATGAAGCTGCACAGTCTTCGAACATGACAAGAGGCCGTGTCAAATGCACGGTGGACCCTGACTTTGGAAGAACTCTTACATTGCCGAGCCTTCGAGTGTCGCTGCGCTCTGCGCCCATCGGCGGCCGATGTGAAGCGCAAATCGGGCTCAGCGTATGCCGCGAAAGCACGCTCCCGATCGGCGACTGTATTCGCACCGGTCTGCGCAGTCCGAACATGTCATACGACGAAGCCGAGTGACAGAGGTGCAAGCGCCAGAAAGATGAGCAGCCGAGAGGAGAAAGCCACCTGCGGCGCGGAGAAGGGCGACCTAAACGCGTTTTCCGCAGCGAATGTCGATCGGCGCAGGGCACAGCAAAGTGAGCGAGATCTCTTCTTCCCGAAAGCGTGCGGAGCGCACAGGTCCCGCACGACGGGACGTGTCCCCTCTCCTCCGCTTTGTGCTCTCTTGGAAGTATCAGCTGGCTGAGTCGACGCAAGAAGAAGCGGTTGCCGAGACGACTTTCTAGCCGGGCTCGCGGCTTCTTTTCAAGCCGGTGCCGGATCCAGAGTCGTCGTTGATTGTCGCGAAAGAGAGACACACGCTTACGTCGACGCAACGAGCAGTACAGGGGTAGCTCACGGTTTGATGGCAACAAGCGCATGTAGTAATAAGCTCAAGGTGGAGATACAGTCTCGGATGGCGACACGAGTGATCTAGTGTATGGCAGATCTCGGAGGAAGGGCCGGAATGCAGAACGTCGTGGCCGACAACAAAAGGGGTCTGCTCAGCGCAGCAGTTAGGTCAGTGAGCATTGGATTTTGTGCTTTAAAGAAAAAAGAAATATGATCAAAAAAGGTGCCACAGAAGTCTGCCTGCAAATCCGAGAGGCGAGGAAAATTGGCCAACTTTCTTTGTCTCTGTAACCGGCATCCTCGGAGCAGCGTGTGGCCCGAAACGAGCTCCGAAGCGAAGCGATTTGTTTGGTTTTTCCTCTTTGGTGCAGCAACACCACAGCGCGTTGGTAAGCCCCGGAGGCACAGTGCGGACGCCTCTTCGCGCGAAGAATCACCAAAAGGGCGCGCTGTGAACCGGATGGTCGGCCAAGTTCTGAGCCTGCTCGCCCCTTTTCGCTGCGGAGGAGCCGGTCGTAGAAAGTTCCGACCGATCTCTCTGCTTGCCTGCAAGTACTTTCTTTCCATCTCTCCCCACACTTCCTCCTTTGCATCTCCTTGTCCCAAACGACGGTTGCTGCTCGGTCTCTCAAACTCTGCGAACGCTGGCTGGCCTCGAGCTTTTTGCGACTGAGCCATTCTCATCCTGTCGTGTGGCTTTGTCGAACCATCGAGACGCATCTTTGTCGCAGCGGCCGTGGGTTGTTCGCTCATCAATTTCGTCCTTGGCGCATCTGCTCAGCAACTCGTAGTCAGCCAGTGGGACCATTTCATGCCGTTGTGCCTCAACCTAACCCACCTGCATCATCGCATCCAGAGACACCGTCAGCGTCGAGCGATTCTTCCAAAAGGCGACCCTTCGACCCTGGTCACTCGGACGGCAACCCTCTCCCTCCGCGCAACGATTCATCCGCTTCATTTGGCATCGGAAAGTAGTATATCGACGCTACATTGACGCTGACATCCGGCTCTGTCCGTTGATCGTCAGAAACTTCGACCCGCTAAGGGCTTCTTATACGCGGTCTTCTCGGCCTTCTTCCATCGGCAGCCTTTTAAGCAACTCCACACGTCCGTCCATCCGATCCGCAAGCTGATTCATCCTTCCTGGCCTTCCACTATCAGCGTCACTTCTTGTCATTCCGGACCTCTTGACCCCGACGACGATGAATACACCGCCCAAATTCTCCCACTCGCGGCAAGGCTCCGTCGAGCACAGCATGCCCACCTCGTCTGCCGCGCATCTCCAGCATCCCTCTCTCGCCAACCATGCCGGAAGCGGCTCCCACACCCCGGGCCACCATTCTCCTCTGACACACTACGGCCACGCACTCGCATCGCTCGCCTATCCATCCTCTTCGTACTCTCCCTACCGCACCGGCCAGACACCGGGCGCGTCGTGGCCTTCTTCCAATCCCGCTGCTCTCCACTCCAACAGCGCGACACCATCCGCTACCAAGCGGAGTCACAGCAGAGAGACCGAGGCCGACGACGACGACGACGATGATGAAGAAGAAGATGATGATGATGACGACTCGGAAGACGACGACGACGATGACGACGATGAAGAGGAGGACGACGAAGTCGGGGACGACGTCGACGGCAGCGACGCTGGCAACACCAGCAAGGCCAAGCAGGCTGGTAGCAAACGCAAGCGCGAAGACACACCCAAATCAGGCAAGGCGAAGAAGAATGCTGGATCGAAGGACAAGGCTGGCGGCGACAAGGCTGCCAACGGCAAAGATGGCAAAGAAGGTGCGAAGAAGCAGAAGCCTACCCGCGGTGCTCGGGCCTGCACCAACTGTCGACGTCTCAAGATGCGTTGCGTCGGCGCCGAAAAGGGCCCGCCTTGCAATCGATGTCGCAACGGCAACCATGAGTGCATCTTCGAGGAGAGCAATCGTGGCAAGAAGGGCGGCAAGAACCAGAAAGCGGAAGCCATGCAGCAGAGCTTGCGCAAGATGGAGCAGACATTGGCTACTGTCCTGCGTAGCATCCGCGACCCCGGTCTTGCAGCGCAGCATGGTGGCATGGTGACACGCAGTCCTTCGCCTACTCTGCAGCGCGAGCCCGAACGCTCGTCCAAGGAGGCTCATCGCTCGGACCCACGCCTCACCCATTCCCATTCCTTCTCAGGTGGAGACTACGGCCCGCGTTCTCCTTGGACCCGGGTCTCGGATCCATACCCCTCCCACGGCGCGCATTCGGGTGCCTCTCCTGCCAGCGCTAGCCCTGTCAGCACCATCAACCCCAGCGCTGTAGCGCAGAGGAGCGCCTCGTCCAACGAGGGCAGCCACAATTCGCCCGCCAATGTCCACGGAACTCGCTTCCTCGAGCCGCTGCCGCACCACCATCGCCAACAGGGCCGATCAAATGCCGCTGGCTTCGAAATATCCCGCAACCGCAATTCCCGTGGCTCGCCGCGTCTTCACTCATTGCCGGACAACACGCTCAATCCGCTCGGTCTTCTCGCTGAGGCCAGTCTTCACAACACCCATCGAGCACGCAAGCTAGCTCGCAGTAATGCCAGTAACAGCAGCCGCGACAAGGATGGCCAGACTCCCGATAAGGCGGTCAAATCTGAAGGCGGCGACGATGACTCGCCCGCAGCTGGCGCAGGTGCCGAAGGCAAAAGCAAGATTCCGTTGGGCGTCGCTTCTCAAAACTACTTCCGTCCCGGTCCCATGACAATTCTGCCTCTGCGTCGCATCATCATTGAGCGAGAGATGCCTCCTGAGCTCCTGACGCTCGGCATCGTCACATCCGAGGAAGTACTCGACCTGTTCAGCATCTTCTTCCGCAGGTGCACGCAGCACGTCTGCCTGCTTGATGCCGAGTGGCACACACCGACGTTCATCTGCAGTCGCTCGCCATTCCTCTTCACTTGCGTCTGCACCGTTGCCGCAAAGTTTTACGAGCGCCGACCGGATCTGCACGCGAAGTGTCTTGCGCTCACCCGCAAGGTCGCCTTTGATGTCGTCAACCGCGGCTTCAAGAGCATCGAGATTGTGCAGGGCTTCCTGCTCATGGCGCTGTACGCGCAGCCTGCCGAACGCTTCGAGGAGGACAAGACTTGGATGTACAGCGGCATCGCTCTTCGAATGGCCACCGATCTGAACCTGCATCGCAAGAGTGTAGCGACGTTCAACCATAGCCCTCATCCCGACGATCCTGCGGTGCTCGACCGCGAGCGCGAGATCCTCAACCGCGAGCGTACCTGGTACGTGTGTTTTGCGATGGATCGCGGCTTGAGCATTCAGATGGGCAAGCCCTACACCATTCGCGAAGATTGGATCGTCCGCAATTGCCGCAACTGGGGTAGCCGATTCAGTCGTCCTTGGGACATCGCGGTCAGCGCGATCGTGGACCTTTCTCGCATCAGCTCTAGGCAGCTCGATTTCCTCTACTCGTCCACGACGTCCGTTTCAGGACTCAACACCGAGATCGACTACTCGCTCGTGCTGCCCGTCTTCAACGAGCAGCTCGAAGAGTGGCGCGAGGAATGGCGATGGCGAGGACTGTTCACCATGCCTGACGAGGCGAAGGAGTATATCGAAAAGAAGAAACGTAAGCTTGCGGTAGCGGCCGAGAAGGCTGCTGCGAAGGACAAGGGAAAGGGCAAGGGCAACAAGGCGGGGCTCGAACCGGGTGCCAAAGAAGCAGACGTCAATGGCTCTGCCGATAAAAGTGTCAAGTACGAATACGAGGACGACGACGCGGACGCCGAGAATTTGGATCTCAACACGCGCATCATGATCCACCACGTGCACTCGATCATCGTACGCTTCAGCTTCTCCGTGTTGGTGCTCAACTCGTTCGGATTGCAGCAGGCGGTCGACCATCCGATCGGTGGCAGCTTGGATCGGGCTCAGTACTTTGCCAAGTGTCTGGAAGCCGCCAAGACGATTGTGGCGCAGCACGTCGGACCTTGTCGCCGCAACATGCGGTACGCACCCGATCCGCACGTGCTGACGCTGGCGTATGCGTGCGTGTTCCTGCTCAAGCTGATCCGCCCCGCGTTTGCAGGGTATGTGGATGAGAATTCGATCTTGGAGCTGGTTCAGAAAGCGGTGGATACGCTGGAGGAGGCGGCGGTGAACGAGACGCATACGCCGTACTTGTACGCTTCATTTTTGAAGGCGCTGCTGCAGGCGAGGAAGGAGCACACGACCGCGTCTAGGTCCGCTACGGGTAGTAGGGTGGCGAGCAGGGCTGTCACGCCGGAGGCGATGGGTGAAGATGCGAAGGGTGATGGTGGAGCTAAGGCAGGGGAAGGGTTGGGGGTCGCTGCCGAGGCGATGGGCAATGCGGGCGGTGTGGAAGGGGGTATACCGACGCTGGATCCGACGCAAGAGTTTGCAGGCGCTCAACCCGGTGCAGCCGCGGTCACAGGTGCCGACGGGACGAACGTCAACTGGCCTTCGCAGATCTTCGCCGCCTCTTCCGGCATGGACGAGTTCTGGGGCTCGCTCCTCCCACCCGGATTCACCCAGACTTCGATGCACGACCTCTTCGGCGCAACCACCGCCGACGGCACGGTACCCAACGGCTCGCACCTCGCCTCTGAGACCGAAGCGGTGGATCCGAGCTCCGCCAAGTTCGGTATGGGTGGCGGGGGAGCGTTCGACTTTGGAGGCGGCGCGATTGGGAACGGTAACGGCGGTGTGCCGCTCAATAGTGCGGCGGCGAATGCGGCGTTGGCCAACTCGATGAGCATGACGCCGATGGCGAGCGGACATTTGTCGGGCGCCAATACGCCGCATGGTTTTGGGAGTAGGAGCAGGAGGACGAGTGCGAGTCATTTCGGGCTGTCTGGGATGAACTTTGATTTCTCGTCCAGTTGAAGATGCGCGGAGGAGGAAGAGGTGAAATCGAAGCAATTTGGCAGAGACCACATGACGAACCGTTTCTGGTGTGTGAAAGTGAACGAAAGGTGGATTGAAGTGTGTGAATGCAGTGTGCGTCGATCATTGTTCGAACTCGAACGGGTAGATGTCGGGGTCACGACTCTTGTCCCTCTCATTCCCTGCCTGTTCTGCCTCTCCCTCGCTCCAAACCCTCCCACTGATCGCCAGGGCCTTGTACTGAACGCCCATACCCGTATCATCGACCAACCTGTTAGCTGCGTCCTTGATCCTCTTTTCATCCTCCTCGCCCCTGCCTCTGATCAACCTCTCTGTTCTCATTTGCAGACCCATTCCTACGAGGAAATCAGCTTGATCGATCGGACCTAGGTACCTCGAATCCGTGGTTTGGAGGGCGCTCTTGAGGTGGAGGAAGTCGACGTTAACGGTGAGATCGACGGAACCGGGAGACTCGAAGACGGGTACGAGCGAGTGGTTTCGGAAGGCGCGGAAGGAGGATCCGTAGGCCTTGTCGTCTCCGTAATCGATGATCAGACCGATGCCGCCCACGGTTGGGTGCGAGAGACGCTGGGATTCTTGCCGACGTTGCGACTCGAGTTTGTCGGCTTGCAGTGCGGATTCTGCCGCAGCTTCTGCTGAGCCTTCGGGTGCGGAAGGTGGTGGAGTGGTGAGGTTCGTGGGAGCGCTGGCGGATCGACCGGCGACGATCTCTCCGACTCTGCGTGCGACGGCCCATGCTTCCGGACTCACTTCTACACGTTGACCCGGTTGGAGATGTTGGAAACGTGGATTGTTCTGCACCAGCATCTGCGCCCAGGGAGTGGGCGTGGGGCTGAGAACGAACCCTAACTCTTCGTTGTCCCTTTCGGATTTCTGCAGATCTTGTCCTGGTCTCAAGACGGTGATCGCAGACTTGGGCTTGATGCCCACCAACACTTCTCTGAACTTGCCATCGACACCTTTCTCGAAGATGTGCGTTGGTAGCGCGTCGAAGAACTCGTGCGCTGTCAGGATGGTGAATTCTTCCGGCAGTACCGGCACCATATCGACACCAGGGAACCATTCGACCACCACCCCATCCGCTCCTGCCTCCTCTTCAGCACTGACCACCTTCTTGCCTGCAACAGCCAGAGACTCTTGAATAGCATTCAGCTGTAGCTCCATCAACCCGTCGCTCGTTTCCACCAGGTGAATGCGTTTCAGCGTCGCCATGAACGGCTTAAAAGTGGCGAACGTCCTCAGCATGTCCGCCAACAAGGTTCCTTTGCCTGGTCCAAGCTCGACGATCCTGGTTGCAGATGGTGCGCCGACGGATTGCCATCGTGCAAGGTAGAAGATGGCAACAAGCTCGCCGAACACCTGGGAGATTTCGGGGGAGGTGATGAAATCGCCTCTGCTGCCGAGCACCTCGCGTGATGTGGCGGGGGAATTGGCGGACGAGTAGTAGCCTTGCATGGGATCAAGCAAGCAGGTTCGCATGTATGTCGAGACGGGCATCGGTCCGGATGCGCGGATGCTGTCGAGAAGGATCTCGTTGAGGTTCTTGGTTGGCTTCCCTTGGCTGGGACTTGTAGGTGCTGACGACGATGGCGGGATTGATGAGGAAGAGACGTTCGGTCTCCTGCGACTTGTAGAAAAGGCCCTTGCATGAATGCCGCGAGCTACAGAGAACTGATTCGGCGCAGTAGTAGTAGGACCCATCAAGCCTTGAGGATTCGTGCCCGGACGCGCATCGCCCTCCCTGGCCTTAGCAGCGATACTCGTCGAAGTGCGAGACGGCGCAACAGGAGGGATGGCGAACGAAGCAAGACCTGTCACCACGCGGTCTCCGCCGTGCAACTCAGCATCGACGATGCGTTCGGCTGCTTCCGTGGCGTAGGCGACGCAGTCGTTGAGACTGACACCAGTGTAGCTAGCGCCCACCAAGGTCAGCTTGCCGGCAAGTGTCTCACTCTTCTCCAACGCCTTGTGGAGCTGCGACATTCGCATAGGGTGACCAACCAGGTACCAAGGAATGCAATCCTTCTGTAACGTCGCCTTGACCGTCACCCGAGACGTGTCTTCAAGCAAGGATCGGTCGATGCCAAGGTGCGAAGACACAGCCTTGATTGCGCGCCTCTTCATCTCCTCCTCGCTGGGAAGCCTTTCCAGTTCCGACCAGTGGGAGCCACCCATCATGACGGTCAGCTTGACCGGGCGCGAAGCAGGATCGACCGAATCTTGCTCAGGGATGGCGTCACTGTCGAAGACGACTCCCAGGATGCCGTCTTCATTTCCTGGCGTCGTACGTGGGATGAGATAGCCAAAGCCCTCCACCGGCACCAAAGGCTTGCCGGATGATGCGACAGCGTCCGGCGAAATGACAAGGTTGACGACACCCACGTTTGCAGATGGATTGTGCTTGAGATGCGGGAGCGACGCGTCTTGAGGAAGGACGTCTGCGAGCCGAGACGATGGGATACTGGAGATCACGCGGTCCGCCTCGATTGTCTCTCCACTGTCTGTGCGCAGACTGACTGTGCCTTTACCGTCGACAAGGATAGATCGGACACCGTCACCCTTCCGGATCTTGACATTGTCGTGTTCCGCTAGTCGCGACTCCAAAGCTTCAACGATCTCCTGTACGCCTTCTGGAAAGCTGTACACGCTAATCGACTTGAAGCTATCCACCACCTCCTTTCCGAGCTCTTGTTCGATCTGCTTGACACGATCTTCTTTCGCTGCCTTTACCGCCGCCTCAGATTCTGGCAGAGCCCGATGCCGTTTGTTTCTCTTGGTAGACAGCATGCTTCGCAACACACTTCCGTGAACTCGTTCTGCCTCCCACAAGAACGGCAACACCGCTCGTACGCTGAGCTTCCTCGTATCACCTGCATAGATACCGTGTATGACCGCCGACAGCAAGTTCTCGGCCAAACCCTTGCCGAAGCGCCGTGACACGAACGAATCGACGCTCTCGTCCTCGATCCATTCTCGATGCTGCAGTCGCTGCTTTTCCGATTGCGATTCTGAGCGTGGATGCTGGAAGCGTGATGGTATACGTGGTTCGCGCAGCACGCCAGGAATGATCGCTCGTAGGAAGGGCAGTTTGAGCAGTGCTGATAGGAGCGAAGGGATGCTGCTGGGAAGCTTTGCGAGTCGGTCAGGGTAGTACAGATATCTGTTTTGTGCTGATGGCGCGGTCTTGGGTACTTTGAGCAGCCTCTCTAGTAATCCGAGCGATCGGACGAGTTCGAGCATCATGAGGCCAGAATAGCCCGCAGGACGAATGCTGCGTGGTCCCTGTTCGATAAGTGCCGTCGCATTGGGAGCAGCAGCTTCCTGTGTTGACGGGAGAGTGATCCGCCCGGACTGAATCCAGCCACCGAGCCTGTTGTGATGTTCGAGAAGTAGGATGTCGTATCTGTCTTTAGGCAATTGTTGAGCGAGACGGTAGGCGGAAGTGAGACCCGAGATGCCACCGCCGAGCACGGCGATGCGCTTCTTTGCGGACGCTGCTGCTGCGAGCGCAGTGGTCGAGGAAGACAGCCCTCTCGATGACGATATCGCGGGCCGGGCCAGTGTCTGCAGCCGCGAAGCTGATCTTGTGAGCAGCATCGTCGGGCAGGTTTCGTAAATGGGGAGTGCAAGGTCAGAGGGAGAGGCGCGATTGCTTCCTACAACATCTTGAAACCAGTCAGTCGGGCAAATGACGGCTAAGTTAGCTCACCTTCTCGGCGACTTTTTTTTTGTTTTGGTGTGTGCGTGTGGAGAAGTAGCGATGTAGGCTGTCAGCTTTACATAATATATCCCGATGAGGTCTAACATTTGGTTGTGATCTTGAAAATGTCTCCGCGAGATTCCGAGTGTGAATTTTCGCGCGCAACAAGCTGCGATTTGTAATGGCTCGCAGGCAGAGAGGAAAGTCTCAAAGCAGCTGTCGATGATTCGTGCGAACGGAAGCAAGCTTCTGAGCGAGTTGGAGAGCGCGAGAGAGAGTTAGCCACTCCGCCATCGCAAATCGCAACAAGGGCTTGTTCATCGTTGCGATTTCAGGTTTCACACCATCATCTTCTGATCCCTACCATACATACAAACACTGCAAAGATGGTTCTCGTACGTACCAGCACCCTCATCACCAGCGTCGCACCATTGTGCGCTGCAATACACGGCGCGTCTCAGCTGCCTCACGTCGACAACGATGAAGGTTCTGCGCAATGTCGATTGGTATACTGACTTGTTCTTGCTTTTGCTTTTCCGCACATCTACAATCGCCTTACCCACACTCGCCCAATCTGCACACTATCCTCATCGATGACCGCCACATTGCATCGCACCGACACACTCTACACCAACACCGCCAACCTGGCTTCTCGTTCGCCTTTTATCCCGAACAACAGGCACTTTCCGGTCTCAGCCTTGCCAAGTACGTGCAGTCGTCACCCGCACTCATGCGCGTGCTCAAGCCCGTCGCCAACGCCTACGCCAACGCCACCGGTCACCGACAGATGGGTCTGCGATACGACGACCTCCTCATCGAGGAGTCGGACCGCGTTCAGAAGGCCCTCTCTCGTTTGCCCGAGAAGGAGGCGTACGACCGCGCCTACCGCCTGCGTCAGGCTGCTCAGCTTTCGGTGCTCCACCGTGAGCTGCCCAAGGAGCAGTGGTTGGCTGCTAAGGAGGTAAGTATCTACGAATGCGTTGGCGAGATAGGATCATGCGACGAAAGGTTATGGAACGGGCCTGAAGGAGGAGTTGGGAGTTGCAAGCCACGGGGAAATAAGTATTCTCGTGGACAGGGCTACCCGGATCATCGTCAGGATGCAAAGTGAATGTGACTCGCTAACACACGAATCCATTGCCCCCTTCCATTACACTACGTAAACACAACAGGACAAGCGATACCTCACCCCTTACGTCCAGGAAATCGCCAACGAGGAGTCCGAACGTGCCGCATGGGACACCGTCTCGGTCAAGAAGTAAAAGTCCTGCATCCTCACGACCAATCCTGCCTACCTCATCCCACTCACCATGATGTGATCGCATTATCTTGTCACATGGAATACATTATGCGAGACTCGCTTTGAAGAACCCGTCGCCGTTTGGGGTGTGTCGCCGCTTGTGACTTCTTGTGATGTGTTGTCAATTCGCCCTGTCTCGTGAGACCTGTCCATGGGGCAGCCATCTGTGTGTGTAGAAGCTGCTGTGCGAGCTCTCGTACACCTCACACACGCTTCTCGAATCACACACTTCAACGCCGATTCAGCAAAACAGCAATCTCTGCATTGCACTTCCGCTAACCGTCGCCTCTCGTTCCGCCTACACCAACTTCTTCACCACCGCCGGCTCCTTGAAAATACCGACGATCAACGCCCAGCCAAACACGATCTGCACCACGGCAATACAAAACAGAAACTGGATCCTCCTCGACCTCTGCGCATGCGTGATCGTCTGACTGCTCGGGCTACTGGGATCCGGCAGCACGACATACCGCAGACTCCTCAGCAAGAAGAATGCGTTCGCCGCAAAGCAGTACAGAAACACGCTCCAGTACACCAGCCCTCTCACCTTCATCAGCCCGACCAACAAGGTGATCAGCGTACCGACGAACTTATACCCGGAATAGGCGAGGAGATCCATCATGGTGTGATCGCCTTGGATGTTCAGCAGATAAGTGCCGAGTTTGATGGCCGAGAGTTCGACGAGGATGATCGCTAGGGCTCGTGAAGCGCGCAGGCCGAGAACTTCGGGGTGGAAGCGGGATTCGAGACCGAGGATGACCGAGGTGACGATGATGTAGGTGACGAACGCCATGGTGGGTATGTACAGGTCGGGCGAGTTGACGTCGTCGCGTGGTGGGAGGAATCCTTCGGCTCCCGAAGAAGCGGTCTTGACACCCGAGGGGGCTTCAGTGTAGGCTGAACCGACACCTCCACCACCGGCAGAGTGTCGATGTGCTCGAGACCACGGTTTGTGTCGCCATGGGAAGAGCACGATCCTCAACTTGTGCAGTACGTACGAGTTCGAGACGTTGAAGTAGTGTTTGAGAACGGGCATGGGAAGCAGAGCATTGAAATTCTTCTGAACATACTCCCCGCCGACGGCTGCCATGTGCTGTCCAAATTGAACACCCATCTGCGCTGTAGCATCGTTCATGATCGGAGCTCCACCCGGGCCTGCACCGAATCCGCCGAACCCTCCCCAACCTTGCTGCTGCCCAGCAGCTCCTGATCCACCGCCAGCACCGGAAAAGTAGCTCTGGTTGGGACCGGCCCCAGGCTGACCGTACGTGGAAGAGCCTGCGTAAGGCTGCCCAGGAGGCGATTGAATCGGTGGAGATGCGAATCGCTGATATCCACCCCCTGCCGACGCTTGCAGGTTGGCAGCGGGGCCGCCTCTCCGGTTGGCGGTGGAGACGTGTGGATCGGTCACCGATGCTTGTGGTACCGGGTTGGGCGAGATGGGCGGATCGGGGACTTTGAATGGCGGGTGTGTTGGGATTGGGTGCTGCAGCGGAGGAGGCGACCGTGACGGATAGTCTCCCTGTGGTTGATACATGTCGAAGGTGCTGCTTCTGACCGAACTTTAAGCAATGAAGCGAGAGTAAGGCCGCGCTGTTCGAACGAAGCTGAGTGCGACGAGAGTGTCACTTGGGACAGAATCTGACGAGAAAGCCACTTGCTTCGATGGCGGTGATGAATTTGGCAGCGTACTTGTGAGGATACGCTGCCACCAGATGATTGGCTTGAGTGCGCAGAAGGACGATGTTCCGACGGAGCGATGGAATGGTATGAGGAGTGACGTACAGGAGCACAAGAAAGCGACAGCCGCCTTGTTGGTGCGTGGTCTTTGGCGAATTGGCCTGTGCTGTGTGCTGTTTGCACCGCTTCTGTGTGTCTGTCTCACCTCTTTCGTGTCTCGATGCGTGTCGCCAGCGCTTTCTTCCAGAAATCTCACTTCCCACGTCAGCCTTTGGCCATTTCCATCTTTTCTTCTCAAGAATGACAAGGCGAGGTAAATCTTACATGCTCAAAATATGCTCCACGCTTGATCCAAGGCTGCGTACTGTGTGGTGCGGCGTCTTCTGGAAGGCTCAGTTCTTGCTATCCAAAATTCGCCCATGGTGACGCAACTGCAACCTTGCGTTTTTCTTCTTGCTACGCAGCTGCCTACCGACGAATTCCTAACGCTTCTCGAGCAGGCCATTTGATTTTACCTGTCGAACTGAATACAAAGTTTGTTTCGCTTTCAAAGGCAGTTTTGCATTCGCAGTTCGCGCCTGCCACCCTACCTGCAGAAGCAAGCCTCTACAGATCTCGACGACGTATTGCTTCCCTTCAACTCCACCACTATCCGACCTCGGATTCACACACACACCAACAACACCAGCACCACACACACACACGCTCTCAATATGCCGAAGAACAAAGGAAAGGGAGGCAAGAACCGTCGTCGCGGAAAGAACGATATCGGTGACAAGCGCGAGCTCGTCCTCAAAGATGAAGGTCAAGGTAAGCACCTCCTGCCACGCCACAACACACATTGTCACACTCTTTTTCGATTACTGATTTTCATTCCTCCTACTCTCGCTATGTTCTCTCTGGATAGAATACGCCCAAGTGCTTAAGATGCTCGGCAACGGCCGTCTGGAAGCGCAATGTTTCGACGGCGAAAAGCGACTCGCACACATCCGTGGCAAGCTCCGCAAAAAGGTATGGATCAACCAGGGAGACATCATCCTCATCTCCCTACGCGACTTCCAGGACGGGAAAGCCGATGTGATCCAAAAGTACAACGCCGACGAAGCACGTGCGTTGAAGCAGCAGGGAGAGTTGCCAGAGAGCGCAAAGATCAACGAGACCGACACGTTCGGCGAGGAGGAAGGTGGCGAGATCGAGTTCCAGGAGGGTAGCGATGATGAGGACGAGAGCGACGACGATGAGGATCTTGATGATCTTTGAACGGACGGTCTTGGATGGCGGAGAATGCAGTTGAGGATGGAGTTTTTTTTGGCAGTTCTCAGCTCAGAATTGCGTTGCAAGAAGCTCAACGGTCCTCTTCAAGAGCGATCGAAGGCTTGGGCACTTCTATCGATTGCTTCGAGCCGTCACATCGAGTATAGACGGCGTTGCTGCCGAGGTACTTCCTCTGTCGGTCACAGCCGATACAACACCTTCCCTGGCAAGACGACACACTTCAACCCTGCATCACCTCCTACTCACACCCCTCGTTCTTACACATGCACACACCATCTCCGTTGTACCATACACACTCTAGCACTTTCCCAAAAAAAAGAGACCACGTTCTCGCTTCCACTATCCTCACGCAGCTACAGTGAAGTCCGTGTTCCATGCGAGAAAACGTTTGCATTTCCGGGACGAAGCATCGACTAAAGCTTGAGTGAACAAGACGTCTCACGACCAAGGATTCTGCCCGTCATCCTCGTGCATAACCTGCGTTTCAGGCGAGAGCAGTTTTCCGTTCAAAAAGTCCTCATTCTCCTGCACGTCGATCTCCCTACTCACCAGCACAGCCCCATTTCCCCCACCACTACCGTCCACCTCCTTCCTTCCCACCTGCCCATTCTGAGTCGCATCCTCCAGCTCCACTTTCACCTTCTTATCTTTGCTCGAACCACTCTGCTCGCCCGGCGACTTGACAGTGACGGCAGCAGCGGTGGAGCTCGGAGGGTTGAGCGGTGTATTGGGCGTCCCGGCTCGCTCGATCACCTTCTGATTGGTGAACTTCTTTTCGGCGGCAGGCGTTGAAGCACCGGATCCGGTAGGCGTGTACTGCTTGCGGAAGATGCGCGTGCCTTTGCCTGCGCGGAGCGCTGGATCGCCGCGCCGACGTTCGAGCAGTCGCTCACGTTCTTCCGCCTTGTAGTCTTCAATTACGAGGTCGACGGCTCCGTATGGATCAGAGTCTTCGGACTTGTCTTCGGGATCCTTGGAGTCGAGTTTGGGTTCAGTTGACTTGGCTGTGTCGTCTTGATGGGTGTTGGAAACGTCGGCGATGGATGCGCGCTTAGTCGAGTCTGGGGAGCCGCCGGCTTCTCGATCCCATGCAAGCCATGGAGATCTGGACTTGCGGTCGTCGCCAGTCGGAGATGACTGCTTGGCGTCCTTCTTGCCGGACGATGGCTTTGCACTTGCCACGACATCCTCACCTTTCTTCTTAGCTTTGCCCTTTGCAGCACCTTCGCGGTCGCCCTCTGTCTGCGTCTGCTTTTTGCTGCTACCAACCGCCGCCCCATCATCGACCTCTTCTGCTTGCCTGCCCTTTCGCTTCCCATCCTTGGCCTCATCCTTCTTCGAAATCGTGCCTTTCCTCCTCTTCCTATGCACGATCTCATCGTCTTGCTGCCACCTCGAATTCCTTGCCTCTTCTCGATTGATGTCGATGTTCGGATAGGCATAATCGCCGAAATGAAGCGTGCGCGACTTTTGATACGCGTCCTCCTCCTCTTCGTCCGGATCGTCAAACTTGAGATCTTCTGCTTCTTCGTCCGAATCCAGACGCCGTTCGGCGAAGAAGTCCAATCCCTCGCCTGCATGTCTCACCGCACTTTGAGCTGCGTGTTTGGGGTGCCTTAGCAACGGACTGCGTTCCGAACTACCTTCTTCCTGCGCGAGGTCTGGATCGTCGTGGACAATCTCGTCTGCCTCCCCCGGTGTTAGAGGAGCATGTCCTTCGAGCTGCATACGTTTATCGTTGATGTACCGTCTCAGCTTCTTCAACGGACCTTGATGGCGTGCACCTCTGGTCGCATCTCTAATATCACCCGTCCCCCTCTGCGGCAACCAGTATTTGCCCTTTCCACCCTGCGTATACCTCAATCCGGCCTTGCTCCTCCTCTCCCTTGCCAGCGGCTGATGGATCACACCTTCGCTCGGCTCGAAAGTCTGATACACGTACCCGGTACCCCTCACCGTAGTCAAGCTGTCCGAAAACACATCGTACATCCCAATGCAATCCCTCAGCGCGTAGTACACCGGCAACCTCGCAGCGTAATGCGCGAAGGGATCGATATAGTCCGTGTGCGAAAAAGCCCACGCGTGACCCAATGCGAAGATGGGCATCTCCAAGCAGATCATGAAATCCTGGATCGCCATGGAGATGTAGTCCGGATCGTACACGGGTCCTACCTTCTTGACTAGACCTGCAGCTACGAGGATGGAGATGCCAAGACCCTGCCAGAAGGAGAAGAAGATGATGCCTTTGACGCAGAGAAACTTGGAGGTGACGCGGAATGGCTTGAGATCGTCGTTGAGACACTTCCAGAACATGCCGAGGCAGTAGAGCGAGAGGAAGACCGAGACGTTGTAGGTGAAGGAGACCCAGGTGTAGCCGTTGGTCGGGGAGATTTTTCCCTCTTCGTACTTTCCGGCTGCTTTGAGAATGAGTGTGGCGACTGCGAGGACGGGTTTGACCTGGACGTATTGAAGCACACCGCGTTTGAGCGCGAGAAAGGTGTACGGGTCCGAGGCGTCCATGTCTTTCAGGAAGAGGTTGGCCGGGAAGAGATGTTCCTGAGGTCGCCTTCCGTGAAGGAGGACGATGAGGCTTCGTTCGCCGCCGAGGTACTCAATGAGCAGGTTGAAGAAGCAGTAGATGACAAAGGCTTCGTAGAGATCGCGAATGAGGTCGATGATGTCGGCGAGCTGGAGCGAGTAGAGAGAGATGACGGAGGCGATCGAGTAGATGGGTACCATGAGCAACAGACGTACTACATAGCGCTGCAAGGTGGGTTTGCGATAGTTTTTGAGCTGCTTCCAGATGAGGTAGACCGAGAACACGGACGCAAAGATGGCAGAAAGCGTCGAGACCACGAGGAGCGGCAGTGGAAGCGATCGTCCGGAACCGCTGCCCTCGGGGCTATCTCGCTGTGGTTGCTTTGCGATCGTCACTGCACTTGCCAGCCGGAGCGGCAGATCCGCAGCCACAGCGCGTAGCAGAGGCATCTTGAGTCGTTGCTTGATGCCTGACTCGCCGGTACAGCTTGAGGATTTGGATAGATCGTGCACGCTCTCAGTATGCGAGGGGGGTCCTGATGAATCCTTGCTGCCGAGCCGCAAATTCAGCGTGTGATTTCCGTCGTGACTGACATTGTCATCGTCATTGTGGTCGGGAAGAACAGTACGAGGGCTATTCGGCTTGGTGATGGCATAGGCTCAGAGACAAGCAAGATGACCGGTGAGTGAGCGTCGGGTTTGCAGTCGAAACGCCAGAATGCTCTTGGAAAATGCTCAGTTGGCTGTTCGCCTCCACAAACGCACAGTCTCTATTTGGCTAGTTGAGAAGGCATCCGAATCCGAAGCGAGCGAGCTGAGACCCTTTTTCCTCCCGAAATGATGTTACGGTTTTCCCTCTCACAAGTCTATGATTTCTCACCGCGAGCTGTCACACGAGCGTCACTGTGCAGCTGTCAAGCTCATCCGAGCTCTAAAATCAGTCAAGTTTAGGGGTTCGCGTAGCACCAACACACCAACACTTTGATCCATTTGTGCGACCCTCGCTGGACCCACATGCCCCCATGTGAGGATCCCACCAACTCGGTTCATCCCATTGTGATCGTCCTTCGTCACTTCCTCACGGACAGATTGAATCAAGCATCCCATCACGACCATCTCATACAATGAGTCTGCTCGCCGATCTCGCGAGTGGCACTTCCGCTCTACTATTCGGACCCCCTCCACCCGTACAAAAGCATCCTCCTCCCTCACCACCAACCGCTCCCTCCCCTTGGCCAGCACACACTTCGATCAAATCCGCCCTTCTCTCACCGCACCTCGGACTATCACCTCCTCGCACCATGACTTCGCCTCCTGCCAAAAAGACAACTCCAGTTCCACCACCAGCACCACCCTCAACAGAGCCAGAACCTCCTTCGATCATATTCTCTATCGGAGTTTCGGCAATCAACCTGCTCGGGACCGCCGTTGTAGAGCTCTCCGGCGTTGCTCTTTCCGCCCTCATCACCAGCACTACTCCAGATGACTCCGATGCACCTTCTTCCCCAGCTGCTTCTCCAAAGCCACAAGATGACTCTGCTGTACCTTCTTCCCCACCTGCCCCTTCTCCAAAACCTCCACAACGTTCTTCCAGTGTACCGGTGCAACTCACCGCCACCGGAGAACCCTTCTCCTCCGATCCCAGCATCTCGGCTATGCAGCGTATACCGGATCATCCATGCGGACATGCCTTACCGCACTCTTGTTCTGCTCCTGATGTGCTCCACAGCGTCCCAGAATGCGGTTGCCCATGTGCCGTAGGAGAGGAAAACGAAAGCTGCGACTGTAGCTGTCATGCAAGGAAAGGTCAGTCCGGTCACTTTCATCGAGTGGAACAGATCGTCAAGGGCACCAAGAGAGTGGTAAGAGATATCAAGAATGTTCTCTGATACACACCCATGGTCAGATTGGGTCGCAGCGCATTCGGCCATATCGCTCGACACCCGGTTCGCTACCCTCATCACACGAGTCGACCTCAGCTTAGCATTTATCACTACCCATCCGCAGCCTAAGTTTACGATAATTCTATTCAAACCATGACAACGACCTAGAACCTACCAGCATCCATCATCTGAGCCTCTATCCCAAAAGTCGTGTTCGCGAACCCGGTCCCATCACCCCCTGCCCCGCTCTGCTGCTCGCCTACCTCCTGCTGCTGCTGCCCACTCCCATCAGGTACGCCACCCTGAATCCTGCTGAAATACGCGTCCCAATTGGCGAAATCCAACGGTGCCCCCGGAATCCCATCTAGCACACTAGCATCCACCCGGCTGCCGAACATGCTCGCGCTCGCACCACCCGTAGCATCACCTGCACCGCTGGACGAATCATACACCATTCCCGCAGGTGCCCAAAACGCGCTGTTCAAGTGAGGATTGAAGTTGAAGTTCGAACTGGTCGGCGAGACGGCGTTCTTAGCCACGGAAAGCTGCGTTCCCGAAGCACCGCCGAACGGAAGGTGGGAGAGCGTGTTCAAGAATCCATTGTTGCTGTTGTTGGTGGAATCCGCATTGCCACCCGTCACTGTGGAAAAGAGGTTCGAGTCGAGGAATGCGTTGCCAGAGTTCAGCGCATCAGGACCGACGGGTACCATCGTAAGCAGACGAGTTCCCGAGCGTGTCACCGGCTGACCCTGCGCATCTTGGTACACGTCGCCGCCCAGATGGGTGAGGTTGAGACTGCCATCTGCTGCTGCAGAACCATCGTTCACCGTAATACCGACCGAAGTTGGCGCAGAGGACGCCAGCGCAGGAATCGAGCTTGTAAGCGCCGATGAGCCCGTTGCTGATGCGGACGAGTTGACGCTGTTCAGCATGGCAAATCCGCCGTTCGCCAACGCGTTGGCAAAGTTGTCGCTACCATCTTTGCCTGTAGACAGTCCCAACGCCGCTCGGTACTGCTCGTACGTCTGCCATCCTCCATTCTGCTCGTTGCCCGTGCGGACCAACGCCGGAACACGACTGCCGTCCTGCGTCTCGGACATGATGATCGTGCCCTTCGGCAGGTCCTGCAGCAACAACCTCTGATCAGCAGCGATGTAGACACCTCCTCCAGGGCGTGAAGGATCCTGCTTGAAGACGATACCACGCACGTTTTCCTTGGATTTGCGGTTCGTCACTCCGGCGGTAGGGTTGAGCGATCCGCTCGAGGGAGTATTCGCATACACTCCCACTGCGCTATCGCACAGAAGCGAGATGACACTGGCCGCTTTTCCGCGCATGCTGATATCGTCTGGCTCGTGATTCTCGCAGCGGTAGCGTACCATGACATCGTTGACCTTCCTCAGCTGCGTCAGAGCGTTCTGGTCTCCACGACGTACGAACGCGTGGTACTGGACCGTGGCGCACGAGACGAGACAGTACGAGACGATCTGCATCGTGTCGAGGTAGAAATCGTTCTTGTCCACCCATGCGATGGCCTCTGTCGAGTACTGGATCAGCGAACTCATCCTTTCGATGGTGAGACTGAACTTGAGGTGCGTCGGGCAAATGTACGAGATGCGCATGAACACGCGGAAGAAGAGCATCATGAGACAAGCGAATCCAACGTGCAAGATGCCGGCGGGCCCACTCGATTCGGCTCCCTGGAAGACGAGCTCTTCCGGAAGAGCAGCCTTCCACGCATCAATGTCGCGTAGCAAGCTCAGTATCTCCTCGTCCGTGGCATTCATCAAGCCGGTCGGGCTGTAGATGGTCTTCATGACACGGCCAAAGAGGATGGTGAGCTTGAGCATCTCGGTGTTGTAGGCGAAAGGGCGGTCCGTCGACGGATCCGAGGGCAGATCACTGGACGATCGCAAGATCTCGTAAGGCGATGGGAGACGCACATCGCAGTCGGTCAGGTCGATCATCATGGGATGACCGAGCGAGATACTTTGGAGTCGATCGGCGGTAACGCAGCAGCCCCAGATCCTTCGCTTCTGTTCCAAGAAGAAGGTATCATGCGCAAGTTCGTCCTTGCCGCTGGCATCGCGATGCAAGCCAAGGTCCTGTGCCATACGGATAGCTGCTCCCGTCCGGTTCCAGCAGCGTGTTCCGCTCTGCAGTGCCGCAGATCCATGCAGGTCGGCATGCAACGCCATGATGAGCAGTGCTCGGACCGTCACAGAGTTGGACGAAGACAGGAAGTCGTTCTCACGGAACAAGGCGTTGATGGTCATCTGCACCGCGCCGCGGACCTCTCTGGGCACGCTTCGGCTCAGCGCAGACACACCGCAGATGGCGTAAAGCAGCAGCGGCGGTGTCGGAGAGAGGTGAAGGAACTCGGACTTTGTGACCACGGGGAAGAGAGTCGCAATCTTTGCGAAGTAGGTGTTGACCAGCTTTTCAGCCACGTCGCCAGCGAGGCGGCCTTTGATAGCTTCGGGTATACGTGTCACTTCGTCCTCGTCCGGATCGGCTGTGACGGCAGCAGCGGCAGCACTTGTCCCATTTGCAGGCCTGACCTTGGCGCGATGGAAGCGAATGATTCCATCGCCGCTGGCACCGACCTCGAATGTCTGGTTGTGCTTGATGTCGTGTGCTTCAATGGCAGCGCCTGGGATGAAGGCGGTCGAATGAACGAGGTAGGCGATCGAAGTTGGACCGAGTACGCGCGTGTCTGTCGGCGGTGTGCGGGACGGGCTCCTACGTTTTTGCTGAGCTGTAGCCGCACTCGGAGTCGAACTCGGTTGCGATCCTTGTCGCTGCGGCGGGAAACCGCCTAGCTGCTGAGCTGCCGAGCGGGGTGGGTGCTGGTTCGGCGTATGCTGCGGCATGACGCCAGAGCCCCAGCCTTGGTGAGCAAGGCCGGCTTGCATCGCATGGAAGCCGGCTGGATTGTGCAGGGCCCCCATGTAGGGCTGTGTTTGCATCATGCCAGGATAAGAAGGATGTGCCACACCCGCGTAGCTGCCAGGGTGCATGGACAGCGAGGTGGCACCTGAAGCAGCGGCGACAGCAGCGGCGGCTGCGGCTGCCTCCTCTGCTTCTCTCTGGTACTTTTTCTTGAATCTGGTCTCTGTGATAGGAAGAAAGAAGGTACACTCGAAGCCGTACTGCCTGCAATGGGCGCAGACCAGCCCTCCATTGCCATTGTTGAGCGAACCGGCAGGAGGGCCGCCATCATCGATGACATCGCAACGGATCTTCTTGCGTCGACAAGAGTCGCAGGCGCGCGCAGTCTTTATGCGTTTGCCCGATGGCTTCTCGGCAGAGCCTGGTGTGCTTCTACCAGTGCCCGTGGGATCTTTGCCATTCGCGGCATCGCTGTTGTAGTTGACGGGGCTCTCGTGGGTGGCAAGGTTTGCGTAGCTAGGACTGAATTCGTTCTTGAGGGCGGCAGGCTCCATGTCTGAGTCTTTGCGCTTTGTGCCTCGACTGTTGGGCGTGCCTGTAGAGCTGGATGGTGTCTGCGCGGCAACATCCATCGAGGATGGCAGGACGTGGTTGTCGGTCATAGTGCGATGTTGGACCTGTCCTGCGGAGGAACGCTGTGATGCCTGTCCAGAGGCTATGCCGTCAAAGCTTGTATTGAGGCAACGCGTTTGGCACTCTGGGCTGCCTTGGTAGAGAACGGGCGATAGGGGCTGCCAAATGAGACGGACGTGACTTTTCCCAAGAACAAGCGCCTCGGGAGCAGATTTATGCGTCTATGGTGTGTGCATTCCCAGCTGGAGGGATGAGGACTAAGGCCGACAACAGCGAACTGAACAAGAAGGCCGTTGCTACTGTGCAACGTCGAGTCTGGCAGATAGAGGTGGGCTGTACCACTGGCTTGGTGCGTCGGGTCCGCGAATCTCCAGATGAAGTGTGAAGCGGGTAGCAAGCTCGCATATGATACCCGATGCAATTCGAAGTTGAGAGGGTGACCGATGCTGTGGTCGGTCACGAGGTTGCCGGCGAGCGTGGGAGGGAGTGGGTACAATCAAGATGAGCGGGTGAGTCGAGGCCGGTGAAACGGGAAAGTTGCGTGTCAGGTTGTTGCGGAGGTGTTTCTGAACGCAAGTTGCCATCCGCTATTCGCCGAGGATTCGACACGAGGTTCGAGATGACAGTGAATCAGGTGGGACGAGTTGATCGAAAGCGAAGCAACAAGGTGATAGAGTTGGACCGAGATGAGTATGGAGTATCGTCGAGGAGAAGAAGATGGTGCTTGGAGGACGGAGGACAAGGTGGTCAGAGACTGGTGATCACCAAGATAGAGAGGGACGCTTCGACCTCGGCTTGGCGATTGAGGATGGTGCAACTTTGAAGGCAACCAGGATTGTGGAATGCTGCAGTGGACCTGGATCCCTTCGCATGGAGCACCGACGACACATGCACGGGCTAGGCTAGCTCAGCAGTGTCCAGTAGAACGAGCAGGCGCTCCGAAGTGAGGGGATGCAGCACCGGAATTTGCGAGAGTTGGGCGAACAACAAAAGCCATTTTCGACGGAGCCTTTTTTCGGTCTTGCAGCCTATGCTCTTGGCTGCAAGCCACAGAGGCTAACTTTTAAGGCACAAACCACGTCGCCTTGACCTGGGGTGTGATCCAGATTTGAGACACACGAGGTGCAAGCGCGCGAGTCACCCTCACCCTTCACATGCTGCTGCGCTCGCTAACGCCTCACACACAACGCTACTTGGCGGATTTGATTCCACCCGATGTCAGGCAGAACAATCGAGGCGATGCTCACTCCTTCATCGGGGCTGTAGAGGACACTTGACGATGCTTGCACTGCGGTTCATCAAGCTCGAGCCCGGCGAAAAAGCCAGCGATCCGGTCTTGATGGAAGAGAAGCGGTCAAACGGTGAAGGCCTGTGCTTGTTTCAATGGGACAGACCGTCTGGCTCGGTGAGAGGCAGCTGATGTATGCAGCACAGTCGTCACTTAGAATGCAGCAAGACCGGTCCATCGGTCAACCTGCACGTCTTGCTTTCGATTACCACAAAGCCGATGCCTTGCGAGGGATTTCGACCGAGTTTGGCCCGCAAGAATCGTCTGATCCGATGTCTGAGATTGCGCTATCGGCTCGTAGCTTTCCGAAGCATACATTGTTTGGCCTGCTCTCGGCCAAGCTCGGACAACAGCTCGCTCGAAATCTCCTTCTCGGGATCGCGGTCGTGAAAGACCCAAGATGTGTTGGAAATGGTCGGAATTTCGGGCGTTGAATCCGATGACTTGCACCTGAAGTCCAAAGCTGCAAGGCCGCGGCTGTCTGCAAGGCCTCGCATTTCCGACGATCTTCACTCCGCATTCCAAAATCAAAAAGGGCCAAAGCAATACAAATGATCCTTGGTTGCTTGACTGACACGCTGTGAAGGAGCAAGAGATCGCTTTCTACCCGCACTGGACGCTGCGACGTTGGCCAGTGTGGCGTTTTGTCAAACTCGGTCGTGCTGGGATCATGCAGCTGTACAATCTTGTCCTCGGAATGATAGCGACATCGTCGGGAAGCGCACTGCATCAGTCAAGAGGCTCGCAATCATGCGAAAAGAACCACGTTTTCGCTCGTCAGCCCTCCGGCTCGATACAATGCCACGCTAGCATGTGAAGTGCTGACTCACATGGATCCTTTTCTCATGCGACTACAGCCCAAATTCCCGCTTCCCTATCGAAATCTAGGAACGCAGAGAAAGGAAGGTCAAGTTAGGAGGGTTCAGGGTTTTTGATGAGCTGATACTTGGTGCGAGCATCACCACGTCAGCGCCAGGTCGCGCGTTCCTGTCGCTGGTCGCGGTTGCCGAGTCGTCTAGCCACCGGCGGCTGGCTGGCTGGGTCGTGACGATGCTCTTCCAACCGGCGGCTCGGGGACATCTTGAAATACAGTACACACATTCACACACTCGTTGTCTGGGCCTTTGGGTCGATCGGGGGCTAAGTTGGAAGCCACACGACATACGCAGAAAAAGAAATGCTCGAAAAAGAAAAACGTGGCCATGCCGAGATGCCGAACTCGCTCTGTCGCGGTCTGGAGAGGAATCGCAGCGACAGCTCTTTCGATCCTGTACAACATGTCCAAGGTGATAGATAATTCGATCGAGGTCGCCCGATCAAGCTTCGGTCGGGAGATTCAAGCTTCAGCCATCGTCACACGTTAGTCTTGAATGTAGTGGCAGTTTGGGATGTGTCCATAGTGTGACGTTGTACATGCTGCGGATGAGGTCTGATGGTGCTTCAAGAATCTGATACGGCTGAGTGCTCGGCTTGTTCAACACCGACATTGCTGGTCAACGTCGTTCCAGCACAGCATCCTTCTATGCCTTCTCGAGAGCGAGACGACGATGCCTCCGTGTCTCTCACCGCATCTTTCCCTGCCAAGCCTTTTCCTGCCCCCGCAGTACCGTCTACGACTCCCTTCTCCACATCGCTACTACCCCCTCCCGTCCCTCTCAACCTCTCCAACTCCATCCCGTCCAAACCTGGCTTCGCCATCCTCTCCCTCCACTCCCTCAAAAACACCTCTTGACCTCGAAACACCCTTCCCGCAAAAACCGTACTTCCCACCGCCTCCACCCTCACCGGCAGCCACGCATTCGTCCCACCTCTTGCCAAGCGGATCGTCAACCCAATCGCGATGATCTTGACCACCATGCTGAAGACACCGAAGAAGATTGCATCGGACAACATCATTCCGATGATCTCTCCTCTCTGCCTCGTCCCAACGAGGATGGGGATCACGACGATCAGCGTAAAGATGAGGTCGATCAGGAGTGCGATCAGCAGAGGAGCGCAGATCCAAGCTGCAGAGATCGAAGTGCCCCCGGAACTTGAGGTTGGGGTTGGTGACTCGGAGACCGACAGAATCATCACTGCTAAGGAGCTGACGAATTCGACCGCGAGAAGGGTGTTGACGAGAATCGTAACCAGGAATGGCCGGGAGAAGTGCAGGATGACCGCACGAAAACCTAGGATCGCAGAGGTTGAGGTGAACAGCAGTGGCAGCATGAATGATCGAAGCCAGTGGAGCGCGGTTTCGTCGCGTCGTGTACCGTAGGCAGATGGAATGGTCAGGATCGAGAAAACGGAGATAAAGAGGAGCATTGTGTAGCGAGAAACGAGGTACGAGATGGGTATTGGGTGAAAGTGTCGCTTCTGGAACATGGAGGATGCTAGGCGTAGGTCGAAGGATATGAAGGATAGGATTTCTGATGGGAGAGCGAGACAAAGATTTGGTCAGCGGTAGGGTCATGGGTAGTAGGGTCGGCGAGCAAGACATACCGCAGAGAACAACGCCCATGAGTATAGCTGTGATGTGCGTATCCACCAGCGTACCGTTCTGGGGCGAAGACTGTTCATCAGACATCCTCCCGTTCTGGCTTCTACCGTAGCCGCAAGCACAGATACGATCCAAGAACCCCCCTCCGTCAAAAGCAGAGCTACTTATACCGCTATCTGGCCACTATCTCCAACCCGCAGAACCTCTTATCACCGACGCCATTCCACCCATCCGCCCGTTGCCGGATACGGTAAGCTCCGGAACGGCATCCCGACGCTGCTCCACGGAAGAGCCGCTTCTATCTTCCCGCCCAACACATCCCACTTGCGAAACGCTCTTACCGCCTCCCACCCACTCACCGGCGTCGGCGAAAATCAACATGCAAAGACCGCAACAATACTGTACGAGGGGACTGCGACTCGCACGTCCTTTTGATTGCGCCGACTTTCATTTCCGTGTACATCGCCCACACTCACCTGCACAAATTACGGCGATTGATGTCGCCGACGACACAAATTTGTCAGAGAGTGACAGATCGTACACGATCGCATTGTTCGGGTTGAAGTTAACAACGGCTGTTGCAATGCAACACGAGTGTGACGAGGAAT